CAGGTATCAGTTCAAAACAGCCGCACGAGAGAAAACTTCCAGTTAAATTATCACCAGGTCCTACTACGCACAATAAAACTCCAGGTTTGAATCAATCCAACTCAATGACAAGTAACTTGTCACCAAATGGCAACACAAACATGATCCGGCCGTACTGAATGCTTTCAATATTCCATTAATTACGGGCGAATTACTGGCGGATTCCAATAAAAATGCGGATTGTGTAAAGGAAGTTCCAAACTGACCACGAGGCACATTTTAGTTGCACAGGTGTTTGTTTGAAAGTTTCTCAAAGAACTTTCCCTCAACTGATCAGCTTCCTATTTTCATTAAGACTAACTTTTTCTGTGCGCTATTCATAGAATCTTACAGCGCAGAAGGCCATTCCGCCCACCGTGCCTGCGCTTGGAAAGAGCTATCCGACTCATCCCACTCTCCCGCCCTTACCCCACAGCGCTGAAAAATGTTCCTTTTGAAGTACCCGTCCAATTCCCTTTTCAAAGTTATTGTCGAATCAGGCAATGCGTTCCAAAAAGGGTAAATACATTTCTCCTCGTCTCCCCTCGGGTTCTTTAGCGAGGAATGATTTTCTCAATCTCAACGCAAAAGAAAAGAAACGATAAGGTGCTCCCAAAAAAAATGTTGCTCGCTCACCCTTCTTGGGAGAGTAATAAAGCATGGCACAAGAAAGAGAAATAAAAAGGAAGGATTTTGGGTGTGGGGGGGGGGGTGGAAGAGAGTTTGGTCACAACCAATCAACTGACCGCTTTACAAATTCAGAAGTTCAAGACAAGATATTTTAGTATATATTACTAGCAGTAATGTTGCACTGGGTGGGTAAGACGGAGCATTCTGAGAATCTGTGTCCAATGATCTTGGAACAGCCCAAGTACAAGATTTCTGCCATTTCAAACATTATTTTACCCATGGAGAGGACGAATTAAGGCATCCTGCTACATTTGTCGACCACAGGAGATTATGACATCCCTTTGGATAGATTTTGAAGACAACAGCGACAACAAATTGCATTTGTAGAGGGCCTTTCATGTCAGGAGGACGTCCCAATGTGCTGATTGCAATGGTCCTATCCCATTTAGCTTCTACAGATTGAAAAGGTGAAAGGTTTGCAATATATATTATGGTTAACAAATGCCTTGTGTTTCCAGTTGGTCAGTTTATGGACAACCCATTAATTCTCGTTCAAGAATCCTGCACCAAAAGGTTTTGATGAGAACTAAATGCTAGCAAAATGAAAGTTCTTCGCAACACTCTTCCAGGTGAGAGATGATTTGTTGTGAAGCAAATCAAAAAAAGCAAAAAACGTGTTCCAAATTCAGGCTAAAAGCAATGTGAGTTCATTTCTTGCAAGATGTCAATCTAAACTACGTGCATCGGGGCCAAAATGTAGCTACAAAAGTGATTGAACTACAAATCCTGCCTCTTATTGGAGATGTACGCCAATGGAACCTGCACATTTTGCGCACTGAATGTATGGACTGCCACTTTTTGCATTAAAAGGGAGGTTAATAGGAGGTAAGAGAACACAACAAATTCAGAGTGGATTCACCGAACGGACACTATGGAGAAAACATTAATAGAGTTGGTGCAATAGGTTACTGCTCTTCCAGGTGAGAGATCATTTGATGTGAAGCAAATCTAGGAGTTACTAACCACATAATAAATATTTCTACGGGTAAATCTGTATATTATTTTATATTCGAGCAAAACAATCTTACTCTATCATTAATATTCCATTTCTTAGTTGATTCTTTCCCAACCTTTAAGTTATGTTGACGAAACGCACACAAATACATACATCTACGCAATGTGATTTTTTAAAAATTTCCACTCAGAAATCTGTTCGTACTTCATTTTCACTGCTACTCCAGTCTAGTCACAACACTTGAGGAAATAATATCTCACACAGTCATGAAGTGTCTATTTGGATTACGAGGAGAGTTTCAACTGACTGAGGACCATTGGGAAACCTATCGGAGACTCCGCTCAGAATCCGTCATTTTCTGCATTACAGTTGCTACTGAATGTCAGACAAGTGAAAGTGAATTTTTAAGCTGCATATTCAATTCATAACAACCCTTGCATTTGCAATTTTGACCAAACCAACTTGATATAAACCAATCATCTGAAGAAAATACATGCAAAAGGGCATGTTGTTAAATTGTACTAGCAGTTTGGTCACAGTATGTGCCTTTATTAACTACCAAAAAGACAGGTTTTGCAAAACCTATTGTTAAATCAACGTATTGCTTGAACAGCGTCACGCACCTACTAGATTTTATTCTAAAAGATCATTTTATTGTTTGGGTTTCGTACATTTCTCAATACACCACACACCCTTCACAATTCATAGCAATCCTCATTTTGAATTATACTGCAGCAAACTGTAGGATTACTGGAAAGACCAATGGCCAATTTCATTGTATTTTAATAAGAGCCAAAATGAGAGTTGGACTTATTACCTGGAGAAAAACTATCCCTAATCAAATGTATAATTTCATCCTCCTCGCAGAATAAGTAATTACGGCAAAATAGTATATTAAAAAAACTCTGCAACTATAAGGCTGATATGTATCTGTAACACTATAGTAAATGCAGATCATAACATTACTCATGGCGATCTGGCTAATGAATTAAGTACGAAGATCACTTACTCATGGTTCTCCACAGCTCTTCACGGCCAAAATGTATCCCAATTTCAGGGCCAACTTTATACTATGCGTGTGATTCCTCTAATGTACAGTGAAATTCTATAATGCACAATACGGTGGGATGGACAAAAAAGCAAAACACACTTATCTGGAAATTTGATGCCTTTGTATATTTTACTCTTATTTACACTGCACATATCTCTCTCTCACACACATACACACCACACACACATGCACACACACACATGCACACACACACACACACACAAAATGTAGCTTGTTTTTCCAATTAAGTGAATTTTAGATTTTTAAGAATGTTTTCCCTCGAGCTTCTCAAATGCTTAATAAGAGAGCTGCAAGCAAACAGAACAATGTCCCTGACCAAATTTCCACGCGTCTAAACATCCCTCCCAGATTTCAAATGGTTTAAAGACCCTTACACATTGCATACACTCTTCTTAAAATGGAGCACGAAAAAACACACCACTTCTGAACTAAAATACGCTTGTAGCGCTGTAAACCTCATGTTTTACCTTAGAACCCAGCTTATTTACTCGACACCCATGGAATACAGAAAACAGGGTTTACAAACGTACAGTGGAGAAAAATGCTCTTAAAATGATATACTCTTACTCTCTATTTACACATTTACACAACCAAAAACAAGAGCATTCCCCTCACTCAACTTCATAAATCGACCATTTGAAAACAAAATGAAGTTGAATATACCCTTTAAGGAATGAAACTGCAGGAAACTATTTTCACCCTCCACAATAACACACAGGACACCACTACAACACACATCTCATTTGAGCCCACGACAGTTTCATTCCTCAAAACAGTGCAGAATTTGCCCTGCAAAATACAGAAAAGTTGTAAGGAGAAAAAAAAAGTACAGTTGGCATCTTTATTCCCATCAGTTTCAGATCAAGTGTAAGTTCAAAACACAACCAACAGAACCATACTTTTGAGAATGCGACATGTTAAACACACACACACACACAGGGCCAACTCAGAGAGAACACTGTACATCCATTTCGTTTAGCCCTCATAACCACACACTGGTTGAACAAAAAAAAAAGAACGAAGCCATAATAATTTGCTGAACTTTCGTCTCAAACACAGATAAGCACAGGTAATGAAAAGAAATCGAGCCAGTTAAAACACGTACCGACTGTACAAAGCCACTCAACTCACACAAAAAAAATGCATCGACTGACTTAACGAAAGGCAATAAAATGGGACTGACTGCTCCATCGTCCAAAACAATACATTGCAGCCAGAAAATATCCTGCAAGAAAAAAAAACTAGTAACCCTGGCTAAAAAAAAAGGCGTGTGCTTTGATCGAAAAATAAAAGCACAGAATACATGTAATATAAAAAGTAAAAGGTTTTTTTTTAACACATCCACACACCACACACACACATATATATGTGTGTATATATATATACGTATATGTTTTTTAAAAAAGCAGAACTGTAGGAAGGACCGACTCTCTTAAGTCGTGATTTGCAATGATCAAAACAGCAGCTTTTTTTTTCGGTGGTGGTGGTGGAGGAAAAGGGAGAAGGAATGGCGTGATTCCCCCTACAGAGACATGGGATTCATTTATCTCTCTCTCTCTCTCTCTGTGTGTTAAGCAACGATTCGTGCACAGATCAAGCCAACACACGACCGAAAAGGGTAGAGGGGGAAAGGGAAAAGGAGGGTTAGGGGTGGGGGGGGAGAGAGGTTGGGGGTAGTAGGTAGGGGGGGAGAAAAAGGGGAGAGAGGTTGGGGGTAGTAGGTAGGGTGGGGGAGAGAGAGAGGGGGAAGAGAGGTTGGGGGTAGTAGGTTGGGTGGGTGGGGAGAGAGAAAGAGAGGGGGGAGAGAGGTTGGGGGGTAGTAGGGGGGAGAGAGAGAGGTTGGGGGTAGTAGGTAAGGGGGGGAGAGAGAGAGGTTGGGGGGTAGTAGGTAGGGGGGGGGGGGGAGAGAGAGAGAGGTTGGGGGTAGTAGGTAGGGGGGGGAAGAGAGAGAGAGGTTGGGGGGTAGTAGGTAGGGTGGGTGGGGGGGGAGAGAGAGAGAGAGGTGGGTGGAGGTTGGGGGGGTAGTAGGTGGGGGTGAGAGAGAGAGGGGGGGAGAGGTTGGGGGGGTAGTAGGTGGGGGGAGAGAGAGAGAGAGAGGGAGGGGGGGGGAGAGGTTGAGGAGTAGTAGTGGGGGGAGAGGAGAGGGGGGGGGGAGAGGTGGGGGTAGTAGGTGGGGGGAGAGAGAGAGAGAGAGGGGAGAGAGGTGGGGGGGGGGGGGTAGGGAGAGGGGGGGAGATGTTACAAACCAGTTGGGGGTTACATTACCTGTGCTGTCGCTGCCCTGGGAAGAGATTTTAGACCGCTTGGTTGGCGGTCCTTCCAGCAGGTTCTCTGCCATTTTTTTCCCCCTTTTTTTCTCACTTCGAATATATTTTTTTCTCCCTCTGAACGTTACGCGTTTAAACTTTTTTTTTTTACCCCCACTCCCCCCCCCCAAAAAAAAAACACACGACGACAACCTGTCCTGTCCTCCCTCCCTCTCTCCCCCCTCAAAAAAAAGAGAGAGAGAGAGGGGGGAAGAGAGAGAGAGAGAGAGAGGGTGTTGGTGGTGGGGGGGGGGGGGGATAAATCAAATGAGAAGAAAAACACACACAACCACCGAGGAGGGGAGGGGGGGTATTAAAAAAAAAACTCCCTCTCTCCAAAAGAAAACAGTTGGGGTTATTTTTTTCTCTCTCTCCCTCTCTCTCTCTCTCTCTGTGTCCCTCAAAGCAATTAAAAATGATCTGTTTTTTTCTCCTCCTCCTCTTCTTCCTTCTTCTTCTTCTTCTTCCCCTACTCCTCCTCTCTCTCTCTCTCTCTTCTTTCTCTCTCCTTCCCCCCCTCCCTCCCTCCCTCTCTCTCTCTCTCCTCTCTCCCCTCTCTCCTTCCTCCTCTCACTTCTTCTCTCTCTTCCCCCTCCCCTCCCTCCCTCCCTCCCTCTCTCACACTCACTCCCTCCCTCCCTCACTCGCTCGCTCGCTCGCTCACTCAGAGCCTGAGGCCTAACGCCAAGGCCCAGGCTTCTGCAGCCCGACGCTCCATTGACACCGCAAGCGGCGAAAGAGAAAGGCGTTTGGAAGAGGGGAAGGGGAGGAGGAGGGGAGGGGGGGGGAGAGGAAAGGAGAGGGGAGGTGTGTGTGTGTGTGTGTGGGGAGGGGGGGGTGAGGGTTGTGTGTGTGTGTGTGTGTGTAGGAGGGGAGGGGAGGGAGGGGAGGAGGAAGGAGAAGAAGGAGGAAGACAAGAGGCCGAGAGGTTAAAGGCGCCGACGGAAGAGAGACAAGCACATCCCCTCTCTCTCTCTCTCTCTCTCCCTCACTCTGTCTCTCTCTCTCTCTCCCTCTCTGTCTCTCTCTCTCTCTCTCCCCTTCCTACATCCCCGGGGCGCCCGGTGGGGAGGAGAGGGGAGAGCGGGAGCAGCAGCGGCGGCGGCAGGGGAGGAGGAGGAGGAAGGAGGGATGGTGGTGGTGGAAGAAGAGGAAGGAGGAGAGGAAAAAGGGGGTGGTGAGGGAGGGAGGGGGGGGGCGTGTGGGGGGTTGAGGGCGAAGGAGGGAGAGAAAACCCTGTCAAACACGACCAAACCCCCCAAGGAAAAAGCCCCCTCTGCCACAGGACAAGAGGGAACAATTCATCCACCTTTCCCCCTCCGCTCCTTCCTTCCCCCTCTCTCTCTCTCTCTCTCTCTTTTCCTCCTTCCTCAAAAAAAATCTGTTTAAAACCCCCCTTTCACTCTCACCCTCTCTGTTTAACCCCTCTCCCCCCTCTCTCTCTCTCTCCCTCTGTGTGTGTGTGTGTTCAACTCCCCCTTCTTCTTCTTCGCTCTCTCTCTCTCCTTCCTTCTCACTCTCTCTCTCTCTCTCTCTCACTCACTCACACACTCACTCTCTCAATTCGCCCCAAAATGTTCTGGAGGTTTTTGGAACATTTTTTTCCCCCTTTCTTTCCCTCTTCCTCTCTCTCTCTCTCTCAAACACACACACACACACCTATATGTATATATATATATATATAGATATAAATATATATTAAAAAGAATATCTCTTCTTTCCTCCCTTCCCCTCTTCTCTCGTTCTCTCTCTCTCTCTTTCTCTCTTTCTAATTCCTCCTCCTTTTCCTTTTTTTTTAAAAAAAATAACGGAAGGCGAAAAAAAAAAGGTGAGTTCTTTTTTTCGGGGGGTGGGGGGGAGAGAGGGGAGAGAGAGAGAGAAGGGGGGAAAAGAGAGAGAGAGAGAAAAGAGAGGAGAGAAAAAAAAACAAAGTCGTTTCCCCCCACTACCCCCTCTTCCCCTTAACCCCCCTCCTCCCTCCCCCCCCTTTCCGCTCCCCTCTTTCCTTCCCTCACTCCCTCCCTCCCTCCCCTCACACACTCCCTCCCTCTCTCTATCTCTTTTTTTTCTTCCTTCCCCTCTTTTTTGTGTGTGTGTGTGTGTGTGTGCGGTGTGTGGGGGGGAAATCGGGATTCGTGGCACCGAGTTTTTTTTTAGTTCGGACGGGTGTCCGCCATTTTTTTTTCGCCGCTTCTCCCTCACACACCGCCCCCCCCCCCTCACCCCCACTTTCCTTTCCCCCCCTCTCACACACACACACACACCCCTTTTTTTCCCCCTTTCTCTCTCTCTCTTTCTCTCCTTCCCCTCCCTCCCTCGCTTGTTTTTTTTTTGGAAGGGGGTCTTGTAATGTCTTCCCCCCCTCCTCCTCCCTCCCTCCCTCTTCCCTCAACAACAAACCAACCAACCAACCAACCACCCTCGGAGGACACTTCCCTCCTCAGTCCGAGCGGTGCTGTTTCGTGTGTCTCTCTCTCTCTCTCTCTCGCTTTCTTTCTTTCTCTTTCTCTCTCGCTCTCTCTCTCTCTCTCTCCCCCCCTCCCCCCTCCCCCTTATCTAAATCGCTCGCTCCCTGCCTTTGCCCCGTTCTCCTTCTGCTTAAACAAAATGGCGGCTTGTTGTTCTCTCGCCGAGCGGAGCGCAGCGACGTAAACTCTTCCCCTTCCCCCCCACCACCACCACCTTCTCCGCTCCGCTCGGCTCCGCCCTCTCGGCTCGAGTCGGTCGCTCACGGAAACGCCCGAGCGCCTCCGTCCCGATTCGGTCGGCCCGCGCGCACGTACACGCACGTGACCACTCACGTAACCCCGCCCCCCCCCTCCCTCCCACCCAACTCGCCGGCACGCGGCTCGCTCTTCCCATTGGCCCGCGACGCTGACGTCATTTAACCCCATCGCCGCCGGTCCTTTGCCACACACACACACACACATACAGTCTGCAAGGTGTTGGGGGGTGAGGGGGTGGGTGTGTTTGTGTGCATGTGTTTGTATGTGTGCGCGCGTGTGTGTCAGAGAAAGGGGGGGGGGTGGGGGCAGATATTCCACGAGCACACGCACACGTATGAGTGCGGCGAGAAATATGTGCAAAATGCAAATATGTACACACACACACACACGTATGTATATATATATATAGACACGCGCCAATTGATCAGGCGTGCATTTCCCCCACCAATTGCGTTCCCGCCATTACATACGTGTCAACGCGCACATACACGCCAACGATCGGCGACGCATTTCCTTTTTTTTTTTAATTCACCAATTTTGCTTTCCCCCCCCCCCCACCCCCCCACCCACCTCTCGAAAAAATACACCCCCCCCCTCCCTCCCTCCCGCCCGCCTTTTTGCTATGGTTGCAGTTTTGCGAAATATTCACCCGGTCCCAACTCTCATTTTTCAAATTGGAATTCCATTTGATTTCTGCCCCCCCCCACCACCCACCCACCCACCCACCACCCCCGAAGCTCATCTCCATCCCCCCACAACCACACACTATTCCCTTATGCGTTGTGTAACATTTCGCGCATGCGTGCACCAAAAACATGTCGTGCCTTGACCAACGCGAGTGTTTGCAAACTAACAGTTCCCACCCCTGAACCTTCCATTAGCTCTTACTCCATTCCAGCATCTGGCCTTCACTCCCAATCTCAACTGGAATTCCTGCAGTTCCTCCATCACCAAAGCTTCACAGAATACACTGTAAAGTGAATTGACTGTATATTTTGGGGGTGAAACGCAGGGCAGTGACCCAAATTTATTTTGAGGGATTACCCCCCCCCCGCCCCCCCGGAAAGTAATCCACCAGTCAACTAGCAACTGGGTTCCTATTTACTGCCGGGTAAACCGAGGTGTGTGGAATCAAACTCAGATCCTCTCGCTTGCGAGACAAGTACTCCAATACTCCAAGGACTTCTTCACTGTCCCTCAACCTTCCCGCAAAGCTACAGCCTTTCACAACAATTTACAATATAATGTCTTAAGAGACCAGCTTTACAAAGACTTAAGTGGAAGCCTGGCTAGAGAGTTAGCTGGTGGGACAAGGGAATGGAGGGTGGACACGAGTACGATCGAAGAGGTAAGTCTTTAGACAGGGTTGAAAAATAACTTAAACCAAGAGTTGGCTAACCATTACGTCACAATATTTACCTGTGTGTTTTTTTTTTTGTTTGGTCATCTTTTCAGCCTTGTCGATGTCCTGCAAAATGGAGCGAGCATCATCCCCTTCAGTAAAATCATGTTAGCGAGGGAAAAGAACATAGGAGTAAGGCAGAGAAAATAGTCCCAAGTGCAGTGTGCTTTCAAAGGACTTGTATCTGCGGAAGCACAGAGCTCACAGTTGAGAGAAGAAATGAACTGCGATGCATGGTATTAAAAGTATTTTAATATTTTCGAAAAAAGAGCAGTGGAGGAAAAAATGCAAAGGTTTAAAATATTTCAAATAAATGGTGGGAGGCCAACTGGATGGGTGGACCATTGCCTTCTTTCGCCTAACAACTCTTATTTTCTTAAATGATAATAATAATCCTTGCATTTGATATAGCGCGAGGATTGAAGTGACCAATTTTTTTCTAAGGAAATATTACCCCCGGAAAAATGATCCACCAATCGACTTAACAACCGGGTTCCTACTTACGCCTGCTCCAACCACTGAGCTATGCGGCTCCAGAATGAATGAATCTTACCAGTACACAGAGGCTCCTTGAATTCCCCAGAAGCTTCATGTCTTTGTGGATTTCACTCGGGGGCACTTGACAGCACTTAGCACCTACAAACACTCAGACAGTTACGTCACACTTCACAACTCCGACAGACTAAGCTTCTTTGTGACGGTAACAAAAAATCAGAAGCGTCGACTTCAGAAATACTCAAAAGGGACATGCTTATGTTTACGTTTATCCTCACTGGGATAAACACACCGTTACAACACACCACAATACTTTCAATTTTTATCATACTATAATAATATAGCATTTGATATATCACATCGTTGAGACATCTCAAAGCTCTTTGCCGAATATATTGTAAAGTCAATAGACTGTATATTTTTTGCGGGCAGCCAATTGCACACAGCAGTGTCCCACAAAGAGTCGTGGATTGAGTGACCAAAGTGTTTTCTCTTTTTGGAGGGATTATAATCCTTGGAAAGCGATCCACCGATCGACTAACAACCAGGTTCCTCCTTACTGCTAGGTAAACAGAGGCGTGTGTGTGGAGTAAGGAAACTTGCCTAAGGTTTCGCCCTGCCCGGGAATCGAACCCGAGTCCTCCCGCTTGCGAGGTGAGCACACTAACCACTAAGCTACAGGACTCCACTATTAGACGTTCAATCCTTCCCCTTATGCAGAAACGCTGTTCGCTGTGGGCTGTTTGCACTTACCGTGGTTTGAGCCGTTGCTGAAATAAGCAGTCATCTTTCAACCTCCAACTGACACCTTGTTTGACCACAGAGGTAGACACTGAGATTGGCGTCCAAACAGAAGTCAAGATGTTCTGTGTGACACGCATACGATTCGCTTCTTAATGGCAATCTCGCCAACTTTAGTACCTGTCGCTCTTCAGAAAGTGTCTAAACAGGCTTATTAAGACAGGGGAATGTATTGGAACAAAACTTGTCAACCGCATACAGAGATCAGAGATTCCCACAAAAATAGAGCAAATTACACACATTGTTTTACCTTTGTTCTTGTCAGAAAATAATAATAATCCTTGCATTTGATATAACACCTTATCACATCCCTGAGCCGTCTCAAAGCGCTTCACGGGATGTACTGCAAAGTGAATTGACTGAGTATTTTTGCTAATTGAGCAGAGGGACCAAATTATGATAATAATACTTGCATTTGATATAGCGCCTTATCACGCACGTCGTTGAGACATCTCAAAGCGCTTCACAGAATATGCTGTAAAGTTTAATGACTGTATAACCCTGTTAAGGTTGGAGGAGAAATTGTCCAAACTGTTTCACTGTTTCGTGAACAGGAGGCAAAACCACAGACAGGAACAAATGTAGAGTACTTGCATTTATTACCAGGATTAAAAATCATTACAATAAGTTGAAGCTTTACAGACCGGGGAATGAGGTGCAACGACAACAAAATGATATTTGTATAGCGCCTTTCACTTCAGGAGGATGTCTCGAGGCGCTCGTCAAACATAACGAGGTCAAAACCTTGTGTTGAAGAAGGAGATGCGAAGAATTCGAAGCGAGTTAGCCACCGATAAAGAGCTTCGAATAAATCGATATTTTTAAATTGAAGGTGAAATATCATTTCATATTGGACGTTCCACATTCCCATTGGGGAATTTTCTCCCTGCTTTCATTTGTTTCTCGAGTGGCACATTCCCGCCTCGCAAATCCCCTGAGTGTAAGTCTCATCCAACCATACTCTGCTCTGCGACAGGATATCGCAGTCCAGCTGAATTCTTCTAGATTAAACTGATCGTTCACCTCGCGGTGATTTTCTGCGCCCTAAAAAACACTCGCTGTATTTGACAGTATTTGACAGCGATGAGACCTTTCAACATCATATTAAAAAAAAATCACTGCAGAGGCTGGAAATCTGAAATAAAGACAGAAGTCGCTGAGATCACTCAACAGGTCAGGCAGCATCTATGGAGAGAGGTAAGTGAGTTAACTAATTTTCCTCTCCCTCTAGATGCTGCCTGGCCTGCTGAGTGTTCCCAGGCACTTCTGACTTTCATCCCAAAAATATAAAGCCATTGTATTTTGTTTTCCCCTCCGCCCAAGCTAAAGGAACTTTGTCCTGGCAATAATGCGGAGGGACAGGACGACTGAGTCTGCAATGATCAAGCTAATCAGAATCGCTCTGAGAACCAGTCGTTACATTCTCATAGTCACAATTCCCATTTCATCACGTTTTGTATTAATTCTCATTTCATCACGTTTCTACATTGCATGCGACACAGAAGGGGAAGAATTCTATTGGGTAACATATCTCCAATATGAAGAATGTGTTTCTCACAGTAAAATCTGGCCCTGACTCGCGGCCCTGACCAAATATCCAGAGTAAAGAGAGATACAAGTGTGATGTTCACAATCTAATCTAAGCGTCGTTAGTTCAAGCAATTTGCACAGCACCAAATACCTACCAGAATTGATGTCCATGATTCTCCCTATTATTTTCCCTAACCTTCCCCCCACCCCCCACCCCCAGGTAGGTTCAACTATACTCACATCAAGCGCCAGCACCCAGCATCTCAAATGACTAACTGTTTGACAAAAATGTCCACTAGCTTCGACCTTCTCCTGTCTGTCTGTTCAGGTGGACGTAAAGGTCCCCACGGTACTACTTGAAAAGAGAAGGGAGTTAATAATAGCAATAATGTAATCCTTGCGTTTGATATATCGCTTCACGGAGACGTCTACTTTGGTGTAAAATCAAAATAACTGTATTTTGTGTGAAGCGCGGCAGCTACTTGCGCACAGCAGTGTCCCGTAAACAGCCGTGGATCGAGAGACCGAAAAAAAAGTTTTTTTTAAAAAGGCCTGGCATCTATTGTCACTCATGCCTAATAATTGAGTAAAACTTTGAGTGTATTGTCTTTTAAAGAAGGATAGAAAGTTCTAACCCTAAGGCAAGTAATAACCAGGTTCCTGCTCATTGCTGGGTAAACAGAGACATAAGGAAACTTGCCTCAGGTTTCGCCCCGTTAGGGAATCGAACCTGGGTCCTCTCGCTTGCGAGGCGAGTGCTCTAACCACTATGCTCCAGGACTCCACTGCATTTAAGAACCGAGGCCTGGACACTCAGAAGTGCTACATGGATAAATTTAGACCAGGTGGAATTTCTCTCAATCGGAACCTTGCAACATATCCAACTATACCGAACAACAAGATTCCTGACTGGGGTTTTCGCTGCTTAACCTTTCCCGTTAAGCCTTCGGTGTGGGACGCCTCTCACTTGTTGACTGTCGCGATCAACATCTGCCAACGAACGTCTGCCCACCCAACTTGCCTCACGTGACGGGAAGCTTCACAGAACTAGACCGAGCGACGGTGGACACCAGAGGGTTCGAGCCGGGGGGGGGAAAAAGAAAACCGACACATTTTTGGCGTCTCTACATTATAGCCTTAAACTCACATAAATCCACGATCCACTGGGTTATGACCAGCTTATTGTAGAGCGCCCCTTATTGCTCAATAAATCATCCGCATTTCTGGAAAGCCTGGGATTGGTAACAAGGGGGCCCCATTGGTGGGAATACCAGTCCCTGCCGGTTCAAACTAGTCCGAGCCATTTCGGAAAGGGCCACAATAATCCGGGGCTGTGGTTTTTCCTGCTTCAACACAGCCTGTAAACAGGAGGACTTACAGTGAGCCCCATTGAGGCTGGTCCCCCTCTTTTCCCAGTGCGTCACAGGAGCTCAGTCCACTGGCTCCTGTTTGATGTTTTCTATCGGAATCAGGAGGTTGCTGGGATCCAGTGGTGTTGACATGTCAAATGTCTCTTCCTTCACTTTGACTGCAATGACTGAGGGAGGGGAGGGAATTGGGAGAGAGAAATCCTATTAGTTTGTCCACAGTCATGAGATGAAATGTTTAATCGTCAGATGTTAAACCGGGGTCCCATCTGCCTATTCAGTTGGACGATAACTTGCCCCCTGAGCGCTTGACAGTGGCGGAGCACGATGCCTCGCCGGGGGGAGGGGGAAGATGATTGTAGGCACGGTCGAAGAGGAAGGTCTTCAGGCGTGACCTGAAGATGGGGCAGGATAGGGTGAGGTGGAGGGATTGAGGCAGTGTTTCTAGAGTTTGGAGGTGTAGTCCCTGACAGCGCGGCCGATGATGGTGGAATGGAGGGCACGAGGGACAAGCAGAAGGCTGAAGCCACAGGTGGACGTTAAAGATCACACAACACTACGGGGTCTTGACCAACAATTCCCCAGCACCGCCCCCCCAACCCCAGATAATATAGGGCATTGCTTAGCATGGCCGTTTGCAGGATGTTGCTGCGGCGTGATAAGACGCTATTTCAAACGACACGATTATTATTAGTGTCATAACTGCTTCGAGAAGTTCTCCTGAGGTGAAAGACACTGATTGGGGAAGGCAACGTTTAGGATTCTCCTTCTTACTTTCATCCGCGTTCACCTCCTGCTTCGGCAGTTTGCCTGAATTGAACGATGTCCCACGTCTGCCCTTCCCTCCACATTTGAGCATCAGCAGCCTTCTCCCTGTAACAGCAACGTGCATTCACATAGTGCTCCTCACGCAGGGACAGTCTAAGCTGACTCTCCAATGCAGCGCTGGGGGTGGGGGTGCTGCAGTTTCGGAGGTGCCGTCCTTCGGATGAGATGCTAAGCTGAGCTTCCCATCTGCCTGTTCAGGTGCACGTTTAAGATCCCATGGTGCTATTCAAAAAGAAAATGGGATTTCTCTCTCTCTCTCTCTCTCTCTCCCCCGGTGTCCTGGACGGCAAATAATCACTCGCTCCATGATTGTTTGTGAGACGCTGCTGTGCGCAAATTGGCTGTCGCGTTTCACCCAGAAAATAAGCAAGGATTACTATAATAATATAAAAACGTCTCCGTTACGTTAAGAAGACGTACTTTTCCTGCCAAAGTGTTTTTTCCTCGGTTTGTTAGTTTCGCTGACTTTACCCTCTGTTTTCTCAAGAGCTGCAGACAAAATAAGAGAAACAAATAGACTGTCAACATATCATCAAAGAGCAAAGCACAGTCACTCCACTTTACAGTACGTTCTTGTGAAGCTCTTTGAAAAGTCACAACAACTTTCACCCAAAGGCTCGTGGAAATCTGGAACTCCCTCCCTCCCCCAAAAGGTGGTGGACCCATTCACATTGTCACGGCTGAGGTTGGACATATACTTGTCAAGTCAAGGTATCAAGGGATTTGGGGCAAAGGCATGTAATTGGAGTTGAGGTACAGATCAGACATGATCTAATAGAATGGCGCTACAGGCTCGAGGGGCTGAATGGCCTCCTCCTGTTCATATGATGCTATCAATGCAAGGATTATTATTATTATAAAGCACATGGCTATTCAAAGGTGAAACGGAATATTAGAACAATCTGCCTAAGGTTGCGCAAACCTTCACTGTCCAGCACTTGGGACGTTCTCCCGACGTGAAATGCGCTGTGTAAATGTATAAACCCTTAAGCAACGGTGACGGGTTTCCGCGTGTGTGTCAGACACCCGGCTGACCAAAAACAATGGTGGTTGTTGTAGGAAATCTTCACCTGATGGGTTCACAGGTGGCTGCAGTTGGTAGCCGGTTAGCTCGCACCAGCCCACTGGGTAGATATCAGGCGACTCACAGTCTACCCACTGATCGTAGTCATCTTCCCAGCCGTCAAAATGGATCCGCAGCAACCGATTCACCACCCGGGTCACGGTAGCCACACAGATCAGCCGGGGTTCCATCAGGTCCACAGCCTCCAGCTTCATCCCACACTGGAAGCCGTGACTTGGGATGTCCTAGGGAAACAATGGGATGACACGTTCATTACCTTTCAAATCATAGAACCTTACAGCATCGGAAGGAGGCCATTCGGCCCACCGCGCCTGTGCTGGCTCTTTGGAAGAACTGCTCAACTAGTCCGACTTCCCCCCCACCCGCTCGTTCCCCTGAATCCCTCTAAATCGTTTCTTCTCAAGAACCTGTCCGATTCCCTTTTGAAAGTTGCGGCGGAATCTATTTCCACATGTAATACAATACAGTAAAACTCACCCAAGTCTGATTTGTATAATCGCCTAAGTCCTGTGTGCATCTGCCCAACTCTCGTTCGAGAATATATATTCTATGCAAGTTTGACATAACAATAACAAGTGACCACATTGGGGGGGGGGGGGAAACGGAGGGATAATTACCCCCTGAAAGTGATGTGTTAATCAACCAATATCCTACTTACCGCTACGGTTTTGCCCGGCCTAGCAACTGGACCCAGGTCCTCTCGCTTGCAAGGAGAGTGCGCTGCCCACTATGCTACAGGACTCCACTCTACCTCTCCTTCCCTCTCCCTCTGTCGCGTTTGTCTACAAATACAGTCGTTATAGTTGAGAGTATATATTTAAAAAATCCCCAAATGTGGTCGGGCGCTATACCAAACGCGGGCATCACTATATTATTTAAGCTTTACTATCGCGCCTGAAGGCAGCCCTCTTCGATCGTGCCAATAGTCGCCGCCCCACTCCCCTTGGCTGGACTTCGGGCTCCGCCACCGTTAAGCGCTCCGGGACGCTATCCTGCGCGAGGGGCGCAAGTTGTTATTGTTTGTTTGTTGTTGTTATGGAGCTTCGTCCCCGTACATCTGAAAGCACAAGCGGCACTGCAGTACCACTGCTGTCTTGTTGGAGGAGCCGGTGAGTTTCCACGGTCAAGTTCTGAGGAGCATCAACAGGGCCTGAAGTTGCCGCTCAAAAATTGCACTCATCGATTGCAAAACCATTTTGTTTTACAGTTTCCAAGATCGTGCAGCACTGCGCGAGCCTTTGCGATCGAAATTGGAAGCCGTTCGCCTTTAAGGATGACGGAAGGAAAGGAAAGCCGGCTTCCAAATTACGGCTGAATTTTAAGAACCGTCTACACGTCTGAGCAGTAATAATCATAACAAGTATTATATAATGCTATCAATCCTTGCATTTGATAAGGCGCCTCATCATGTCGTCGAGACGTCTCAAAGCCCTTCACAGGATATACTGTAAAGTGGAGTGACTGTGTGTTTTGTGGGTGAAACGCGGCAGCCAATTGCGCACAGCAGCGTCCCCCCAAACAGTCGTGGATTGAGTGACCAAATTATTTATTTATTTTGACGGGATTACTACCCATGGAAAAGCGATCCGCAAATCGACTAACAACCGGGTTCCTACTTACTTCTGGGTAAACAGAGGCGCGTGTGTGTGGGGAAAGGAAACTTGCCTAAGGTTTCGCCCCGCCCGGGAATCGAACCCAGATCCTCTCGCTTGTGAGATGAGCGCTTTAACTGCAATGCCAGTTTAGCTCCAAGGAGACCTCGTTTGCCTCCCCTCAAGGAGGACACACTCACCCTGATAAACAGACTGGCAGGAGCAGCCACAGCACCGGTGTCTTTCAGATATTCGAGCCAGTTAAAGGGCTTTCCATAACCTGGAGGATAAAGAGGATAAAACGATGACAAACGACAAATAAAATGAACCAGCAACAGATTATTAACCTGGTTACAATACCACACTCCACGACTGGTGGCAAGAACAAACTTAATCAAACGGAAAATAGAGCTAAAACTCCTTTAACCGCTCTGTGTAATGGGTTAAGAGTCTCTCTCTCCCTCAGGGAATCACCCCCTCATTCATGGCAGGAAGATGACCTCTCAGAACAAGGGAAGACAAAATACTGGTCGATAGCGCTCTCTCGCTCTCTCTCTCTCCAAGTCAGATGGTTGTGGGTTCCAGCCCCCACCACGTAGGGACTTGGAATCACATAGTTTAAACCGATCTCCCCGACTGTCTTGGGACGTACACTCCGCCGCTGTCAAGCTCTCCGAGACGCTACCCCGCCGGCTATATAAATGCAAGTCGTAGTTGCTGTGGGCTTAATCTCTGACGTGGGGCTTCTTACCTCGCGGATGGGTGAGCTCGATGGCATTCTTGCTGCAGAATTCCACAGGGAAGATGGAATAGGCGGAAGCGTGGTAACAGAACCAGTCAGTGCCGTCCTCTGCCTCCGATCCATCAATCCCAATCATCAGGTAGCCATCCATCAACACCTGCAATTGCAAAGGGCAGAGAGGGGGAGAAAGAGAGAGAGAGAGCGCTTTTCGCTTCAAGCCCAACAAAAAATTAAAAGGCTAATCCATCCCTGCAGACAACTGTCCGTCACCCACATATGTGGCATCTTCTGACATGCATCACGTCACCACTTTCCCAGATCTTCTCCTTACCTTTCGGACCGTGGCGACACATATGGTGGATAGATTCAGGGGATCGATGGCTTCAAGTTTCATCCCCTCCTCAAACCAGTCGTCATTCGTATAGACCACTCGGACCTAAAATGGCAGGTTTTAGACACAGTAATATAACTAAATGATCCTTGCGTTCGGGACATACAGCACCTTGTCATGTCGGAAAGACGCCCCAAAGCGCTTCACAGGTATAGTGTAAAGTGGAGTGACTGTGTGTTTCGTGGGCCCTTCGAACAGCTGTGGTGCGAGCGACCAATTTTTATTCGGGGGATTGTTGGCAGGTCATCTGAAGGACGGTGTCTCCAACCCCTTCCCCACCGCCCCCAGAGCGCGTTTCAGTGGGAAAACTTGTCTTTAAAAAAGAAATCTACTCACATACCTTTTTGAAGAGATGGGGCACTGCATCACAGTAGATTTTCCTGAAGGTAGGATGGCAGCCAAGATCTGCTTTGCTAATTCCATCTGTAAAGGCACGATTCAAGTCTCACTTAGGACGCAATCAGTCTAACTTCGGTTTAGTTGACAGCACTTTGGGTTAGAAGTTCTAGGTTTTGTTTTCGGTGGTAGATTTAAGCGCTCCGAGACCCTGTCTGGGGTGAAGGGCGCTATATAAATGCAAGTGAGTTGTTGTTGTGGATGTCAAAGCGAGTTCAGGAGAAACATCTTGACGTACACTCTAGCGGTTATCCCAACACACACTCTGGGCTCCCCCCACCTGCGCCTAATGCTGTCCCGAATTAGGTAAGCAGGGTACGTCCCTCCAGAGAGAGAGAGAGAGAGCGCATTTCATTCTAACAATCCATCTCTTATGTAGGTGAGATGTACATACACACACACACCCTCGCACACGCCTACATGCACTCAAACTCACATATACACACACTCACATGCACACACACGCGCTCGCACGCACACCCACACACGCACCCACTCGCCCTCAGCTCACCAGATCGCTTGAACCTGTGACTGACTTTCTTTGACCAGCCCACGGGGTGGATGAGGGGGCTCCACATGTGGCACCAGAAATCCTCGTCGTCCTCGCAGTCCTCGTACAAGAGTCTCAGGCGCCCCCCGATCACAGTGTCGACCACGGCTGTCCGGGTGCGCGAGATTTGCGTCTTGTCCACCACCTCCACGCGCATTCCGATCCGGAAAGGGTACTTCATGCTCTCCACCATCTGCGGCAAGGAAGAGAGCGACAACAACAACACATTACATTTGTGGGGGCTTTTCGGTCATGGGTTGTAGACTTTTATCTCATATTTATAAGCAATTTTGTCTCACGTTTTATCACGATATAATTATATATATTTATAAGCTGATGAAAGGTCATTGACCCAAAACTTTAACTCCCTTTTCTCTCTCCATAGATGCTGCCTGACCTGCAATTCTGTGTGTGTGTATATATATATATATATATATAGAATTGGCTGTTGAATTTCACCCACAAAGACATAGTAACTACACCTTACATCATATGCTGTGAAGTGCTTTGAGATGTTTCAGCCACGTGATAAGGCATTATACCAACTGCAAGGATTATGATTATCATTATACTAAGCTCTTTATATTTACACTGTGACTAATAGACCACATCACAAGGTACGTACACCGTGAGTTAGAGTGTACAATCGCTTCCCTACCTTGTAGTGAAAGTCAGCAGGTAACGTCTTAGATCCAATAATTTTCTCCAGCAGATAAGTTCTCCAGTCGGTCGTCTTGGTGTGCACAGCTGTAAGCAGAAAGGCTTTTAAAAAAATGTTGTAAATATTTTTTGAATGGATTACTTCCCCTGGAAAAGCGCTCCACCAATCGGCTAATAACCGGGTTCCTGTTGACTGCGAGGTAAACAGAGGCACAGGTGTGTGTGGAGTAAGGAAACGTGCCTACAGGTTTTGCCCTGCCCGTCCACCCGGGAATCGAACCCGGGTCCTCTCGTTTGCGGAATAAAGCGTTCTGACCACTACGCTCCAGGACTGAGGCAACGAGGGCAAAGGTAGAGGTGTTTAAGTGAAGAAACCAGTGACTTACTCTGAGGCGGCACAAGAGGTTTAGCGATGGTGGAACACCAGCCAATGGGATGGACATCTCCACTCCCCAGATTATACCAGAAATCCTTGGTGGAGTTATTCCCGAATCCCTCGTACCGCAGCAGCCCCTGGTATCCTGAACAGAAAACACACACGTCAGGCTGCTCCAAACTTTTCGGCTGCTGAGGGCCTTCGCCCTCTCTGACCCCAGCACCTCCTTCTTTCCAACCTGTCCTCAAGACCCTCCTCTTTGACTGCGCCTTCGGTAACCTTCCTACCCCTACCCTCCAGGCCCCAACCCCTCCTGATCCCCACCCCCAGCTCGGGTGCAGATTGCTGTCTTGGGACGTCCGCCGGACGTGAGAGAGGCTGCACAAATGTAATTTGTTGTTGTTATTACCTAAAAACCACCCACACCCCCGCCCCCAACCCCCCAAAAAATCTTTAAACGCACCACTAAAGTACTTCAGTGACGGGTAAAGATTTCAGGGGAGCAGGAGGTGGAGTGGGAGGTAAAACTTAATAGCAAGGGGATTTGTAATGCAACCTGAATAGGTGCAAATTACATCAATTCAAGCTGCGGATTAAACCAAGGGCTCTTTAATGTGCGCCTTGAAAGGGTACAAATTGCATCAATTCAATCCACAAAGTGGAGTCTCTCTCTCTCTCTCTCTGTATTTCGCAGCCAATTTGCGCACTGCGATGTCCTTCAAACAACCGTGACCTGTTACACACACAAAAAAAGAAGTCATGAAGTGAACCCTTACTAAGGCTTAAAGAAAGACCTACCTGCTAGTTTAGTGACAGTCGCAATCCAGTAGACTTTGTTGGGAAGGTTACAGTCTTTGTTCAGTACCTCGATTTTCATCCCTTCGATAACATCCTCCCACTGATCAAACAGCGGAACCTGTTACAGGAAATAGACTGCATATATTATAGACTGCAACCGCAACAACAGACATTTAAACGGCGCCTTTCATATCAGGAGGATGGTCAGGGATTTGGACCCGAGCTGGATGTCGGGATCTCGAGGGGTGGAGGGCGGGGAGGGTAGAGGTGGGAGGGCAGACCAAAGGCGCGGAGGGATGTGGAGAGGGCTGGAGGGAGCGGACAGGTTGGTATGGGGTTAGCAGGTCCCAGGGGTAGGGAGGAGCAAGGCTATGGAGGGCCTTAAAGGCGAGGAAGTGAGTCTCCAGCGCTTCACGGGATTCACAGCGAAGTGGAGTAACTATGTATTTTGTGAGCAAACACGACAGCCAGTTTGCGCACAGCAGTGTCCCGCAAACAGCCATGGGGGCGAGTGACCAATCTTATTCGGGGGATTGTTGGTCAGGACACCAGAGGGAGAGAGAGAGAGAGAGAGAGAGAGAGAGAAAAGCTCCCTTCTCTTTTGGTGACCATAGGATCTTTACTGTACATGGTGTTTACGATATTGAGAACATGATCTCGGACAGTCAGTACGAGGTTTACTCACATGTTTGAAGCAACTGACAGGGGCTGCTTTGCACATTTGCTCCTGAATATAATTTCCCCATTGAAACCCTTGATTTGCACCTGGAATGAAACCAAAAAACAGTCAGAGTTAGAGTTGTGTAGTCATCCTTAAACCTTGCGTTCGATAATAGCGCCTCTGGTGGAGTCGAAAGTGTGGAGGAGGCCCATGGAGTGTTATGAAGTCCTGTAAACCTACTGGTTAGAGCTCTTGCCTCGCAAGAGGTTCGATTCCTGCGCAGGGCGTAACCTTAATAATAATCATTGCGTTCGACATAGCGCCTTATCACATCTTTGAGCCGTCTCAAAGCGCTTAACAGGATACAACGTAAGGTGTAGTGTCGGTGTATGTTGTGGGAGAAATAAACCTGAGGCAAATTTCCTTACTCCACACACAAACACACACACACACTCTGTTTACCGAGGAGAAGTAGGAGCCCGGTTGTTAGTCAATTAGCGGATTGTTTACTGGTGGCAGATAAGAGGACACTGCGAAACTCACCATTGATGTTCCGCAGAGAGCTACCCGGCTGCCCATTTGTTGGGGGCCGCAGAAATGCTTCCAGTTTCGCTGACCACGAGGCTTTGTGCAATACCTTGGCTTTCTTTGTGGGCGGTTTTCCCTGTGAAACAACCGACAGAGGAGTTCCCTTTCAATCAACGTGAAACAATATTGCAGCGGAGAATCGAATACCTGATCCGATACTCGCAATCTAACACAATTTACACTTACATCAAGTGCCCCTCACTTCGGGAAGATTAACCTTGTTGGCCAGGACATCAGGAAGAAGTTCCCTTCCCTTTTCATTTCAAATCGCGCCAATGTTAAGCGAACAGGCAAGGACGGGACCTCAGTTTAATGTCTCATCTCTAGAGAAAACATGTCACCTCCGACAATGAGGGGCAGCGTCTCAGAGCACTTTAACAGTGGCGGAACATGATGCCGGGCCAGTGGGAGGGAGGGAAGGAGGTGACCTTTAGCCGCGGTCGAAGAGGAAGGTCTTCAGTCTTGATCTAAAAGAGGGGAAGGGAGGAGAGGGCAAGGGGGAGAGATTGAGGGAGAGAGTTCCAAGGTTTCGGGGGGGTTGTGGCTGAAAGTGCAGCCGCCGATGGTGGAGTGGAGGGTGGGGGCGAGGGACAAGCAGGAGGCTGGAGCCAGCTGAGCAGAGGANGGGGGGGGGAGTAAGCAGGTGCAAAAGGGCGTGAGGGAAATAACAGCGCTGGATATTGAGGCGTTGCTCTCACTAACCTGTAACCTGGCGAGAATGCTGGCTTTCTTTGAGTTTGAAGAGTAACTTCGAGAACAGGAGACACTGCAGAAACGTTTGGTCTTCGAGAAGAAGGATTCCCGGGCTCCTGTTATCCCACACATCTCACAGGTCGCTTTTGGAAGATGAAACAGAAAACAAAATACACCTTAAAAGCTTCGGCAGTCTCGGGTGATCGTGACAGATAAATACATGATGGGTTCCTTGCATTTGATACCGCGCCTCATCAAGTGGTCGAGACACGACACAATACAATACCAAATTACACTCGTAAAGAGCCTTTCGGATCGGGAGGACATCTCAAGGCTCTGGGAATGACGTCAAGTGAAGTGGCTGTGTAATTTGTGGGGAAAAGCGACAGGTGTGGACGAACGGGACCTCAGTTTAACGTCTCGCCTCTGGAGAAGGATGTCGCGGCCCACAGGGTGTCGAGGACGTACCCATTCCCAGCTTCTCATCAGCCCCGGACTCGTCGTCGTTGATCTCGAACGGCTTCCGGTCCGCCCTGCTCCCCTCGCTGGATCCATCCGTGCTGCGGTTACTGCGATCCTCCAGACTGTCGTAGCCGTCGAACAGGCAATAGTCTTCCTCGGCGAAATCCATCTCCTCATTGACCTGAACAGGTAAAAGAAGGGATAACCATACGAACTCCTGGAGCTCAGTGGTTAGTGAGCTCGCCTCGCAAGCGAGGGGACCTGGGTTCGATTCCCGGGCGGGTCAGGGCAAAAAAATTAGGCAATTTTCCTTACTCCACACACACACACTTCTGTTTACTCAGCAGTAAGTAGGAACCCAGTTGTCAGCTGATTAGGGCATCACTTTTCTGGGGGTAATAATTCCTTCCAAAAAAAAAAACAAGTGAATCGGTCACTCGGTCCACGGCTGTTCGCGGGACCCGACGGCGCACAATTGGCGGCCGCGTTTTGCCCACGAAACATCCGGTCAATTCGCTTCACGGTGTATTCCGCGACGCGCTTCGCGCCGTCTCGAAAAGAGAAGGGAGTTTTTCTCTCTCTCTCTCTACCTACCAACCCCCCCCCCCCACACCCCACCGGTGTCCCGAATATACCGCGAAGCGAACCCACGGTGAATTTTGTGGCTGAAAGCACGACAGGCGATCGCGGGCGGCAGTCTACGTAGGGACGTGGGGCCGGAAAGGAGGGCTGAGGGTCACGCAGGACAAGGGCGGTTTCGCGGACCGACTCTCGGAAGCCCAGAGAGTCAGGAGGTAGCGAATATTTCTACACTTATCCTCAATGTTACTTTATCGACGCGGCTTCTACACTGTTGCGACGCCGAGCACCGCAAAAGTCTGCGCCCGGGGACCGCCGATACAACTCGAAACATGGTCTCGAGGGCTCGGAAAGCAGCTGAACCTGAGTTTTCTTCTGCTCCCCCCGCCCCCCCCCCCCCCCCAAAAAAAAAAAACTTCCCGTTCATCTCGACCGACCCCGGGGCGTCCAATTAAACGCGCGAACTGTTCGCCCCGCTCGTTAAAAAAAAAAACTATTCGCCCGTGAAACGCGATGACAGGCGAAGCGCTTCGAGGCGTCTCGACGACGCCGTACGACGCCACATCAAACGCAAGGATTATTATTGTGATTGTTGTCGTTCTTGTTGTCGGGACAGAAAGCGACGCGGAAAAAAAAGATCATTTCACAGGTCCCGAAGCGAGAGGATCACAACCCAACACGTACGTACGTACGTACGTTCACAGTTCCCCCTCTTCACACTTTGATACGTTATTATTTAACATAATAATACTAATACTTGCAATCGATATAGCACTTTATCACGTCGTCGCGATACCTCGAAACGCTTCACAGGATATAATGGACAACAACATCTTGCGGTTGCATTTATCATTATTATTATTATTATTATTATTATATAGCGTCCTTCACAGGGGTAGCGTCCCGGAGGGATTCGCAGCGGCAGAACCTGGCAACGAGGCGGGGTGCGGGGGGAGAGAGAGAGAGAGAGGGAGAGAGGGGGAGAGGGGAAGACTGTAGTGACTGTGTGCCTGATGGCAGCCGACGGCGCACAGCGGTGCCCCACCGACGCTCGCGGGTTGGACGTATGCAACGGGAAAATGCGGAGGACTCACGGAAACCGCGGGAGGCTTTTCCTCCATCTCCTTGGGGCACAGACCTTTGTGTGGGGATCAGGAACGCCGGGCTGCCATCTTTGCAAAGAAAAAAAAAGCCACTTCCTCACAACATGCTCGCTCACTGGAAGTGCCGCGGTTAACCAATGGTGGTGTCGGACTATGTATAAATGTGCACTCTGGGAGCTGTAGTCCGTGTAAAGCCGACCCGACATCGGCAATAGCCTCACCGAGCGATGGAATTCCCTGCCAACGCCAACAACGACACTTGCATTCGATCCAGCGCCTCGTCGTAGGATTATACAGTGCACGGCAGAGGCCATTCGGCCCATCGTGCCCGTCGCCGGCTCTTTGTGAAGAGCTTTTCCAATTCAACCCCACCGCACCCCCACCCCCTCCCCGCTCTCCCCGCACGGCCCTGCCGACTTGTCCTCCCCAGATAAATATCTACCTCTCCCTTAAAAGTTGTTACCGAATCGGCTTCCGCCAGGCTTTCGGGCCACCGGGACGTCTCGAATGCGTCACGTGCTCTAACTGGGCAAAACACGGCAGCCAGTTTGCGCGCAGCAGTGCCCTGTCATGGAGCGAGTGACCAACTTTATTTGGGGGGGGGTTGGGGACGGGACGCGGGTTGTTGGCCGGGACACCAGAAGAGAGAATAACGCCAGGGGATCTTTAACACCCACCCGTACAGGATGGCGGGGAGCTCTGATTGATGTCTCATCTGAAGGACAGCCTCTTCAACAAGGCGACAGCCCCCCCACCCCCCAAAGCTGCACTGGAGTGTCAGCTTAGACTACGTGATCGCGCGTCCCAACGTGGGGTCTGAATTAAGAGATTCGAATCGTGTACCTGACTTAGCTTTAACCTGTTTAGACCATTGGGGGGGGGGGGGGGGGGGAGAGAGGGGGAAGTTGTATTATTCGTGTGGGTTTTTTTTTGCTCCAGAATTGTAAATACGTCACATTTCGTTTGATTTATTTCCAGATGGCAACCAGAAAAGTGTGCGCTCGACATATTTTGATCAGCTACTTCCTAGCGCCCTATGTGCCGAGATGCGTTTTGCCTTCGACCGTGCCTTCAGCTCCCCTCTCGACTCTCTACCCCCTCCTCGCCCCCTCCCTTGCCTTCGACCGTGCCTTCAGCTCCCCTCTCGACTCTCTACCCCTCCTCGCCCCCTCCCTTCCCTCCCCTCACCCTGACCATTTCCCCCCCAATGCTCGGGTCCTGACCCAACTGTCCAGCGCCTCGGGACGTCCTCCCGACGTGAAAGGCGCTCTATAAATGGAATCTTGTTGTTGTTGTTGTTGTAGTAATAACAACAATACTCCTCTCGCGAGGCGAGGGCTCCGTCCACTACAGGACTCCGAGTGCTGGTCTCGAAGACGCGAGCGATAGAAATCGCCAGCGTGTTGCGCACCAACTTTGACAGGGGAGAAGTGTTCAACCAGATGTATAACCAACTCAGGCACGTGCAAACATGTCCACCTCCTGCAGAGGTCACTGGATACCAATCAACTATTCAGCCCCGGTTCCAGGGAGCAACAACAGCAACAACTTGCACTTACATAGCACCCCTCACGCGGTGTCGCGCCGCAGAATGCTTGACAGTAGCAGAGCGGTAAGTTGGGACTCTCAAGCAACGACGGTGGGTCTCGGCATGGGTCGGACGACCCGACTGAAGAGAGAAGAGAAACCCGACAGGCTATCAACTGAGCCAAGCTGACAGCTGCCAGGCTAACAGGTTCTGGAGAGCACGGGAAGCAAGTGTACGCTTTTTATTTGATGTAACATGAGTTTGTGTCACTACAGAGTCTGCATAAACACAAGGGTAAAATGATCATCTCCTACTCGCTCACGCCTTACAGGAAATTTGATCGACAAAGTCGTGCAGAACTTGGACTAGGTATAGCTGGCACCTTTCACTTCCGGTGGACACGTCGCTTGCACCTCTTCGCCCAAACGCAACGGAGTGATCACCGAGCGAAAAGGGAAAGAGAATGAACTTTGAGGAGGTTGACAAAAGACGGGGTCAAAGAGACAGAAAATGGGATGGAAAAGTATCTCGAAAAAAAATAAACAACTCCCCTATCTACAAGGTTCTGGGCAGATTTGTCTACGAACTTATATCTGTAGGTATCTTCTGATGAAGCTGTTGGAAAGAAAATTGGTTTCGCCATTAGGACACCTGTTTAAAGAAAACATATGAAAGGTGTGATGTTTAATGGAGTCTGAGGAGAGCTTTCCTCCTTCGAGTGGGAAGATTCCTTCTCCCAATGGGAAGAGGAGTGGGTGCGTTTCCAGTGTAAGATTTCTCTTGTTTAAGACTCTTGATTCCGTCTTCCAAAATTCCCCGACTCCAAGAACTCTTGTTTAATCCTAAATAACCCACAAACAACAGAAGAGACAACAACAACTTGCATTTACACCGCACCCCTCATAAGGGGGAAGCATCTCGGAGCATTTAAAGGTGATGGAGCCTGACCCCAAGCAAGAGGGGAGGGAGCTGACCGTAAGTATGGTCGAAGAGGAAAGCCTTCAGTCTGATCTAAAAGCAGGGAAGGAGGAGGGGCGAGGCGGAGGGATTGAGGGGGGGAGTTCCAAATCCTCGGGGTATAGTGGCTGAAAGTGTGGCCGACAATGGTGGGGCAGAGGGAGGGGGCCGAGGGACAAGCAGGAGACCGGAGCTGAGCGGGGGCAGCGAGTAGTGGAGTGGGGAAGAGAGGTCAGAGAGGTAGGGAGGTGCCAGGGTGTGAAGGGATTTGTAGACGAGTGAGAGGATCTTGAAATCGAGCGGGAGGGTGGGGTGGTGGTGGGGGGCGTGGGTAGTGGGGGGTGTTGAGATAAACAAGCCTCCTATTTAGAAACATCAAAGATGTCCCTTGTTCTCTCTGTTTGTTCACCCATTCTGTTGCCAGATTGCCCGGGGTATATACAGTCCATTACATAGGGTCGTTTCTACTGTATTGTCTATGTCATGCTCCTACTTTTCTTTCTCTTAAGAACCTTCTTCTTCTTGTTCGCTGCAGGCACTGCCTTACGTGTCCCGTTGCAGTTCTTAAAGGGAGCGAACTTCACATCCAGCCCAGCGGCGTCTTTGGGTAAGGCACACGTGGCAGTCACCTTAAGGTTAGAACTTTCTATCCATCTTTAAAAGACAAGACATTCAAAGTGTTACTCAATGATTAGGCATCGTGGCGGATTGGTTGGAACGCTCACCTCGCAAGCGAGAGGACCTGGGTTTGATTCCCGGGCAGGTCAGGGCGAATTCTTAGGCAAGTTTCCTTACTCCCCCACAGCCCCCCCCACCCACACACACCCACACGTCTCTGTTTACCCAGCAGTAAGTAAGAACCCAGTTGTTAATTGATTGGCACATCGCTTTCCGAGGGGTAATAATCCCTCCAAAAAAATTACGGTCACTCAATCCACGACTGTTTGTGGGACACTTCTGTGTGCAATTGGCTGCCGCGTTTCACCCACCTACAAAATATAGAGTCCATCCACTTTACGGTATATTCCGTGAGAGGTCTCAGCGATGTCTACATCAAATTCAAGGATTATTATTATTAGTAGTAGCATTATCCACCTGTCTAGATTTACGTACTCTGTTTATAGGCCAAGGAAAGTTGCTTAAGATCTCATTCTCCCCAGGATTCATACCATTCCATGAATCCAATGGGATTACTTACCATAGAATTCCTCAATTAAGGAATGCTGTTAAAGAACTTTAATAAATAGGATCGTTTGGGTTGAGGTTCGCCAAGAGCTTTTACCTGCGGAGATGGAGCAGTCGGCAGTCACAGTTCAATGGATTATTGGATAGATTGATCGTGTCCAGGCTCCTGAATTGCTTCAGGTTTGGAATGTGGCTCAGTTTGTTATGGTCCAAATGCAGACTCTTCAATCCTGCTCCCAGCCCAGCAAAGGCCCCGTCGGAGATCTGCAAGGAAGGGAGCAAACATGTAGCGGAGGAACATGGAGTACCCAGTAGCATCGTGGTTAGCACACGCTCGCCTCGCAAGCGAGAGGAACCGGGTTCGATTCCCGAGCAGGGCAAAGCCTTAGGCAGGTTTTCTTACTCCACACACACGCCGCTGCTTACCCAGCAGTAAGTAGGAACCCAGTTGATAGTCGGTTCCCGGATCGCTTTCCGGGGGTAATATTACAAGTAAAATTATGGACAGAATGATGAGTAATTTTAAACAAAGCAACCACTAATCCTCATCACATCATTGAGGCGTCTCAAAGCGCTTCACTGGACATACCTCAAAGAGGATGGGCTGCGTATTTTGTGGGCGAAACGCGGTAGCCAATTGCGCACAGCGGGGTCCCACAATCAGTTGTGGATTGAGTAACCAAATTATTCTTCATAAAAAAAATTTCCTGGAAGGAATTATTAACCCCGAAAGCGATTCCCCCAATCGACTAACGAGCGGGCTCCTACTTATTGCTCTAACTGAGTGTGGAGTAAGGAAACGTGCCTAAGGTATTGCCCCGCTCGAACCCAGGTCCTCTCGCTTGCGAGGCAAGTGCTCTAATCACTACTCTAAGGGACTAGTAATTTGGTGGTTACCTACTGCTCATCCCTTACACAATGTAGGCCTCTCACTGAGTGGAATTAGGTACTAAAGGCCAGAGTAATGTTCTGCTCTCAATCCCACTGTGCACAGCGAACCTAAATTCCTTTCATTTTTTGAAATGTATTGTCCTGCAATTTCACAACTGGTTGGAACTGCTCTGGTCTGGATTGCTCAGCCTTGCAGTGATGGTGACGGGGGTGGGGGGTGGGTGGGGGCGGGGGGGTGGGGAGAGAGAGAGAGAGAGAGAAATGCTCAACCCAGCTGTCGGTCAAACTTAAAGCTCCTCCTATTCTCCTGCACCAGGCGATGAGGCAACTGAGCTCTGAAGAGAATAAACGGGAACATCGGATCTGAATGGATCTGAGGCTGTTGGTTGTGGCGTCCTGTGGTGCGCTGGTTATAGCGCCTCGCCTCGCAAGCGAGAGGATCCGGGTTCGATTCCCGGGCGGGCCGGGGCAAAACCTTTGGCTTGCGTGTGTGGAGTAAGGCAACTTGCCTTTGTTTACCCAGCAGCAAGTCCGAACCCGGTTGTTAATCGATCGGGGGAATCGCTTTCCGGGGATTACAATCCCTTCAAACAAATAATTTGGTCACTCAATCTCCACGACTGTTTGTGCGCAATTGGCTGCCGCATCTCACCCGCAAAATACACAGTCAATTCACTTTACAGTATATTCCGGGAAGAGCTTTGAGACAACAACAATGAATCACATTTGTTTAGCACCTTTTACGTCAGGAGGACGTCTCGACGACGTGATAAGGTGCTATGTCAAATGCAAGGATTATTATTATTATTTATAATAATAAAAGCAAACCTTACCTCCTCCACACCCATATTGTCCAACCACAGGTGTTGGAGAGAGTCAGACACGGGGAGGAAGGCTTTGCTTCCGATCTGTCTGATGGGATTCCTGGAGAGCTTGAGCTCGTCCAGAACATGCAGTCCCCTCAGGGCCTCGGTGGGCACCTCGCTCAGTTTGTTCTCGTCCAGGAAGAGTTTCTGCAACCCCTGGACGGCAGCCAGGGCATTGGGTTCGACGTAGGTGAGGTTGGTGCCGGTCAGATACAGCCACCGCACGTTCTCCGCTCCTTCCACGTTCTCCGCGGTGAATAGGGGGATGGGGTTGTGTTCCAAGTGGAGGGCGAAGAGGTTCGGGAGGAGCTTGAAGGAGCCCTTGGGTACGGAGGTCAACTTGTTGAGATCTAAGTACAGGTAGGTGAGCTGCGGAAGGCCTTCGAAGGCAGAAGGCTCGAGGCTTGAGATCTCGTTGCCCGACAGGTAAAGGTAGACCAATTTGGCCAAGGCTCGGAAGGCTCCTGGTTGAACATCGTGGATCCTGCAGCTCTGCAGGTGAAGAGAGACCAGGTGCTTGGTCTCCATGAAGGCGTTCCTGGGGACCACTTGGAAATCATTGTGCCTCATGTCCAGGAGCTGGGAATCCTTCGGGAATCCCTTCGGGATCTTGCGAAGCAACTTGCCCTCGCAGCTGGAATGCTGGAGGTCGTGCTTGCAGTCGCAGTGCTCTGGGCAGGGAAGGTGTTCTTCCCCAGTCTTCACCTTGCTCTCCTCCGGCTCCTGGTTCTCCTCTTCCTCATAGTCTGAGGACTGTTGACTATCGCATCTGAGGTCGACCGGACGTAGGGAATCAAGCCTCTCGCCTCTGAACAAGCCGGGGTTCCTACAGAACACCTCTGCCTTCAGATTGGTATAGTTAGATATCCACTCCCTGAAAGGCCGCATGAAGCAATTACACTGTATGGGATTGCCGGTCAGGTTAACCTTCCTCAAGGTTTCAACTCCGACCAAGGGCTGGAGGGAACGCAGCTGATTGTATTGGAGGTCGAGTACTGTCAGCTTGGGGCACCACTGGAAAGCTAAGAGGGACATGTCTTGAAGAGACATGTTCTCCATGGACAGATGTTTCAGCGATCGCATGCGAACTGCCTCCTCCCCCAAGTAGGTCATCGGGTTCCCACCCAGATCCAGCCTGGTCACCTCCGTCATCCTAGATAGCGCCTCACTGGGAAAGTACTGTAGCTCATTACCGTCCAGACTCAACCTCTTCAATGTCCAGAGCCCAGCAAAGGCTTCATCAGCGATATTGTTGACCATGTTTTTGGAAAGGCGGATGTACCTGATCTGCAACAGGCCCTGGAACAGCATGTTGGGCAGATAGACCAACATGTTCTCACCCAAGTTCAGGAAGTTAAGGAACCCTAGCTGGGTGAAGGACCCTGGAGATATCTCCTCTATCTTGTTGTTGTCTATTATGAGCTGCTGGAGGGATGAGAGGCCGTCGAAGGTCTCCTGGTAGATAAACTCGATGTCGTTGAACCCCACATTCAGGTAGATCAGTCTCCCCAGGCCACGGAAGGCACCTTCTGCTAGTCGCTGGAGCTTGCACTTCTGCAGGTTCAGGTGGGTCAGATAGGGGATGGGATAGAAAGCTCCATTCTCAATCACTTTGATGTTGTTCCCTCTGACGTCAAGCTTCTTGGTCGCCTGTTGTAAAGCAACAAGTGGTGTTATGTACTTTCAGCCATTTGCTTTACGTTTGCCCCCTTCTACCCTTCTTGAGTCCCTTAGCATAGTGGATAGTGCCGAGTGAGCGAGCGAGAGGACCTGGGCAGGACAAAACTTTAAGCAAGTGTCCTTACTTACTCCACACACACACACACACACATCTCAGTTACTAGGAACCTGGTTGTTAGTCGATTGGAAGATCGCTTTCCGGGCGTGATACAAACCAATAAAATTGTGGTCACTCAATCCATGACTGCGTGCGTAATTGGCTGCCAAGTTTCACCCACAAAAATACACAGTCAATCCACTTTGCAGCGCATTCTGTGAAGCGCTTCGAGACATCTCAAGGACGTGATGAGGCGCTACATCTTAAACCTAAGGATTATTATTATTATTCTATTGATATTCCATTGCCAAGCCTATCACTTGGAACCAGCTCAACTGAGCAGTTGCTAATGGAGAGGACTTAGCTGACCCAAAGTTGCCCACAACTGTACCAACCTCAGGGATGGTGATGGGAATCTCAGTTAGTTGTTTCCTGATACAGCTGACTGCCCCGTGGATGTTGTCACAGATACAGTTTGGTGGACAAAACCCAGCATCGACCACCATAGCAGTGAGAGCAGCGACCAGACCCCAGCAGCTGAGAGACACACCCCGGCTTGGACCCACCTTAAACATCTGCGAAGATGAAATAATAAATGATGAATAAAAGCAGGGAGTGGTACAGAGAGTGAGCCGTAGATATACACACCAGAGAAAACAATTAGCCAATGTCACATCATCAGCCAAAATTCCACCCACAAACTAGACAGTCACTCCACTTTGCAGTGTATTCTGCGAAGCGCTTTGAGACGTCTCAACGACGTGATTAGGCGCTGTATCAAGTGCAAGGATTAATATTGTTATTGTGCATTGACAAGGAACACAAAGGCCCCAATAGCTCTGAACGCAGGTGAAATAAAACCTACAAAGCTCCCCTCGGAGAACAGCGAGCTGATGATTTTACATGAGTGAGCCCGTGATTGACTGGCGTTTGCTTTGGCAGCGTTTTGTGACCGAAAGGCCGGCAGATCTGGGCTAATGACTGAGAAACTCTTAAAAGGGGTTGGTTTTGATACAGGGCCAGGGCGCAACCTTAGACAAGTTTCCTTATTCCACACTACCCAGCAGTAAGTAGGTGGGACACTGCTGTGCGCAGTTGGCTGCTGAGTTTTCCCCATAAAATATACAGTCAATTCACTTTACAGTATATTTTGGGAAGCGCTTTGAGACATCTCAAAGATCAAATGCAAGGATTATTATTATTAATGTTATTATTATTATAGAAACATCTGGAAGTTTACATTTTTGGTCAGCCGGGTGTCTGACACACACAGATACCCATCACCGCTGCTTAAGTCTCTCCAAACCTAACTGAGAATTCCATGTATTCCACCCACATATGGAAATCCCAGGGATAGATGGTTGGAATGGAATGCACACTCTCACTGGAGGGATGCATCCTGCTTACCGAATTCCGGAGAGTATTAGGCACAGGCTTGTTGTCCCCGGAGTGTGCACTGGGGTAAATGCTGGAGTCTAACCAGCTAAGACCGCACAGCTTGCCCATTGAGAGCGCTGTCTGGCCAAGCTTTCCCCCTGCTTGTCCAGCTAGGACCACTCTACCCGTTAGGGCTTTGGCTTGCAGGGTTAACACGAGCTGAGCAGGATTACAGGCTGGCGGGAGAGAGAGAGAGAGAGAGAGGGAGAGAAAGACTCTCCAGCTTGCTTCAAATATCTGCAAGCAACATGATAATCCTTGCATTTAACCTAACGCCTTATGGTGTCGTCGAGAGGTCTCAGAGCGCTTCACAGGACCCACTGTAAAGTGGTGTCTCAACACAGAGTGGGGAATTGAACCAGGGACTTTACACTGACTGTAAACAAGTCAGACACTCACCGGATAAACTCATTGAGCCTCGATGGATGCGATTTCTATTTTAAAGCTAACGGTTAAACAACAGTTTGCTATCCCGTAGAATAGTGGTTTGCGCACACATCTCGCAAGTAAGTGGACCCGGGTTCGATTCCCTGGACAGGGCGAAATCTTAGACAAGTTTCCTTACTCCACACACACACACGCCTCTGTTTCCCTAGCAGTAAGTAGGAACCCGTTTATTAGTTGATTGGGGGATTGCTTTCTGGGGGTAATAAACCCTCCAAAATCAATCCACGACTGTTCGTGGATGCTCCTGTGCACATTTGGCTGCCGTGTTTCATCCACAAAATACACAGTCATTTATATACCTTGTGAAGTCTCGATATATCTTTGAGACGTCTCAGCGAAGCGATAAGGCGCTATTTCAAAAAAAAAGCAAGGATTATTTTTATTATTAACTTTAACAGTCGCTTACCTTTGCTGGGCTCCTGGGTTAGTTATTTGAATCAGTTTCTTTTGCTTGAAGCTAAGACCTCCAGTCGACAGTCGATGTATGCGTGTCCTGAAATCCTTGCGAGACTGAACCACAGGCATGTACGTAGGCAAGCAGAGGCTTCAAGCTGAGCTGTCAGACTTGAGACTCCTCGCCTTTCTCGAAGCTGTTTGAGAAATTCCCAACAGACACACTGGAGCTTTGAAGGGACCAGTGTTAGCCTGACCTGCGTGGCTGCGTCCAGGGGAAGAGGTCGGAGAGGGAGGCGTTAGAGGGTGTGAGTGGAAGGGTAGAGGGTGGGTGGCATGATTGCAAATGAATCCGTCTTGGAATTTTCCGCTGACTGACCACGGAGAAGTCTGTTCGCCGTCTTAATCCCGCGGGGAGCAGCTCTCTCAGCTCCAGGTACACGGACAAAGAGGCCTTTCAGCGTAACCTTTGTGGGACTGTTTGTGGGGACGTCGCTGTGCGCAACTGGCTGCCGCGTTTCACCCACAGAACAAACAGTCCCTCCAGTTTACACTAAATCCTTTGAAGCGCTTTGAGACGTCTCGACGACGTGTTAGGGAGGAGGAAAGGAACCCCGGGTTCCTGCTCTCGTTCCCTCTTGAGCGCCCCCTTCCTGGTAGAACGCGTGTGGTCTCGTCAGGGTGGAGGGTTTGATTTAGCGCCTTATCATGTCGTCAAGACGTCTCAAAGCCCTTCACAGAAATACACCGTAAAGTGGATCGGCTGTGTATTTTGTGGGCGAAACGCGGCAGCCAATTGCGCACAGCAGCGTCCCCCACAACCAGCCGTGGATTGAGTGACCAAATTTGCCTTTGGGGTGGGAGGGATTATTACCCAGGAAAGCGATTCCCCGATCGATTAACAACCGGGTTCCTACCTACTGCTGGGTAAACAGTGGCGTGTGCGTGGAGTGAGCAAACTTGCCTAAGGTTCCGCTCTAACCACTAATGCTACAGGATCAGCCAGAGATACCTGGAGGAGGGAGTTGGGGGGCGTGGGGGGGGATCCAAAATTTACGAAGATGCTATTACTCTCAGCCACAGTAGCTCCTCTCAGGGGCCCCTTCACACACACTGCAAAGAGTCTGAGAAAATCCTTGCGTGTGTGTAAAAAAAAGGCTGGTCGGGGAATAAAAATAACACAGCAGAGAGTTGTCTCTGAGTGCCAGGAGTGTGCGGAAGACATCTTACTGCTATACAGGAGCTGCATTGTCCAGCTAAGCTCTCTGCCCTCGTTTCCTCTCTCCCAATACAGCATGGTAATTGTTATACATGTGTGTGTTTGTGCGTTACTCAAACATCCGACTCTCTCTGGCTGAAAGATGGGGGAAAACTGGAGTTGCTGTGTTGGGTGGGTGGGGGCGATGCTTGTGTACAGCAGTCATTCCAGCACCCCCCCCATCAGAGAAATTTAACAACAACGATAACGGACATTTATATAGTGTCCTCCACGCAGGATAACATCTCAAAGCGTCTGACTTTGAGCCATGGAGGGGTGGGGGGGGGGTGAAGGTTTTCAGGCGGGACTTGAAGAAGGGGCCGGGGCGGAGGGGGTTGGGGGGGGGTTAAGGCAGAGGGACTGAGGGAGAGTATTCCAGAGTTTCGAGGCAGCGACGAACAAAAAAAAACTGCATTTATACAGCACTTTGGGAGGATGTCCCAAGTCACTGCCGGGCAGTCGAGGATTTGCAGCCGAGCTGTGGGTTGGATGCGAAAGGGGTGGGTGGGGGCTAGGGGGGTAGAGACGGAAAGATGAACGAAGGCGAAGGTGGTGAGACAGGTGTATATCTCCTTTCCTTCGCCTCCTTCAAGGTCAAAGTGAGGACCCATCAGAGTCTGCACTGAGTCACAAAGCCCGGTGTTCGTTCAATGCCGCTGCTCTGCCCTATCCCCACTCCACTTCAAGTCTCCATCCTTCACCACTTCAACTCGTCTAACTTCCCTCTTGAACTCCACACCGACACCGAGAGGAAAGCTCTCTTCTCGTTTCCACCAGGGCGACAGGATCTGGTGTACCGCCCAGAAAATACACAGTCAAGAGTCCTGTAGCGTAGTGGTTAGAGCAACCACCTCACAAGTGGAGAGGGGACTTGGGTTCGATTCCCGCACAGGGTGAAACCTGGGCGATTTCCTTACACCCCACACTGTTAACCTGGCAGTAAGTAGAAGCCCGGTTGTCAGTCGATAGTGGGTCGCTTTTCCGGGGGTAACAATCCCTTCAACTGTTTGTGGGACGCTGCTGGGTGCAATCGGCTGCTTTGTTTGCCCACAAATATACAGTCAATTCACTTTGCTGTATGTTCTGTGAAGCGCTTTGGGACGTCCTCCCGACGTGAAAAGCGCTATATCAAATGCAAGGATTATTATTATTATTATTATTATGTTCTGTGAAGCGCTTTGGGACGTCCTCCCGACGTGAAAAGCGCTATATCAAATGCAAGGATTATTATTATTATTATTATTGTTTCGCCCACAAAATGAACAGTCACTGCACTTTACAGTATATCTTGTGAAGCGCTTTGAGACGACTCGGCGATGTGATAACATGGTACGTCAAATGCAAGGATTATTATAGTTATTATTATTCCCCTTGATTATTATTATAATTATTCCTTCTGCTATTCCCCTCCCTCCCTCTTCCCACTGTTCCCCTTCCCCCTCCGCCCTCCCCCAGCTGTGGACAATGGCAGGAAACTCCATTTCCGTTCCGTGCTTCCTGCTTGCTCGCCGGCTCTGGCTCTCGCTTGCTCTATGCCCAGAGACGGAGCAAGAGAGCAGCATAGCAGTCCTGCCAACCCACCCAACACCTGCCCCTTCGGGCTGCGAGAGCTGACAAGCCAGCCAAAGACGAGACAAGCCCAGCCCAGCTCGGGACCACTCGAGGAAACCGAGCCGTCCAGCAGTGAGGACAACCAGGCTACAGGGACTCTCCTTCCCTTCCACTCACACACACGCACATCACAGGAGGGACCGGCTACCTACTCAGAGGTGAGAGACAATTCCCATTATTTCGAGCTCACTCTGGCTCAGTAATAACCTTGCATTCTAATAATAATAATAATAATCATCCTCACATTTGATACACCGTCTTATCGCGTCGGGAGGACATCTCTCAAAGGCCTTCACGGATTCACTGTATAACGTAATAATAATAGCGACTGTTTCGCAAGCAGCTTAAGTTTATGACCCAGAGGATTGTCTCCCGTTCAAAGCACAGCACCTATTCCCCAAGTGACAGCCGAGACTGATTCTCAACACTTCTTAGAGAGGTGTCACCTTGGCTTATTCGGTACCCCCTCTCACCTCTGGGTCAGAAGGTTGTGGGTTCAAGTCCCCTACTCTTCTCGACTTTGAGCACGCAGTCCAGGCTGACAGTACAGGGCACCGTTGAACTATCAGAGCTGCCGTCCTTCGGAAAAGATGTTAAGGGTCAATGCTAAATCGGAAAAGAGAAGAGAAGTTTCTCTCTCTCTTCCCCTTTAGTGTTCTGGCCGACAATCTCCTACATAATAATATTGAGTCATTGCTATTTGTGCCGCTATATGAAACAAAAGGATTATTATTATTATTATTAGTTGCTGTGAGCAAAACTCCCTACAGAAATACGCAGTCACAATACTTTACGGACAGCTTCGAAATGTTTAGAGATGCCTGCGTCAAATGCAAAGGAAACTGAGGCAGGCTTTCCCAATACCTTTGGGAGTTTACCCAGGGTGTGGTTGAAACCATTACATCCTTGGCATGTTGTTGGTGTTACAGGCATTGTATCAAGTAAAGTCCTGCAGTGTATTGGTTAGAGTACTTGCCTCGCAAGCAAGAGGACCTGGATTTGATTCCCCCAGCAGAACAAAACCTCAGGCAAGTCGCCTTACTTCATACACACGCCTCTGTTTACCCAGCAGTTGTTAGTCGATTGGCAGATCGATTTTCCGGGGGTAATAATCTCTTCCAAAAAAAAAATTGGTCACTCAAGCGCGTTTCATCCACAAAATACAGTCAATTCATCTCACAGTGTATTCCGTGAAGCGCTTTGAGACGTCTCAACAGCATAAGGTTCTATATCAAATGCAAAGATTATTATTATCATCATCATCATTATTATAAATGGTGAGTTCAGTGCCCTGTATATCATGATGAGAAACTCTTTTGTCTCACTTGTATTTGGAGATAATTATATATATATATATATATAGATGTATTTTTAAAGCAAATAAAACTCAAAGCACTTCACAGAATTTACTGCAAAGTGGAGTGACTGTGTATTTTGCGGGCGAAACACCGAAGGGGAAGGTTGGAGGTTACTTCTACCCGCCTCAAACAGTCTCACAACATTGGCTTGTAGTCTGTTTCCCAGATATTTAGGCGTGAACGAGAGAGAGAAAAAAAACTGCAGGAAAAAGAAGGTTGGTTCTGTTCTCCAGATAAGAGTATTCCGTCAGGAGAGGTTCTGCACTGTTGACCTCCCCACAAGCGATTTCCTCTGTTGACTTTCGCAGCTCACATAAGCTGACTCTTTTTTTTCCCCCCCCCGCCTTGCAAGCCGGGAAAATAAACTCGGGTAAACACGGGAACACGAAAGGCACAGGGAATGTTAATGGGATTTTTTTATAAGCCTTTTTTCTCACCACTCCCGCCTCAAAGCGATGTGCAGAAAATGATCCCTTTCCAAATAATAATAATAATAGTTGGGTCCACTCAATCCACCACTGTTTGTGGGCGGCTGCTGTGCGCATTTGGCTGCCGCGTTTCGCCCACAAAATGCACGGCCACGTTTGATTCTGTGTCGACCACGTGACAAGCGACGATGTCAGATTGTGAGGATTATTATTATTTCAACGTGGAATCCCGTAGCACAGCGTCCTTACCTCGCAAGCGAGAGGACCTGGGTTCGATTCCCGGGCAGGGTCAAATCGCAGGCAAGTTTCCTAACTCCACACACCTCTGCTTACATAGCAGTAAGTAAGAACTCCCGGTGATTAGTCGATGGGCGCGTTGCTTTTCCAGGGCCAATAACCCCTTCAAAAAATAATAATAATTTGGTCACTCAATCCACGTCTGTTCGTGGGACACCACTGTGCAATCCGTTGCTGTGTTTCGCCCGCAAGACACAGTCACTAGACTTTACAGTGTATTCTGTGAAGAGCCTCGGGGACGTGATAAGGCGCTGTGTCAAATAACGATAAAGTATCTTTACCTTTACAGAAGGAAATGGAGGAGCCAGTCACTCTGCTCCTCGTGCTGTGTCTGGCTGGGGACGCTGCCTCCACAATGAGCACAGTCACCCCCACCCAGGGTGTTCCTTGTCCCTCGGACTGCTCCTGCGTGGTCTCCCAGCAACACGTCACCTGTGAGGGTGGGCTGACCAGCATCCCGGAGGGTCTGCCGACCGACACCAGAGAACTGCGCCTCTCGTCCAACCACCTGCCGCTCATCGGCTCGGGCTGCTTCTCGAACCTCTCGCATCTCATCGCCCTGCACCTCACAAGCAGCCAAGTGTCTCTGGTCAACCCTGGGTCCTTCCAGGGCCTGGTCAGCCTTCAGTACCTGCACCTGGACCAAAACCGAATCGAACAGCTGGAAGAGGGGGTGTTTAGGGACCTCACCGCAGTCACCTACCTGCATCTGGCAAACAATCTCATCTCCGCTTTGAAGCCAGGTACACGCTAGTCCCTGCCTTCCCCAACCCCCTTTTTTTCTACGAGCGCTAAATTCCATCACTCCCCCTCACATCACGCCAGGCTCCACTTGCTCCTTATCGTCGAATGGATCGAGTTGTGGAGTCCCATTAGCTTCGCGGTCAGAGCGCTCGCCTGGCAAGAGAGAGAGGACCCGGGTTCGATTCTCGGGCAGGGCAAGACCTTAGGAAAGTTTCCTTACTCCACACACCTCTGTTTACCCAGCGGTAAATAGGAACCCAGTTGTCGGTTGGTTAACAATACCTTAAATAATAATAATTTAAGGCATTGTTAATACAATGGGAGTGGGGAGGGAGGGAATTGGTGACTATATCAAATGCAAGGATTATTATTATTATTAATAATACCTCCCTTCTCAGGCCTGTTCTCCTCTATGAAGCAACTGAATGTTCTGTACCTCAACGATAACCAGCTGACAGAGATTGCAGCTCGCACCTTCCAGGGGCTGACTAGCCTTCGCTGGCTCTACCTGAGCCAAAACCGTATCTCCAAAATCTCCCCCTCCGCCTTCCAGCGTTCGAGTCCTTTACAGAGGCTTCACCTCGACAGCAACTCACTGACGAACGTGTCTGCGGATGCCATGCGCCTCCCGAACAGACTGACCGTCCTCAACCTGAGCAACAACAAGATCAGACGCCTTCAGTACAACTCCATCCTCCGGCGGCTGAAGTTCCTGATCGAGCTCGACCTGGACAACACCAGCCTGGAGGCTGTGTCCTCCAAGGCCTTCTCCAGGCTCTACCGGCTACAGGTGCTGAACCTGAGAGACAACAGGCTGGACACGCTGTACTTCGCCAAGCGGCTGAAGTCCCTGGCCCAGCTGCGGGTCAGCGGGAACCCCTGGTGCTGTGACTGCAGGCTGGTCTGGCTGAAACGTTGGCTCCAGGACTGGAACGAGACGGAGGTAGAGCGAGTGCGATGTGGCTCCCCTGACGCCTTGTCTGGGCTGACGTTGGTCGAGGTCCCGGTAAGAATGTGGCACGGTCCCGGTGGTGGGGGGGGGGGGCGGTAGGGGGCGCCCGAGAAGGACACGGGTGAATTTTTGGCCTGTAGCTCCCAGCACAATTGTCTGCCTGCCGCGTTTTGCCCACAAAATCCAGTCGCTTCACCTTACAGTGTATCCTGTGAGGTCAAATACACGGATTATTACTAGTATTATTATTAGCGATAGGATGTCTCTGTGCGCAAATCGACCGCTGGCTTTCATAAGAGCCTGCCGGGCGAAAGAAGACCCAGGTCCATCTAGTTTGCCGTCCACCATTCCTGGCAGTCGCTCGCCATGTTGTGTCCCAAACTACAATAAGAACGTAAGCGACGTACTGTCGCGGCGCTTCACCGTACGTTCGACGAAGCGCTTTGAGACGGCCTCCGTGTGAAAGGCGTTGTAACCAACGCGAGGATTATTAGCAATAAATAATAATAACGCAAGCGGAAAATGGTTTCTCTCGCAGCTGCAGCAACTGACTTGTCTGCCCGATGCTCAGAACACCTCCACTGTGCCACCGAAACCCGTCAGCGACGGAGTCCACGTGGGCGGTGTTTCTCTGTCTGCCCGTACCAGCCCGCGCCCTACCCTCCCGCTCGTGCCCGCAGTCGTTGCCCCCCGCGCCAGGAAGATGGCGACGGGCCTGATCGCTCGCCGGGACAAGACGGCAGATCTCTGTCTGTCCGAACGCATCCGGACCATCGCCGTGAGCGAGATCGGCGAGAGCACCCTGGTGGTCAACTGGCACGTGGACCGGGACCTGGGCGACGAGTACGAGGTGAGGTACGAGACAGGGGAGCAGAGCAAGGGGCTCAGGATGATTGGCGGCGTGAGCGAGGTGGAGCTGAGCGAGCTGAGCCCGGAGCTCTCTACAACGTGTGCGTCATCCCCCAGGGCGGAGCGGGCTTCAGTCCTTGCTTACAGCCCGAGCCTCAGCAGTGCGCCCAGGCCCAGACTCTGACCGTCTCCTCCTCCTCCTCCTCCTGGGTCAAGAGGCAGCAGTTTGCCCTCGGGGTGGGGGTGACGGTCGTCGTACTCCTGCTCCTGGTTGCCGTCTTTCTGGTGGGTCTCAGGGTTAAGCTGAACCGTGCCGGCTTCCAGAGACACTACGACGACGACGACGACAACGTAAGTGGTTACGTCGAACATTTCCACATCGACCAGGGCGGGTACGATAACACGGCTGCCGTGACAGTCGACTACGTAAGAACATAGGGACTTGCTCGACCGAAGAAAGAAAGACCGAGATCTGTACTGCACTGTACTGTGCCCCGAGATATTATTTCCTGAAAGAAATCTAATCTAACCTGCTTCTTGAAAGATTCGACACTGTCTTGCTTCCACCGTCTTGTCTTCCTAGGGAGCCTGTTCTGTGCATTTACCACTCGCTCACTAACGTGGTGTGTGGGGGGGGTCCAGTGGGGTATTGGTTAGAGCGCTCGCCTCTTGAGCGACCGGGCCAGGATCCGATTCCCGGGTAGGGCGAAACGTTAGGCGAGTTTCCTTACTCCACCCACGCACACGCGCACGCATCTGTTTACCTAGCAGCAAAAGAAACCCGGTTATTAGTCGATTTCCGGGGGCAATAATCAATTCAAAAAAAATAATAATAATAATTTGGTCGCTTAATCCACGGCTGTGCGGGGGACACTGCTGTATGCAATCGGCTGCCACCTTTCCCCCCCACAAAATGACAGTCGATTCACTTTACAGCGTGTCCCGTGAAGCGCTTCGAGACGTCTCGAAGACGTGATAAGGTGCTGTATCAAATGCGAGGGTTATTGTATTATTAAATAGCCAAACCCCACTGTGCTTTTTGTCTGTGTTTTACATACAAATATATACATATATATATATATATATATATACACACACACACACACAAAGCCAAATAGCCTACCCCCCAGCTATGGCCGTGCGCTCTACACCAGGCTCTAATATTCTAGGGGCTGGAGGGTGACCTAAGGCGCGGTCGAAAAGGGTCTCTTGAGAGACGGTCTTGCGGGAGACGAGGGGAGGGGGGGGGGCTGGCGGAGGGACTGTGGGATGGAATTCCAGAGGGCGGGGGGGGGGCAGAGAGGCTGAAGCCTCAGGGTTTGGGGTAGCTTACGGGGTTTGACCTGCCTCGTTATTCTCTGGACGTAACACGTCAGCCCACCCCCAAAAGCCGCTCAAGGCATTGGAAGACATGACAGGCACCAGGCACACCCGTGCCCTCTTGTGGCAACACGCGAGCACTCAATTTCAACCCAGAACATTTCACGTCCCACATCCACAGCGACGGTGGGTTTACTCTCTTAACCCACTTGCGTCCGATACGGCACCTTTCATATCGAGACTACGCCTCAAAACGCTTCACAACAAACATACTGTAGAGCGTAGCGAAATTCCATCGTACCCCCCCCTTTCCTTCCCCCTTCGACCGTACCTGGCAAGTAGTTGTCGTGGCTGCGCTTTTTTTTTTTTCCGCGCGAGCGAAAACGGCAATGAATTCGCACAGAGCAATATCCCGTGAACAGCGGTGAAGCGAATGAGCAATTTTATGGGGGTGGGGGCAAATCTTAGGCAAGTTTCCTTACTCCACACATACACACCGCAGTAAGCAGGAACTCGGTTGTTAGTCGATTAGAAGATCACTTTCCGGGGGTAATAACCCCCCCCCCCCAAAATGTGGTCACTCAATCCATGCCACATTTCCCCCACAAAATCTAGTCAATCCACTCTACGATATATCCCGTGAACGCCTCGAGACGTCTCAGCGACCCAATAAGACGCAATATATCAAGTGCAAGGATTATCATTATTACCATTGCTACCCCAAACCGAGACGAGTTTTGTGCCCAAGTCGAATTTTATTTATTTTCTGATACAAAAAAAAGTGATGGAGGGAGGAGGGTGGGGGAGGTGGGGGGGGGTGAGTCGGGAGGAACCAGGAGAAATTAGGGAGATAGAGACAGGAAATAAATAAAGCAGGTGGCGGTTCAGAGAGAAGTTAAATTTTAAAAGAAAGGACGTGCCTGTTCAGTGGAAGAGACGAGGTGAAGGCTGTATAAAACAATAACGGAATACAGAAGCACATTGATGAACAAAGCGGAGCGGTAAAGCACTGTACAATGAAGCGGAAGGGTGTACAAATTCACAAAACCGCCTGTGTAAAACTAGAATCCTATTCACCAGCAGTGAGCAGCGATGTTTCATCCAAGTAATGATCCAAACCAAGCAGGGAGCGGATGGAAAATGCGGGGGGAGCGCGTTGATTCTGAACAGAAATGTCGCATTCACTTGCGCGCAAAATAGGCAGCGGCGGAACAGGATAAAGGTCTTCCAGTTTGTGAGGGAAAGTACAATCAGCTGTCTATCTCCTGGGAGGAGCGAACAAAATTGCCTCCCTCTTCCACAACCCCTCCACCCGCTGCTTCCTCAGCTCACAGAACCCTGCGCTAAAGGGCTGTAGTCGCATTGCAGTTACCCCAACGCACACTCCATGAGCTCCCCACGAGCCTTGGCTCTTGCCAACCTGTGCCTAATACTCTCCCGGATTAGGTTAGCAGGTTACATCCCTTCAGGGGGAGGGAGAGAGAGAGAGAGAGAGAGAGAGAGTGTGCGCATTCCAACAATCCCTCGCTGGGATGTCCATGTGTAGGTGGGAGGCATGGAATTCCCAGCTTGGTTTGGAGACTCTCAAGCAACAGTGATGGGTTTCCGCACGTGCCCGACACCCGGCTGACCAAAGCCAAGTGGATAACTTCCCGGTGTTCGCTGGCATTGTGAGTAGCAAACGTCCCAAGTTCCCAAACACAAGTCAAACCACTTTAGCAAAGAGAGAGAGAGAGAGAGAGGGGGGGCAATATATAGGAGCAAAAAACAAAAAAAAGCCCCTCGTATAACCTTTTGTGACATTTACCTGAAATTTACCCGAGGACATCTGGGAGGAAGCTCATATCTGGAATTAATCGTGGGAGGTTTGGTCGGGTAAAAAAAAACAAAGATTTAAATACTATTTACACACATTAAAACACTCTCAGGCTAAATAACTCCTGGAAACTCAGCCCAATTATCAAGAGCCTATTCCAGACACGGGGAATTTCCACGTAGGTGGGATACACAGAACTCTTGGCCTGTCGCGGATACTCATAAGCACGGCGACGGGTTTGTGTGTGTGTCAGACACCCGGCTGATCAGGGATTTGTTTTTCTCACATGTCAAACACCCAGCTGAACACAATGATGTCTTTCCACACATGTCAAACACCCGACCGACTAATACACTGGAGCTCAACACTTTGCTGCTGAGGTGAACTTAAGCAAAACGTTAGAATACGACGGCAAAGCTGTCTATCCTGTAAGGTGAGGGAATGGACCACAGAGTACGACAGAGATGGATTACACACACACACACACAGAAAAACACTGGAAATTTAGTTTTCTGAGTCACAGCACACTCTGTGCGTTCAGCTCTCGCGCTCACGATTTGCACGGCGAAGTGAACAGCTTGCGATATCGGCGTTCCTCTCTCTGCTTAACGCATGGAAAGCAGATGCACTGAGTAATCAGCTCCCACAAGCGACTCATGACAAAGAGAAACCGCCAATGCCGGAAAATCTGAAGTAAGTGCAGCATTAAACCCGTCCCCTTCAGATTACGATCCACTTGCTTCCCACGCTCCTGGCAGTTTCTGCTTCTATTTTACATCACTTATTCAAAAAAAAAAGAGACCGAAGATCTTAGCAAATGGACGGGCACAGTGAAGGGAAACCAGAATTGGCCAGTTTCGGGAGTGGCAGATACCGGCAAACAAGCAACAAGCAGGTACCTTACCTGCCTTCAAAAAACATTAGAGAGACAGAGCGAGAGAGAGACAGAAACAAATAGCAACTCCTCCCTCCCCTGAAAGTTATTAAAAAAAAATGCAGGTTTTAATAATCCTTGCATTTGATGTAGCGCCTTATCGCAGCGTCTTCGAGACATCTCAAAGCACCTCACAGAGCGCACTGTTTTGGCAGAAACTCTTTAGAAACAGAGGTTTAAAAGCGTCAGGGGATGGAAGCGAATCAATCGACGCTGAAACTGCATACAGCACGTCACAACCGAAACTGAAGTGCCAGCTGTCAACCGCGCACCCCCCCATCCCACCTCTCTCTCTCTCTCCCCCAACGTGAAGGACAGAATCCCTATCAGTCCGTGATTAACAACCCATTTCAGAGTGAAACATGTCCGTGTATTTTTTTTTTAAAAAAAGGAAAGAGTCCGATAGAGTCAAAATGTACCACAGGGTCCTGTAGCAAAGTTCTGGAATGTCCCTCCCCCTCCCACTCCCCCACCCACCCCACGGAATCCACCCTTTGCAAAAAAAACACAACCTGGGCTAAAGAGACAAGGCGATTCAGCAATCAACAATGCCTAGAATTCCTTTATCAACGATCCCTGAATATTTGGCTTAAATATCGGTTGCCCCATCTCCCCTCCCGAAGCGGTGAAGAGAGAGAAGGGAAGAAGAAGAAGAAGAAGAAAAAAAAAATGTCTTTCAGCGATCGATCTCTGGTGTCTCCCAAACGCCAGGGGATCGTTTTCCGGTTTAAAAAAAAAAAAAAAGTTTTCCTCCGGGCGAGAAGCAAAAAGATTTCAACCCACAGCTACCGGTCGGCGAGAGAGAAAGCGATCGTAAATTCCAGCGCTGCTCAGTTGGCTCTGCAGGGGGCGCAAGCCTCCTCCGCATCAGCGAGCGTCCTAGATGCTCTAGCACAATGTCCCCTGCTCGTCTCAGCTCCTCCCGTGTCCCGAAGCGGTTGCTAAAGCTCTTGAATAGTCTGGAGTAGGCAGCGCTGGGCTGAGATGCAGTTCTCAAACACGTGGCTAGGCCTGGAGAAGACAGAAGTATTAGACTAGAGAAACAGCCCCCCCCCCCCCACACATCATAGCCAGACATACGCACTGGTGTGTGGGAGTGTGTATGCATTATAGCGTTCATATAATACTCCTTGCATTTACAGCGCTATCTATGTATGTACTGTAAAACACAACGATAATAATCTGATAGGTGCTTGAAAAGGAAAAGATTTCAGGGGGGAGAAAGAGCGGGGAGTGGGACTGATTGGGAAGCTCTTCCAAAGAGCTGGCACAGGCACGATGGGCTGAATGGCCTCCTTCTGTGCTATAATACTCTATTCTAATAATCCTTGCGTTTGATAAAGTGCCTTATGACGTCTTGGGAGTCGTCTCAAAACGCTTCATCGGATATACTCTAAAGTGAATTGACTGTATATTTTGTGGGCGAAACTTACTGTGTGTATTATTCACCCACAAAATACGCAGTCACACCACTTTATAGTATATCCTATGAAGCGCTTTGAGCTGTCCCAACAATGCGATAAGTTGCTGTAAGCATTATTATTATTATATAGATATTGAACCCATTTGTTGGGTCTAAATTTGAACATGGCAATATCCCACAAACAGCTGTGAAGTGAATGACCAGCTTCACATCAGAACATAATCTTTCCTTACTTTTCGAGGAATGCTAAGAGAATAGGGAACAGGTTGCGAGGGAAATACGTCTGTTGAACCACGTGGTTAAGAACCATCAGGGGCTCCATGAGATTACCAATCGCTTTAATCTTCTCTTCACTCTGTGAGGAAAGAAGAGAGCCACATTGTTAGACGCTATCAAAACCGTAGTATGTACAAACAGGCCCACGCCTTCAGCCATCCTCCTTACCCTCCCCACCCTTCCTGATCCCAACCCCCTACTCGGGTCTAAATTCCCTGACTGTTCTGCACCTCGGGATGTCCTAGCGACGTGAAAGGCGCTGTGTAAATGGTAATTTGTTGTTGTTGCTGTTGATGCTCACCTTCAGAAGGCCCATGTACACCAGGAGGGCGGTGATGAAGATATCGTGCTGAAAGTCCGAGGAGTTGAAGGCTTTCTGTAATAGCGCGTCTACAATGGGAACAGAGGGAAACCTCACAATTAGAGAAGTCTTTGGCACCTACAAGAGGACCAATGACGACATATGGGCGTTTAAGATTCAAAGATTATTACACTCATTCGCAGAGCTTCAGAAAGGGCTGCGGCTCTAAAATTAAAAGACCTTAAATTGACAGTACCTATAATTGTAAGCACTGCTGGCTTCATTTCCTTGTCCTTGGAGATTGAGGTGAGCTGCAGAAAAATTCGGGCCACTTTCTCTGCCTTCGACACATCCACAGACGAGACCTTACAGGAGGTGCACAAGATTTTAAACCGGGATTATTGAGTGAGAACAAACAGAACAATGCATTACAATACACCGACAGCAGAACAGCAGAAACCCGACAGCAGGTTTAGAGTTGAAAGGTGGAAAAAAAAATCAGGACAGACACCAGAAAGTATTTAGAAACATAGAAACAGGAGGAGGCCATTCAGTATCTCAAGGCTGTTCACCATTCTATTATATCATAACTCCCCGTATACCTTAATACCCTAACAAATAGCTATTCACCTGTCTTTCTTTACAGACGGTAATTGATGGTTGGAATCCGTTGGTTTGAGGATATACTGGGAGCAGAAGAGATCAAATGGGCTGAAGGGCCTTCTTCACCCAAACCTCTCTGGCGATCTATGAGCCCAGGCACGCATGCACACACATGTACTGACACTATCAATTGAGCCATAAGTGTTAGCTTAAGTCTCTTTGCTTCCCTCTTCCCCCATTCCTAAGCAGAGAGGACGCAAAAGTGCCAAGCTGGCTGCAAGGAATAGGGGGAAGAAAGCTGGGATTAACTTATACGGAGGGTTTTTCCCTGATTTCCGTCCTACATTCACGTTCGTTTGACACAGACAAGCCACAGACAAATTGTGGAGTGCTCCCCTTCAGCAGGCAGCCCATAGAGTGAGAGAGAACCATTGCAATGGCTCTCACATTACAGCACTTGCATTTATATAGCGACCTTCACCCGGCTTATTCTCCCGGAGCATTTGACAGTGGCGGAGTCTGACAAGGATTACAACGACAACGATTACCTGCTGTACTATGAGCTGTATCCCCTTGGGTCCCAGGTTGCGCAGTTTATCTGCTGATGGAGAAGCCATGAATATGGAGGCGTCCAACTGCGGGTTCACAGGGATTGTTATCTAAAGGCAATAGGAATTAATTGTTAATAATAATAATAATGCTTGCATTTGATTATAGCCCCTCATCACACCGTTGAGAGACGTCGCAAAGCGCTTAATAGGAAATACTTTAAAGTGGAGTGACTGTGTATTTTGTCGGCAAAACGCAGCAGCCAGTTGAGCACAGCAGTGACCTACAAACAGTCGTGGAGTGAGTGACCAGTTTTATTTGGGGGATTGTTGGCCAGGACACCAAGAGAGAGAGAGAGAGGGACTTCTGTGTCTTTTTGAACAGTGCCGTGGGTTCTTTAACATCCACCTGAACAGCTAGACAGGAAGCGAGGTTTAACACCTCATCCGAAGTCGGCACCTCCGACAACGCAATACCCACCCAGTGCTGCATTGGAGCATCAGCCTAGGCTATGTGATTCTGAGCCCTGATGTAGTGGGGGCTTGAACCCACAAGCCTCTGACTCAAGAGGAAATGTTGAACTCAATTTATTGGCAAAACCCAATAGGAATATTCAGACTCAATTTACCACAGTGGGTTTAACTATGTGTTGTGGTTCATCCACAGGAGATTCCTTCTCTGTCCCCCTGTCTTCCTCCTCCTCCGCCTCATCCTCCTCATCTTCGTTCTCCTCCTCCTCCTCCTCCTCCTCCACCTCCTCTTCGTCATCATCGATATCTTCCTCGTCCTCATTCTCCTCGTCGTCCTCGTCATCACTCTCGTCGTCACTGAACAGCAAAGACATGGGATTGAAACTGAACGACGGACAAAAGGTTTGCTTCACACTTAAACTGAACAGAATCCAGCTTTATTTTCTTGATAATTCTTTATAAAAATTGCTATGCAACATCTCTCTAGAGGTAATTACAGGGTTCGGATTCGAGAAGATGTGGGTTCAAGCCCAACATCAGAACTCACAGCCCAGGCTAACGCTGCAGTGTAACACCAGTGGGGTGGGCGGGGCGGGGGGGGTGGGGGCGTTAGGGTTAGGCGGACGTTAAAGATCCCGTTGTGCTATTCAAAAAGAGAACAGAACTTCCCCTGGCCAATAAGCCCGCAGATAAGTAATCTGTTGTTCACTTCATGGATGTTTGTAGGGAGTTAAAGATTCTGTTTCATTACTGGAAAACAGAAGGGAGTTTCCTCTCAGTGTTTTGGTCAACAATCATCTGACAGTTTGTGGGGCTTCGCCAAGTTTGCCACACAATAACTCAAGTCACTACACTTGACAGCAATTCTCTGTGAAGCCCTTTGAGAAAAATAATCCTTCCAATTGATATAGCAACACACCAGGTCCTTAGGATAAGGAGGAGGAGAGGGAATAAAAGTCAAGTTGGGCACTGCTCTCGAATCTACACAGTACAATTCCTCACTTTACCTGAGAGTGCCCAATGCATCGCTTTTGTTTTGGCCATCAAAGATTTTTCTCAAATGGACACGACCCTCTTCTCCTAAACAGTTGCCTAGATAGGTTTTAAAAAAAAAGTTAATTCAAGAGGTCAAACGACTGCGCAGGTTAAGTACGGTCACACTGATACACGTTGATCTTCAAGCACAAGGTGGATCAGACTAAATATTAGTCTCTCACTTCTGAGACCCTATTCAGCAGATCGACAGGAGGAAACTCCTGTACTGGACTCGAGTGAAGAGTTGGGGGCAGCCTCAATCCAGCTTGCAGTGAAGAACGGATGCACAGAAAGCAAAACGACATGAGACGACAAAACACTTGAGCTCGCGGGTAACATCTGATCAACCACACCCCCGCAAGAAGCCAGACAGCACAAACTGGCAGTGACCACAGCTTGTGACATGGCAACTCGTAAGTAGGGGGGAAGAGAGAAGAGATCAAAAACAACAATATAGCAGCCCTCAAGCAGGTTAGTGTCCCACAGCGCTTCTCAACAGTGGCTGAACACAAAGCTGAGCTGTGTTTTTTTATATCTATTCATTTTTAAAAATAATATTTAATAGGGCACATTTTTTTTAAGGGACCCAAAACATGACAACTAAATATATAGCCCTCCTCACACAGGGTAGCGTCCCAGAACGCTTAACAGTGAAGCCGAGCTATTAAGAAACCACCGATAACACCAGGAGTTAGGACACATATACGCGCGCCCCAAACAAACACCACACACACACACGTACCATTTAGATCAATTTTTTCCAACAGGGATTTGTGCTTCACAGCTTCAGCCACTGCAATGGCTGCGTCTTTCTTGATCTCCCCAAAGGAAAGGTTCAGCTCCTGTTGACACACGTGCGGAATTTAACGACAAGTGTGACGGACGGAGCTCTGAGACACAAACAGAAACTGGACACAGGTTCTCTCCTCCCTCTCCCCACATAAGCAACATCTTTAGACAAGGTCACACAAGATCCCCGATTTCTCCTGCAAGCAGACAACAGGAAGCAGATGGCCCACCCATCCAACATGAGCTCAATCTTAGGGAAGATTTCATGCGTACCTTGAGTTTACACAATCCAGACTCCACCGCCTCAGCGATGGCTTGTGCTCCTTTGGATCGCACCAGGCAATCTCCGAAATTGATGTATTCAATGTTCTGGAGAGTCCTCAGAGTCTACAAGACACAGAGAGGGAGAAAGAGAGAGAAAAAAAAATCATCAGAGGCAGTTAAGCTATGAGTAGAGGGAGGGAGAGAATTTTTATCACATTCTGTCAATTTCCTTCCATTCTCGTCAACTCTTGGGCACAGTCGCTCACAGTCAACCATAATAAATGAAAGGCGGCAGCCATTTACCCACAGCACTGTCCCACAAACCGTCGTTTTTTGAGGAATTATGACTCCCGGTAATTGATGGGAGAATCGACTAACAACCGGGTTACTTACTGCTTGGTAAACAGGCATGTGGAGTAAGGAAACTTATCTAAAGCTTCGCCTTGCCCGTCTGGGAATTGAACTCAGGTCATCTCGCTTGCGAGGCGTGTCTCTAACACTGCACTACAGGACACGGAGGAAGTCAAAGGAAGTATCCCACTGGCCACCAGTTGCTCCTACCTCAGCCATGGCGATGGCTCCTTCCTCCGAGAAGGTGTTGTCATTCAGGTTAATGACTCTCAAGCGACGGTTGTCGGTGAAAGCCTTGGCGAGGGCGGTGATGCCCTCATGGTTGATTCCATTCTGTGGCATATGGACCTCCTCCAGGGTTCCTATTGACTGCAGAAAAAACGTCACTCCGTTAGTTGCTCTTCCACTGTCCGTCTATTCTCCTCTCTTCCCAAGAAGCGTTTAAAAAGATTCTGAAAGAATTCAATAAGGTGGACGTAGATGATCTGTTTTCACTTGACAGTGAGTCCGAGACAAGGGTAGGGTAGGGCATTGACACGAGGTGGTGAAGAGCGGATTTAACAGGGAGTTTAGGAGGAATGTCTTCACTCAGAGCGTGGTGGCAATGTGGAACTTGCGAGCCGTGGGTGAAGCAGAAAGTGTCAACGTATTTATGAGAAAACTTGATGCACACATTAGGGAGAGGGGAACATAGGGGTAGAGGAGAATAAAGGGGTGCAGGAGAGGAGAATGGAGGAGTTGCAGGAGAGGGGAATAGAGGGGTGCAGGAGAAGGGTGTTACAACGGTCTAAATTCCAAGCACTGATGTTCCAACACATTATGTTTCCTGACCCAGTCTCCCAACTGAAAACAGGCAACTTCAGAAAAACAGAAGGCCTTAGGAAAAAAAACACTTGAAATAGTTTATACCTTGAAAGCATCAGCCAGTGCGATGGCGCCCTCGTTCTCCAGACGATTCCTGCCAGCTATAAAGACTTTCAGGGCCAGTGGCCTCCCCAAAGCCCTCGACTTACTGTGGCACTCGCTCAGAGCTGCAGCCAGAATCTGTAACACACGGGAAATGGGAACAGTCAACTCACAGCTAGTGACTGCCCTTGGGTAACACTGTAGTATCCCTGCATTTCATGCAGTGCCGATAAAGTAAAGACGCACTTCAACTTGGAAATGCTGCCAAATATAGTGACTTGTGTATTGGTAGGCAAACGCAACAGCCGACTTGAGCGCAGCAATGCCCCACAAACTGCAGGATCCGGCTTGTCTGTCTCTATGTCCTCCGTCCACCCATCCCCCCCAATCGAGGTCAGACTTTCAGCTTCTCTGCCCCCACCCTTTGGAAGTCCATCCCAGTCCCTTTGCCTTCCTCCCTCCCTTCAGGTCCCTCCTCTTCGATCACCCTTTCAGTCACCCTGCTACTCTGATCCCAACCCCCACCTCAGCTCCAAATCTCTGACTGTCCAGAGCCTTGGGACGTCTTCCCAACATGAAAGGTGCTACGTACCTATAATTCCTTGTTGCTGTACTGGAATGACCATCTGCTCTGTGAGCTCCGAAACCCAACGTAGGTCTTGAACTACAACCTTCTGATCCAGCGTCACCAGAGTTATCAATCAAGCCAGGCTATAAACAAGTTATATAGATATAATAGTACCTTGCCACCGCCAGTTCCCATGCCGCAGTTATTCAGTCGGAGCTCTCGCAGTGAGTAACACGCCTGGCTCTTCAATAAGGTTTCAAAACTACTGACTCCGTCAGGCCCAAAGGCATTGTCGCTGAGGTCCAGCAGTTTCAGCTGGGCCCCAGCATTCTTCACAGCATCGCCGAGAGAGATCTTGGGAGGAATTGAGGACATTTAGGAATAATAAGTCGGACTTTACGCTAGGACTTTCAAGAAGGAAAATTAATGATACACAAAGCGGATTTAGAAAAGAGCCACCGGTAAAACTCTGGAACACTGTCCCTCAATCCCTCCGCCTTGCTCCCTCCTTCCCCGTCTTCAGGTCACGCCTGACGATCTTCTCTTCGACCGTGCCTACGGTCACCTAACTCTACTGCCCTTCCCAATAAAAGCAAACAGAGAGAAATTGATTTTGCTCACCAGCGCTGGGGGAATCTCGGATCTCAGTCTTCCTGTGAACATGTCACTCCAATGGCAGTTCTTCAGAGAGAGGGGAAAAGGGAGAGAAAAAGAACACTGTTAATTCACATTTGTTAAAAACAAAGTACTTACAGCAAGCAAACTCAACTTGCAAAATCACCTCACTCATACAATGCAACTAAAAGACAAAATTTGCCTTCCTGTAGCACCTCATCATATTGAGCGAGCTCACGGCACATCATATTGTCACGGGTGCCTTTTTCTCTAGGCAAACAGCGCAGCCATTTGGAGAATACATGAGAGAGAAGAGAGGGGTAAAGGTGAGCATGGGGGGGGGGTGACAGGCTCGTGTGGAGTATAAACACTGGCACAAAATAATTGGACCAACTAGATTGTTTGTATGCTGTATAATTCTATGAGCTATCAATTAATCTGGAGGATTGTTGGTCACCAGGAGAAACTCCCTTCTCTTTATCGATAACGTTGTGGGATTTTTAATGTCACACGTAAAGAACAGTCAGAATGGACTGCAGCTTAATGTTTCATCGCAGCACTTTAAGGGTGTCAGACTGTCAGATCAAGTCTTAATGTGTGACTTAAACCCACAACCTTTTTGTTCTGCCAACAGAACCAAGCTGATTGCCTAAATGCTCTACCGGCTACATGAATGAATTTTCACCTCCCACATACTTAATTTTATTATGCATCAATCACACCCCTTAGCAACCAGTCAGATGCACATCCCTGGAAGCAGGTAATCTGTTAATCGCCTTTTGTTACTGCAGTTGGCGTGTAAACCAGGAGAGGTCAAATAACCCACACAGAGAATCACGACTGTGCTAATCTCTCCCGTGCTGGTCAGTCAAATAAATAAATAAATACCTCAGCATTGCTGCGAGCGACTGTATTGCTCAATTGGCAGTTTTATTTGCTGACAAGTATACCAGGAAACATTCCAGCGTACTACTGTACCAGTGTCAAAAGTTCAAAACAACCGGGCAATAAAAGGTGGTTGAGTCCAGTACATTTGCTGTGAAGATAGGGCCATCAAATGGGCCAAATATGAGCCCTTATCTAAACCACTCTTGTGAACACACATTAGGAATAGGATGCTACATATAATAATCCTTGCATTTGATATAGCGCCTTATCACGTCTTCGAGAGGTCTCAAAGCGCTTCACAGAATATACTGTGCGTTTTATGGGTGAAACACGGCAGTCAACTGCCAATTGCACAGCACTGTCTCACAAGCAGTCATAGATTGAGTGACCAATTTTATCTTGAGGGATTATTACCACGGAAAGCTATCTGTCAATCAACTAACCACTGGGTTCCTACTTACTGTGAGGTAAAAAGAGGCATGTGTGTGGATTAAGGAAACTTCCCTTTGGTTTTGTGCGCACGGGAATCGAACCCAGGACTGCTTGCTTGCGAGACAAGTGCTCTAACCACTACGCTACAAGACACCATTTTGTCTTTCAGCAAACAGATTGAGGTTTGTCTACCCGGGGTATGTAAGTTGCAGAATCCTTACTCCAAACCTCACCTCTAAATCTTTTTTGTTGGCCAGGCATTTGGCAATCGCTTGGGCAGCCTCCACCCCGATGGTATTGCCTTCCAGTCGCAGGGCCTGCAGGCCCTCAAATTCCTCAATCTGCTTGATGATTTCAGCAGCTGAACAAAGAGGATGAAATAAGGCTACGCATAAGACTACACATATTTAACAAGAATTAATTAGACCTCCGATTACACAGTCATAAACCTTGCACTTGACACAGGGCCTCATCACATTATCAAGACATCTCAAAGCGCATCACAAGATTACTGTAAAATGTAGTGACTATATTTTGTAGGCAAATGCGGCAGGCAATTTGTGCACAGATTGTTGACTAAGGCACTGAGAAAAACTCTCTTCTATTTTCTAATAGTGTCACAGAACCTAACTGAACAGAAGGATGTCAGTTTAACATCCTATCCGAAGGACCACGCCTCTGACAATGCAAGTCATGTACAAAAGTGTCTACAAGCACCCTGTGGTATTTACAGTCCCCCACCCCGCAACACCACTCTCTGTGACACTGCGCTCTTGGCCCACATACCAGCCTCTGCTGTGTTCAGCTTCTTGCCCCAGCCCTTGAAGCTCAGTTCCCCACCGCCCACTTGAGTTTTTGCCAGCGAGTCTGCCAGCTGAGAGATATCCTCGGAAGCCATCACCTCGACTCTGCTGGGGAACAGAGGACATTTAGAATTATTGATGAAGACAGAACATAACAACAGCCGACTACATTTTTATAACATCTTTCACGTCAGGAGGACTTCCCAAGGCACTGGACAGTCAGGGATTTGCACCCGAACTGGGGATTTGGATCAGGAGGGCAGGAAGGAGGGAGGCACACACACACACACAGAGGCGGATTATCCCTGAGCTCTGTCACTGAGACCCTAACAAAAACACACTGGGTACTAGCTAGAATGTGTCAGCAAGGACTCTACAGTGATCAGGAGCTTTAAAGCACTCCAACGTGTTATTTCTATGTGGAGGGTGCTATTTAAGTACAGTGTTCTCTTCTCTTTCACCCTCTCCTATTCAAAAATGTGTTTCCTCTTTCTGAGTTCAGTTTCCCTGGCACCAAAGCCTTCAGAGCATTGTGGTCAGTCTTCTTGTGAAATGAGTGACAATAGACTACCCAAATGAGGTTGGGCACACCTTCCCACACTCCCACCCCCTCACCTCCTTCAAGACCCTCCTCTTAGACTGTGCCTTCGGTCACCCTCCTACCACCACCCTCTCTGCCTTCCACACCTCCTGATCCCAACCACCAACTTGGGTGCGCATCCCTAACTGTCCAGCGCCTTGGGACGTCCTCCTGGCGTGAAAGGCGCTATACAAATGTCATTTGTTGTTGTTTTAGCAGGGTTCTCCATTAGGATTCGGAACTCTGACCAACCCCCTAACCCCAGCAAAAACAAGACTGATTTTAGTATTGCTACCTTCACTCTGATCGAAAGCTGCTACGTCAGCGCATGTTATAGGGAATCAAACCTGACACCGTCCCGATTGATCTCTGCGGTTAGGTGCTAGAATCCTCAGTGCTAAGCCACTAAGCCGTCAGGGGCGAGAACAATGGCATGGATTCATGCTCAGCCGTTACACAAAACCCAAATTGTTGACCTAAAACGCATCAGAGACACTTGGGTATGACACCGTCATGACACAAATGATGCAGTTTTTCTTGTCATCCTCTTCAAGAGGACAAATTCCATTCCAGACAAGAAAAGGTCCACCTGTAGCGTGCAGCATACAGCAATAAATTACATTTGTATCGTGCTTTTCCCGTCAGGGTCTTAAGACGGGTCTTGAAGGAGGGAAGGGGGTGGAGGGACTGTGGGATGGAGGGACTGTGGGATGGAGTTCCAGAGAATTGGGGCAGAGAGGCTGAATGGTGGGGCGGGCGAGGCGGGGGACATGAAGTAGGCCGGAGCCCGCTATGCGGAGGGAGTGGACAGATTGGTAGGTGGTTAGGAGGTCAACGCTCATAGGGAGGAACAAGGCAATGGATGGAGGGGGGCTTTGAAGGTGAGGACCAGGATCTTGAACGGTGTCCTCTGAGTGATACACATGGAACTCTCGATCCGGTTTGGATACGCTCAGACACTGGCGAGGGGTTTCCGCAAGTGTCGGACACTCGTCTGACCAAACAAAAAAGGGATCGTTACTGGAAGAGTTAAGTGGGAGCGTTACAAGTTGGACGAGAAAGCTTTATTACAAAGCAATTTTAAAAACAAACTGTAAAAGCGAGGGAAATATTTTACAGTCAGGAAGTAATCAGGAAGTACTTTGGGCTGTCAAAATAAGTTACAGCCTCTCTCTCCCACCCCCTTGCTCTCACTCCCCCACCCTCTCTCCCAACCACTCTCCCCCCTCTCTCACCCTTCCCATTCTCTCTCCCACCCCCCACACCTTACCTCTCCCCACACCTTATCTCTCTCCCCACCACACACTCTCACCACCCTTTCCCTCTTGTTCACCCCCCCCACTCTCCCCCCCCACCAACACCTCTCTCCCTCCCCCCCCACCATCACCTCTCTCCCTCCCCCACCAACACTTCTCTCCCTCTCCACCACCTCTCTCCCCCCCCACCACCTCTCTCCCTCCCCCACCATCACCTCTCTCCCCCCCACCATCACCTCTCTCCCCCCCACCATCACCTCTCTCTCCCCCCCGCCCTCACCACCCTCCCCGCCCCCACCACCTCTCTTCCCCCCACCACCTCTCTCTCTCCCCCGCCCACCATCACCTCCCTCCCCCCACCACCTCTCTCCCCGCCCCCCCCCTAACCTCTCCCCCCCACCATCACCTCCCTCTCCCCCCACCATCACCTCTCTCCCCGCCCCCACCATCACCTCTCTCCCCCCCCCACCACCTCTCTCTCCCCCCCCCACCACCTCTCTCTCCCCCCCACCTCCCTCTCTCCCCCACCGTCACCTCTCTCCCCCCACCGTCACCTCTCTCCCCCCACCGTCACCTCTCTCCCCCCACCGTCACCTCTCTCCCCCCACCACCTCTCTCCCCCCCACCACCTCTCTCCCCCCCCACCACCTCTCTCTCCCATCACCACCACCTCTCTCTCCCCCCCCACACCACCACCTCTCTCTCCCCCCCCACCACCACCTCTCTTCCCCCCCACCACCACCTCTCTTCCCCCCACCACCACCTCTCTCCATCACCACCACCTCTCTCCCCTCCCACCACCACCTCTCTCCCCCCCACCACCACCTCTCTCCCCCATCACCACCACCTCTCTCCTCCATCACCACCACCTCTCTCCCCTCCCCCACCACCACCTCTCCCCCATCACCACCACCTCTCCCCCATCACCACCACCTCTCCCCTCCCCCCCCACCACCTCTCTCCCCCCACCACCACCTCTCTCCCCCCCCACCACCACCTCTCTCCCCCATCACCACCACCTCTCTCCCCCCCCACCACCACCTCTCTCTCCCCCCACCACCACCTCTCTTTCTCTCCTCACTTTTCGCTCTCCTCTCCTCTCGCTCTCTTCCTCCACCATTTCCTCCCCCCCCCCTTCTCTCTCTCTCTCCCCGCTGCCATCTCTCCCTCCCGCCCGGCTTTCAACGAGAGGAGAGACGGTGTGTGCGCCGCATCGAAACCCCTCCAAACGCGAACGTAATTACCGGCAACGTCGCCAATTCCAAACACACAGCCGCGGCCCAATTTCCTCCACACGCCCCGGGTTTCTCCACCCTCCCTCCCCCGCCTTTTTTTTTTTCCTTTTTACCTCACGCACTCCCCTCGCTCTCTAATGGCGGCCACCGCCTCTCCAACCCGGCACCCGTCAAACCTGGGCCGTCGCCTCCCGCGCGCGCGCACGCGCGAGCGCCGGCCGCGCGGTGGGCTTCTGGGAGTTGTAGTCGCCGCGCCGGCGTCACCCAGCGGCCGGAGCGGTCCTCGGAACTCCAGCTCCCGGCGGGCCGCGCGCGGCGGCGATGCTTGCGCTCGCTCGCCCGCCTCGCGGGGGAGGACTACAAGCCCCGGCATGCCTCTGGCCTCGCGCAGGCGCGAGAGAAAATAACTGTCAAAGTTGACGGTTGGAAAGGGCGCCTTTCAAAAAAAAACCGATGGGGGGGAAAGGGAGAAGGCGGCCCAATGGCGTCCTTGCATCTGGCCTCATGCTTGATTGATTAATCCCTTTGGCTTTTCCCATCGCCGCGTCTCGAAGGTGCTCCGCGGTGTCCCACCGGTGAAAGCGGCGGCCGATTTAAGGCGGGGTGGGGGCGGGGTGGGCGGTGGCGGCGGTGGTGGGGTGGGGGGGCGGAGAGACGCCGCGTCCCCGCGGACGACGGCCAACACGTTCACGTCGGGGAGGACGGCCCGAGGCGCCGAACTGCCATGAAGTCGGCAGGCGGTTCCACCAGGGGGTGGGGTGGGGTGGGGATTGTCGGCCGGGACGTGAGGAGAGAGAGAGAAACTCCCTTCTCCTTCCCGGAGAATCTGTTAACGTCCGCCTGAACCGGGGCGCCGATGGGGGCCGCCTCGGTCCAACGTCTCGCCCGATCGGCACGGCGACGCTCGTGGGGTGCAGCGGACCGCGGGAAGGAAAAAAAAAGGAAGGAAGGAAGGAAGGAAGGGGCCGGCAACGGCTTGGCCGCGTTGGGCCCATCCAACAAAAGTCATAAGATGGACAGTTATTGCCATCGTTAAATAAAGGTGAGATACCGAGGACCGAGGAGAGAGAGAGAGAGAGAGAGGCGTGACTGAGAGGTTTATTGTGCTTCTGCTCTAGAGGTTGAGGTGGGGGGGGGGGGGGGGATAGGTGCAGCAACGTTGACAATGTACCTGGTCTGACCGTTTACGGTCAAGAAAAAAAAATCCAGGTTTGACCCCTGGTCGGTGTTATTTGATCACAAGATTAGCTTATTAGTTAACTTGGCCAACTTGAGCTCATCCCCTCCAGAATAATCTCAGCGATGGAGGACTACAGTTGATTTAGGGGCTATAATGGGGGGGCTAAAAGGGGGAGTAAGGGAGTAAGGTTGGGTGCCCAATCCTCTTCTGGATTGCGTCCGTTGTTGGTGAAGTTGAGGTTTCGCTCCTGCCATCTCCCCGACGGACTCAGCGTTAACGCAGCCAGAGCGTACAAACGTCAAGCCGTTGCTTGTTGTCGCATCTCTTGCGACACGTGTTTATTTGGAGGCTGCGATTCCTAGCCACACGGAAAAGGAACCCAATGAGTGCCAAAGCAGCAGGAATAAAGTCTAAAGCATTGAGATTGGCGTCATTCGCGCCAATGAATGGGGAGTGCCAGTGTAGGCTTGGTGGGCTGAAAGGCTTCAAGAACCTGTATCCTCTTGAGGGATAGGTTAGCAACAACAACAATATTCCTTGCGTTTGCTGTTGCAGCTGACCACGCCACCCTTGACGCCTCAGAGTGTTACGCGGTATATACAGTAAAGTGGTGTGGCCGCGTATTTTGTGGGAAAACACATTTTGTACAATCACATTTGTGTAGAGCCTTTCACACCCGGAGAACGCCCCCAGAAAATACAGCAGCCAATTTGCACCACAGTGCAAAAACAATCCTTGCATTTAATATAGCGCCTTTCATATCGGGAGGATGGCTTGAATGTACAGGATGTATTGGAAAATGTAGTGACTTTTTTATAGGCCAACACAGCAGCCGATTTGCGCATGGCAATGTCCCACAAACAGCTGCCAAGCAAGTGCCTAGTTTTATGGGGGGGGGCAATTGCTGGCCAGGACATCAGGAGAAAGAAACTCCCTTCTCTTTCCCAAGAGACAGATAGGAGCTTGGTTCTCTCTTTTAACCATTACATTCTGAAAAGAGAAAGGGCAGGAGACAAGTACACCAGTAGGAGGAGAAAATAGCTTTGCTCAGTATCAGGGGAGGTTATTGTGAGTCAGTAGCAGGAGGAGAAGTGGTGAGGAGACATAGTTAACTTTCAGAAAATATATTTTAGTATTGAATAAGGCGAGATATTAATTCGCATATATATGTGTGCAATACATAAAAGTCTGCTGACCAGACAGAGGAACAGAATAATAATTACAAAAAGGTAAAATTTTACATTCTTTTACATTTTTTTAAAGCACTTTTTGGTAAAGGAACAAAAAGAAGATTTATTTACACAACATGGACGGTGGTTGAGACAGAAATAGTTCCAATTACTTTTACGAAACCACAAATAAGGAATTTCATGGAAGTTTATTTTAAATATATATCTTTTAAATGATGCTTTTACAGTCTCGATTTTTGAGGGATTTTTAGTTTTGAGCTCGATTTTTTTTGTGTGGTGTGCGTTGGACATTTATCTCTACTTCTCTCGCTCTGTTTGTGAAAAGTTTTTTTTTATTTGCTGCCTCGTGGTTAAACCCCCAGCGGGAGGAAGTGTCGCAATGGCGGGCGAGAGGAGCTAAGTGAGCCCGAGGCTGCGACAGGGTTTGAAGGCCTTAGCAGTGAATTGTGCTTGTTCCACCCCCCCTCCCTCTTTTAACTGGTCCTGATCTCCTGACAATAACCTGTGAGGTTTCACCCGCCACTTGGACAAAGATTTTTTATTAAAAAAAAGATTTCTGATGGTATAATTATTATTTAGTTCCTAAGTAATGGGCTTGTTAGCCGATTGGCTGATCGCTCTCCGGGAGGGGAGGATGGGGGGGGTAATAATTCCGCCTAAAAATGTATATACATAATAATTTGGTCACTCAATCCGAGTGGCACGCTGTTGCACGCAATTGGCCGCTGCGTTTTGTCCACAAAATGCGGTCACTACACTTCGTGGAGTCCTGTAGCTCAGTGGTTAGAGCAGTCGCTTCTCAAGCGAGAGACCTGAGCTCAATCCCCGGCAGGTCAGGGCAAAACCTCGGGCAAGTTTCCTTACGCCACACAGAGCCTAATAATAATCCCTCCAAAACCAAAAACAATAATAAATTGGTCATTTTCAATCTACGACTGTTTGTGGGACATTGCTGTGCGCAATTGGCTGCTGCGTTCGCCCACAAATATACGGTCAATTCACTTTACAGTGTGTTCTGTGAAGCGCTTTGAGACGTCCTCCCGACGTGAAAAGCGCTATATCAAATGCAAGGATTATTATTATTATTATTATTATGTCAACGGAAATGTTAGACCAACCTTAACCTAATATTTTCTGGAATTAGCTAAATCGGGTGCATCCCTCCGGGATCTACTCCAAAATTACTGTGTAAATGTGGAGAATATAAGGGGAACTCTGTCTGTTTTGGTAGCCCTTAGGCATGGTGATGGATTTCCACGTATCAAACACTTTGCGGACCGAACAAAACAAAGTCTCTTTCGACTCTAGTGTAGGAGGTGGCAGCCTCCAGTGTATAGCTTGCCATATGCTCTGTAGGCCTCTGGAGTTCAGAGGGTAAAATCACTGTATTGTACAAAACATTCAAACAGGTCGAGGCCATTGAGCCCATCAAGCCTGTTCCTCTTTTATTATTATGGGACAGCTTTCAAGCTGCACTTCTTCCACAACCTTTAACACCCTTCCACCCCGCTTTACAGCAAATTCTGTGAAGCACTTTGAGACATTTCAATTATGTGATGGGTTGTTTTCAATATTTAACTCTTATTTTTCCTCTTAAGAAACATGAGCATTGGTGTCATCTGTCGGTGCTTGAGAGCATTTTTTTCTCCAAGTATCATGCCACCCAGTTCAGGAAATGAAACTGAAATGTAATTTCAAATCCATAGCAAGTCAATAAGCCCTAAAATACAAAGTTAGGTTAATATTAAGATGTGGTCTTTAGACTTACTCCGGAATGAGGAAAAGTTGAAGGAGTTTAGGTTTATGTGTCCCCTTGGCTCAGTCAGTAGCACTCCCACCTCTGATCAGAAGGTTCTGAGTTCAAGCCCCACCTTGGGAGAACTAAGCTGATCTTCAAGCCCAGTATTTAGGGGACAGTGAGTTGTCAGAGATGCTGTCTTCTAATAAGATGTTAAACTGAGATTGTCTGCCTATCAGTGTGGAAAGACTATTGGAAAGCCAATATTCTCCTCTCTTTCTTGTGCTCCCATGAGCATTAGCTAGTCTCCGACTCCGTAACCAAATGGTCATTTGTTGTGGTCGAGTGCAGATAGTAGTTTGGTTCCTTACCAAAGTGACCTTTGCGCATGTAAGGGTAGACATCGAGGGGGGGGTTGGGTTCTATTCAGCTGGTCTTCCACAACACACATATACACACACAAATTTTCCAGAGAGGTTTTCGGTGTAGATAGCAATCAGAGAAGAATGACTGATTTCCCCTCAATCACCTTCCTCCTTGACTGTGAGGACAATTACAGGCCTGGATGAATGAGATCAACCAATTCAACACAGATCTGTGACGGTGAGGGCGGTAATCTTTACACACAGCATTAGTAACATTGCTTTACTTTGAAATCTCTCCACAGACATTGACCGACACTATCACTGCTCTGCTGAAATGTCCAGCACCTCTCCAGGCAGACAGCAACGCAAGGAGCAAATTCAGAAAGGACTGCACTTTATCCAGTACGACAATCACTCTCTCTCTCACTTTGAAATTTCACTTTACTGTAAATCGAGAGGTCACTGTAACTCGTTTTGCTCACTAATCCAAATTAGCTACCCATAGCTCTCTGGGTTAGAAGGTTGTGGGTTTCAGATCCACGTTGGGACTTTGAGCTCATTCTAAGCTAACACTCCAGTGAGGGAGGGGGGGGTGTATTGCATTGTCAGAGGTGTGGCCCTTCAGATGAGAAGTTAAACCGAGGTCCGTCTGCTTGTTCAGGTGGATGTTAAAGATCCTGTGGCACTATTTTAATCAAGAAGGGAGTTTCTCCTACGCATCAATATAGTTTGGCTGTAACTCACAGATTTTTTGTGTTATTGATACAATGCACAATAATGCTGTTTCCTCTCCTCAGATCTCCATTATCTTATCCCGGAAGCCAAGATGAATATAAGGTATTCCAAAATTTGTTTTCCATTTACCCCCAGGCTCCACTGGCTCCCAGATACAAGATCCTTGCCCTCACCTTTTCTTAACTTACCACTGCCAATCTTCTCTGGCCCGATATCTTACTCCATGTGAAAGCGCTATATAAATGCAAGTAGTTGTTACTGTTGTTGTTGAAACATACCACTAATCGGCATATTATTTATCTAAGAAGAATTCTTGCATTGAGTTTAGCTATTATCGCAAAGAGCTTCACAAGTGATTGATCCCAATTGTAGTGACTGTCATATTCTTTCTTGTTTGAAGGCTTTTCTACATCAGCTTGTCAAAAACCTACTGGAAGAAGGCAATGCTCTGTACCGAGAGTGGGAGTACAAGGCAGCTTTGGCACAGTATGTGGAGGCATTGAACGTAGCAGATTATGCAGAATCAGACGGGGTTATCATTTCACAGCACTTACTGGAGAATCTATATGTTAATCGAGCTGCCTGTTACTTCTTTATGGTGAGTATTCTCACTCCAACTCCCAGCTCGGGTCCAAAACCTGTGACCATCCAGAACCCTGGAACATCTTTCCGATGTGAAAGGCGCTATATAAGTGTAATTTGTTGTTGTATTCACAGAGGCGTTTCCAGGACTGGAACAGACCCATTTCTGGCTTTCTGACCAGTTTCATTTTAAGGGATAATTACTAAATAGGGATTTGTCAGGGCAATTTTGAAATGGGTTAACCGTAATGCATGGCTACTCATCCCCCTCCCCCCAGCTCCGCCACTGATAAGCGTTCTGGGACGTTGCCTCGCATGGAGGGCGCTGTGTAATTGCAAGTTGTTGTTGTTTGTGGCGCCATCCCAAGCAGAACATTTCTCTCTTACTCTGCTCTGTGATGTGATAAGTCTCCTCCGGTGAGTGCAGGATCTTGCTCCTCCTTCTCAGATCTCTGATCTCCAACCCCACTGTCCACCACGAATATATACCATTGCCAAAGGGAGAAAGGAGGGAAACCTTTAAGCGTGAGAGGCTGTTGTAACAAACAAAGCGCTCTGAGACACTACCCTCCGTGAGGGGCGCTATATAAATGTAAGTTGTTGTTGTGGGTCGTTGACTGCTTCCGTTCTTGCAGAGTGCATATGAGAAAGCGCTGGAGGATTGTGAACACACCCTGAAGCTCAATGAGAATAACTACCGAGCGCTTTATCGCAAAACCAGGGCCCTGAATGAGATGGGGAAACATAAGGAAGCTTACGACTGTATCGCAAAGTGCTCACTCGCCGTCCCCCAGGTGAGAATTTCTGGTTATAATGTAATGATGGCACGGGTACATGTGTCTTGTCTGCCCGGCTATATACGTATCGTCTGCCTGGACGCATGCTGCCACGCTTGCTTCTATAACGTTCACTTCATTTTTAATTATTGTTGACTATCAGCCTGGCTCAGTTGGTTGCGCTCTCAGCTCTGTGCCAGAAAGTTACAGGTTCATTCACCATTAAGGACATTAGATCTCAGATTAGATTGACGCTATAACTCAGTACTAAGGGAGTGCTGTATTGTCAGTGGTGCCGTACTTTGAATGTGATATCAAAACAAGGTCGTCTCTCTCAGGCAAACGTTAAAGATTCCACAGTATTGGAAAAGAGAAGGGAGTTTCTCCTGATGACCTTGCGAACAATCTTTGAGATAAATTGCTGTTCCTCTTGTGCGTGGGAATGTGCTATGCATAAACTAGCTACCATATCTGCTTACAAAAACATTCTGAGTTGTTTCATTCACACAAAAGGTATCTTATAACGGAGTTGTCTTTGTTTAGGATGAGAATGTAGTGAAATTGACTCAAGAACTTGCACAGAGGTTGGGGCTGAGGATCCGTAAGGCGTACATCAGAGCTCAGGTAATTGTCTGCCAGATATGTGTGTCATTGTATTAATCTTATCACAAAGTTATTATAAGGACTTGAGCTCGCGGTCTAGGCTGATGCTCCAGTGCAGGACTGGGGGAAGTGGGGATATACTGCAAATTTGGAGATGTACTTCTTTGGTCATTCACCTCCTGATTGTTTGTGGGACATTGCTGTGCACAATTGCCAGTCGTGTTCACAGCCACTACTTAACTGTAAAGTGCTTTGAGACTTTTCAATGTCATAAGGTGCTGTATCAAATGCAAAGATCATTATTTCCTCCCTACTGATTGTTTCTCTCCCTCTCTCTTTTTCAGCATGATTTGGATACAGTGGGTCTGGCTTCCACCGCCACCAGTCAGGTAAATCAACACGTTTGTTTAATATGATCTATCGTACCCCACTAGGAAGCTGATATGTCTTAGTTTCATCCAGCAGTCGTGGGGTGAAACTCAGCGAGTTTGTCAACAAATGTAAAGGCTGGTTTTTTTCTGAATAAATCTGTGATTCTCACAAATAACAATAAATTGGTTACTCATTCCACGACTGTTTATGGGACACTGTTGTGCGCAATTTGCTGCCTCGTTTTTCCCACAAAATATACGGTCAATCCAATCTACCGTATATTCCGTGAAGCGCTTTGAGACCTCTCGACGCTGTATCAAATTATTATTATTTTAACTTCCTAAGCCTGACTCAGACACAGAGCTGTATCAGTTATTTGAACACATCTGTCAAACAAGTATAAATCATACTGAAAGGCAATTACAGCTCTTCTTTATTCCTGTTCCAGCTCTCTATGAATGGCATCGGCAATATAGATGATATTGAATCAGGTGAGCTTGTGTTTCTCTTTGAAATGTGAGTCCAAAGGTCTGGTCGGGACAACACTCTGTCCTTCCACGTCTGAGATCTCAGTTTGCGTCCAGCCTGGGCTGGTAGGGTGAAAGCCTCTTTCTGGTTAAATAAGGATTTAAGTTAAATGTTGCTTTTTTTTCTCAAAGACATGATAAGGCGCTATTTCAAATGCAGTGATTATTATAACCCTTTGCCGTTTCCGTTGCCATAGACTCTCCCTTGGATATTCCGTGTGTTGCTGCCCCAACTGCCACCTCAACCCCAGCCAGCGAGCCTTCCATCTCCATGTCCGGCTCCATCTGCATCCAAGAGTCACCATCCCCACCTCCTGCCTCCCTGGAGCCACCCACAGCTGGTGATGGGGTGTCTCTCTCTGTGCCAGAGTCCACCGAGGAGTTCACAGATGGAGAGATCATTGGGGAGGATATCGATACCCTTCTGGATTCAATACAGGATTATCCAATGGTAACGTGGGGGGCAGGGAAGGCAAAAACCTTCAAAGATCCATTGTGTTACCAAATCTGTTACTGCAATCTCCCCTCATACATTTGTCTTCTTTCTGTCTCTGTCCCTTTGTAAAGCACTTTAAGACATTATCCTCTTCTATACCCCACCATGGCCCTGACTGTCCAGCGATTGGGACATGGTTCCGACATGAAAGACGCTTTGTAAATATGATTTGCACATCGAGTAATAATTCCTTTGAAAAAGAATAATGATAATAAATTGTTCACTTCAATCCACGCCTGTTTTGGGACAAAATATGCGCAATCGGCTGCCGTATTTCGCCCACAAGATACCCAGTCAATTCACTTTACAGTATATCCTGCGACGAGTTTGAGACGGGTCTGAGACGCTATATCAAATTCAAGTATTAATATTATTTGTTGTTGTTTACTCTAGTATTTATTCTGGAAGTTTTTGTGTTTTGCAGTCTTCAGCACCAGGACCCATACCAACTAACGTACCCGCCAACGTGTCGAGGCTGCCCTCAGTCTTTCCTGTGGGGACTCCCTTACTACCCCCAGCAGTCAAGGGCAGCACAGTCCCAACCGTCGTCACCCTCCCGTTGGTGTATTCCATGCAACCCACTCAGAAAATGGACACTCTTGATAGCATTGGCCCAAACAAGTCTGTGAACAGCCTCGATACCTTGGACCTCTTTGTTGGGCCGGATAGCCAGGCTGGTAAGCATTCACTCCTAAGAAATGAATATTTGATATTCCTAATAATCTGGTCATTCAATCCACGGTTGTTCGTGGGACCCTGCGGTGTTTGTCGTGATTCACCCACAAAATACACAGTCGATTCACCTAACAGCATATTCTGTGAAGCGCTTTGAGACGTCTCGAAGACTTGATATCAAGGATTATTATTTTTTATTCTTATTGATATTGTAGTAAGAATAATCTTTGCTTTTGATATAGCTTTTGGTCTTCACGTGCAGTGGTGATTGTGCGCGTGTGTAGTTTTTGTTTCCCTGAGGAAGCATTTCTTTGGGGCAAAAGATTAAACAGAATGTTTCTGTGCTCAACAGCGCCCAGGCTTCTGACTCCAAGCAACTCTAACAGCAGTCACAGCACACCAGGGAGCTTTTCCTTGGTGAGTTCATGGCTTCGCTCCTTCTCACAGCTTTATCGCAATAAACAGTCACACCGAATCTTGCGTAACTCCACAACTGTTTCAGTGAATCATTGCGACCCCTAGCTACACATTCACCTACCCAAAAGATTCCTTCCATACATCTGTCTCCCTCACTCTGAATCCGTTCACATAACTCAACAGACAATGTCAGAAGATGGCATTCATCTCCTACTTCCTGCTCTTCAACCCAGTGCCCTTTCCTAAGGTCGGAACTCCTTTTCTAACCCAGCACAGACTCCTTTTATTATTATTAGGATTATTATTATGCACGTGTGAGCCGTGGCTCAGTGAGTGTGGACAGGTTGTGATTCTGTCTTGTACAGTCTCGCTCCTGTCCTCCCCTAACATGCACACTGCGTCCCTCTCTCAGTGTCTCCTTTCTCTCTGGTGCAGGGTAGACACGTGACCAACACTCCCCCATCAGTCGGACTCTCCTCAGGCAAGTGGGATACAGCAAGCTTGTTGCATGTAGCCCTGCGAGGAGCCCCTGGGTGGGTAGTGCCACCCCTGACCAAGAACCCACTTGTTGAGACCCACGACTTACGTCAGGCTTGCAACATGTGCTTCATTAAATCAGGTAAGATCCTGCTTCTCAGCCCAGCTCACTTGGTGAGCACTCTCCCTCCTGTCGGAGTCGGAAGGTTGTGAGGTTCACGCCCCATGTTGGAGCTTTGAACTCACGGTCCGGGCTGATGCTTCAAAACAGCGGGGGGGGCGTTACACTTGACAACAGTTCTCACATCTTAAGAATCGTCTTACCCTTACACCCCACCTCTGATGAAGCTTCTCTTCCCCCTTGTGCTGCTGTCTAGGTTCCAAGGCCTTCGATTACACTTATAACCCTGAACTGGATCATAAGTGTAAGAACGATCTGCTGATTGGGAGGCTCAAGGTCTCAGCAGACCCTCGATGGAAGAAAATCCGACCCCGACCCACAAAGAATAATTATGCAGGCCCGTACTACATATGTAAAGGTGGGTTCTGTAGCGTTCATATGGTACCAGAGAGGTGATTGTCTTATCGTGTGACTAAGCTCTCTTACACCTGTCTAACGACAACAACTTGGCACGCCTCACGCCGGGTAGCGTCCCAGAGCGCTTGACAGTGGTGGAGCACGACGCTGAGCCAGGGGGAGGTTACCGCAAGCCCGGTCGAAGAGGAAGGCCTACAGGCGCGACCTGAAGATAATAATAAATAATAATCCTTGCATTTGATATAGCGCCTCAACACATCTTCTAGATACACAGGATACACTGTAAAGTGAATTAACTGTATATTTTGTGGGCGAAACGCGGCACACGGGGAAGGGCGAAGGCGGTGGGAGGGGGCAGGCGGAGGGAGGGATGCAGGGAGAGCGTTCCAGAGTTGAGTGAGGTGACATTGAGCTCGGGTTTTGTCTTACAGACATAGCCAGTAAAGAGGATTGCAAGTACGGGGATAACTGCACGTTCGCCTACTGCCCCGAGGAAATCGACGTCTGGACGCTGGAGAGGAAAGGAGCCATTAACCGCGAGCTGCTCTTCGATCCACTAGGGGGCAGCACCAGGAGCAGCCTCACGGTGGCTAAAATCCTTAAGGATCACCTTGGCCTCTTCATCTTTCTGTGTGAAGTGAGATAATGATAATAACCCTTGCACTTGATATAGCGACTTATTACTTCTTTGAGACGTCTCAAACCACTTTGCGGGATATACTGTAAAGTAAATTGACTGCATATTTTGTGGGTGAAACGCGGCAGCCAATTGCACGCAGCAAAAATACCTTCATGGCTGTTTGTAGGACATTCTACTGTGCCAAATATTTATGTCCCAGAACGCTTACAAAATAAGGTCGCTACAGTCGTGACCACAACTGGTCAGCTGTTAGTAATGAGAGCAGGAATCATCTCTTCACATTGTGAGAATATGGAACGCACAGCTCCAGAAGCTCAAAGGAGAGGCAGAATTAATTGTGATGCTTAAAAGGGAGATGGATGGGATATTTGGAAAGTAAGGGATGTTGGGGCAATGCAAATAAAACTGTACCTTTACATCCTGGCTGAAGAGACCCCTTCTTCTGAGCCGCTCTTCTGATCTAGTCATTTATTGTGCACAATTACAGTGCTTCCTACCTCAGCACTCTGTTTCTCTCCCAGCTTGATTGACCACGACAGGTTCTCAATCTCTTTGCTTTCCGTCCCGATCTAGGAATGTTTTGACAGCAAGCCCAGGCTGATAAGCCAGAGGAACAAAGCGAGCCCAGCAGTCTGCTCCAATCTGGAAACCAGCCACAAATTTGACACGAATAAGTGAGTACTGTTGTTGGGAGTCCTGTTGGAGTACTATAGCGTAATGGTTAAACCTGGCTTGGGTTCCTGAGTGAGACAAGTTCCCTTACTCCACACGCCTCTGTTGACCTAGCAGTAAATAGGAACCCGGTTGTCAGTCAATTGGTGGATTGCTTTTCTGAGGGTAATAATTCCTGCAAAAAAAATGGTCACTTGAATCCACGACTGTTTGTGGGAACGCTGCTGTGCGCAATTGGCTGCCGCGTTCGCCCACAAATATAGAGTCAATTCACTTTACAGTGTGTTCTGTGAAGCGCTTTGGGACGTCCTCCCAGCATGAAAAGCGCTATATTAAATGCAAGGATTATTATCATTATATCCTGTGAAGCGCTTTGAGACGTTTCAAAGACGTGATAAAGCACTATATCAAATGCAAGGATTATTATTACTGTCCATAACTGGAGAGGGTTCAGTTCAGGCCTGACATAGGGAAGCTTGGGAAGCAATAACAATATAATAAAGTGCTATATCAAATGGAAGGATGATTATTATTAATCTCCCCTGCACTTTTTGCTCAGCTCATATACTGTTCCCACAAAGGGGTGCCCAAAACCGCACACGAGACTCCAGTTGTTGTCCAGCTAACTGTGTTTTCCGGACTTCAGGTGTATGGTTCACATGCTGAGAACGACGACGGTGAATTACTGCAAGATTCGTCAGTTCAAGGATTACTGTCAGTTTGACGTGTGCCGCCATGAGGTGCGGTACGGGTGTCTGCGGGAAGACAGCTGTAACTTCGCTCACAGCCTGGTCGAGCTCAAGGTCTGGGTCTTGCAGCAAAACTCAGGTAATGTCGGGAGGGAGGGGAGCAAATCTCCAGGCTTTCTGTTATATCTGTGCGCAATTGCCTGCTGCGTTTCATCTACAAAATACGCAGTCAATTCACTTTACAGTATATTGTGAAGCGCTTTGAGACGTCTCGAAGATGCGATAGGTGCTTTATCACATGCAAAGATTATTATGTTTTACGTTGCAGCGATCTCGCACGAGGAGATTGTCCAGGAGGGAAAGCAGTACTGGCAGAGCCTGGAAGCCAGCAGAGCACAGGTAGGTAACCCTGTGTCAGGCAGTGACTGGGATAGGGAGTCAACTAATGCCCACTTATAGCCATCACATGTACAACAGCAGGGCCTGGAGCATGGGGGTGGGATTCCTCCCACTCGGTTCCTGTTAAGTTCCAACTGAAGCCCTAGGAATTTTTCCCAGTTCTGCACCATCTTAAATCTTAGATACACAATGGTTTCATGAGCTGAGACTGGGTGAAATTGTCAGACCTCGGTTGTCTCAAAACATGTTGACGACCTGAATTCAGTTTGTGGGTTAGCGATCCGCAGGGATGCTGGTTCAGTGCCTCACTCTTTCGTGTCCTCTGAAGGTTTGCATTGACTCTGACAGTCCTGTGCTTTGATTGATTGAGGTCTCACCGAGCATTGGAAAATCCCCCTCTCTGGACATGAAGATGAAGTTTGTGTGCGGCCAATGCTGGAGGAACGGGCAGGTCATCGAACCCGACAAGACCCTCAAGTACTGCAGCGCCAAAGCACGACACGGGTAAGGGCACCAATGTCGGGGACAGTAGATTCCAGATAAATTGTCTGTGTAAGTAGAGTAAATCTACAAATCTCTTTAGTCGCTCGTTGTTTCCTGAGGAGAGCAGATCCTCATGATCGTGAAGGGCTGATAATACAGCGTTTCGTCCACATAATACAGTCACTGAACTTTACATTGAGACGTCTCAACGACGTGATTAATATTATAAATAATCCTTTTTTTAAAAAAAAAATTGGTCGCTGAATCCACGACTGCTTGTGGGGATGTTGCTGTACGCAATGGGCTGCCGCGTTTTGCCCGCAAAGTACACAGTCAATTCACTGTACAATATATTCTGTGTCGTGATCAGGGGGTATATTAAATGCAAGGATTATTATTATTGAAATTGCACGTCAGTATCTTCACCTTCCTTGGCCGTGGAGGCAGCTGGTTCGCATTGACAAGAAATGCAAGTACTAGATTGATGTTTGTTCCTGTTCCTTTGGGGGCAGATGGACCAAGGAGCGCCGGGTGCTGCTGGTGATGTCAAACGAGCGAAAGAAATGGGTTTCCATCCGGCCTCTCCCTCCCTGTAAGAGTCAGCCCCAGCAGTATGATGTGAGTAGATAGAAACATAATGAACTGTGTTTGATACAGCGTCACATCGAAACGTCTCGCAGCGAGTCATGTGTGACCACATATATCCCCCACCCACCCACCCCCCCCACCTCCCGACCCCCCACACACACACTTCCTCAGGTTTCACCTACTCTCAGCTCAGGCTCCCAGTCCGCTCTGTGAAGAGCTTTGAGACGTCCTCCCCGTGGGAAAGGCACTGTATAACCTAATTGTTGTGTTTCATAATAATCCTTGCATTTGGTCCCCTCTGCCTGTTCCGATGCTGGAAGAGTCTCTGCCAATCTTTGGAAGAAGAGCAAAGAATTTCTCCCAGTGTTTTGACTGATATTCCCCCCCCCCCCCCCACCGAATAAATGACAAAGAAAACCCGCTGTACATGGGAGCTCTCCCGCGTAGATTGGCTGCCAATGCGGCTACGTGACGTCCCTACTCTTCAAAATCACTCACTGCATTGAAGCGCTTCGAGCCTTTCAGACGGCAGCAATTGCCGGTCATTCAATTTCATGCCAATTAATAATTTGCCGATATCGTAAACTTGCGTCTGAGCGACATGGCTTCCGGGGGACACTTCCAAAATGGAGTCCCGGCTCAGTGGTCACACCGGCTTCCGCCAGCAGAGGGCGATCTCCTGCTTTGAATCCCGTTCTGCGTCCCCTTCCCCGGGCTCCCCCCCCCCCCCGCCCCCCCCCCCCACCCTCTGCCCTTCGCGCTCAACCTCAATTAGCGGCTCCTATTATTAGAGGGTTTTTACAGCGTAGGAGGGAGAACCAGAGCACTTGTTCCCCACAGATGGGTTTCAATTCAGTTGACTGTTTGTCAGATTCCAAATGGGACCCATGGTCAATCCACTATTCAATGTAATCCGTGAAGCGCCTTGAGACGTCTCGATGATGGTGGTGATGATGATACTAATAGTAATAATAATAATCCTTGCATTTGACATAGCATCTTATCACATATGGGATCTTTGAGACGTCTCAAAGCGCTTCACAGAATCTGTTGCAAAATGTACTTAGTGAGGGATATGATGTGATAAAAGTGCTATATCAAATTCAAGGATTATTATTATTATTACCAATTAACCAAGATGACATCTGGGCAACTACCTTTTGCCCGCACCCCTTAATGCCTGTGTGAAAGTTAGCACATCGAATGTCTTATTTTGCACCCGTCTATATTATTTTTTAACAAACAGTAACCTTTTATTTTTTGTTCCAGTTGTGTTTGCACGTCACCAATGGGAAGAAGTGCCAATATATTGGGAACTGTTCGTTTGCACACAGCATTGAGGAACGCGAGGTCTGGACGTACATGAAGGAGAACAACAGTGAGTTCACGTCTTTTCTTTTCGTTTTGCCCACAAAATACAGTCACTACACTTTTACAGTGTATCCTGTGAAGCGCTTTGAGACGCGTCAAAGACGTGATAAGGTGGTCTATCAAATGCAAGGATTAGTATTACTATTATCCCTGCTCCAACTCTGGTTCCCCTTCTTCTTAGCACTCCATGAGGTACTGAATAAAGGAGCTGTGAGTCACTTTAGCAATAGTCCCTTATTATTACTATTACTCTGCCTGTCCCCTGTACAGTGCATGACATGCAGCAGATGCACGACATGTGGCTAAAAAATCAGAATCCGATGAAGACGGGGGAGGCGACGGTTCTTACCACCAGACAGACCGAGAAGCAGATCCACATGCCGACTGACTACGCAGAACCCGGGGTAAGCCCCTCTCCTGCTTCAGCATCAACCGTTTCCACTGCTTGTGATTAATCATTTCAACGGGCATGGCGTGGACGTGTGGAGTCCTGTAGCTCAGCGGTTACAGCGAGAGGATCTGGGTTTGATTCCTGGGTAGGTCGGGGATAAACGTTAGAAAAGTTTCCACACGCATGCCTCGTTTACCTAGCAGTAAGTAGAAACCCAGTTGTCAGTCAATTGGCGGATCGCTTTCCAGGGGTTTTAATCCTTTCAAAATGAATAATAATTTGGTCACTCACTCCACCACTGTTTGTGCTGCTGTGTGCAATTGGCTCCACGTTACGCCCACAAAATATACAGTCAATTCACATTACAGTATATGCTGTGAAGGGCTTTGAGACAACAACAAAAACAACGAGACATTGAGACCTCTCGAAGTCGTGATCAAGTGCTATATCGAATGCAAGGATTATTATTATTATTTATCTCGCAGCTCTGTAAAAATTGTTGAGCCATGTTTGTCCCTGTGCCTTGACTAGATGGGTTATCACTGCTGGCTTTGTGGGAAGAACAGCAACAGTGAGAACAGTGGAAGAAGCACATCACTTCCGAGAAGCACAAGGAAAAAGTCTTCAACTCCGAGGACGACCAGAACTGCTGGCAATATCGCTTCCCCATGGGCGAGTTCAAATTGTGTGAGAGGTGAGCTTCAATACGGCAAAACACTGCCGTAGAGACCAAGGTTGTGTGTGTGTGTGTGTGTGTGTGTGTGCCTTTTTTCTCGTCTACTCCCTGTCTACTCCCATCTTGCAACCCATCATATTATTTTATTGCCCTGTAGAGACCTGTAGCTTATTGGTTAGAGCGCTCACCTCGCAAGCGAGAGGACCTGGGTTCGATTCCTGGGCAGGGCAAAACCCTAGGCAAGCTTCCTTGCTTCACGCACATACTGCCTCTGTTTACCTAGCAGTCGGTAGGAACCCGGTTGCCAATTGATTGGCAGATCACTTTTCTGGGGGTAATAATCCCTTCAAAAAAGTAATAATTTGGTCACTCATTCTACGACTGCTTGTGGGACACCGCTGTGCGCATTCGGCTGCCGTGTTTCACTAACAAAACATAGTCACTCCACTTTACAGTATATCCTGAGAAGCGCTTTGAGACGTGTGGAAGACGTGATAAGGCGCTGTATCATATGCAAGCATTATTACTATCATTAACAACATATCTGTATCATGATATTATTAACATGCTGTCCTGACAGGTCAGTGAAGAACAAGCCTTGCTCAGACGGAGAGGCCTGCCCATTTGCCCACTGCCAGGCGGAGTTGGACGAGTGGTTGGGACGCAAGGATCTCTTGCAGATGAAGTTAGCTAAAGCAGCCAAAGACAAGCTGATCGCCACCAACGACAGCGACTTTGGCAAATACACCTTTCTGATGAAAGATTTAAATTAACGTATACGTTCGGGTTCAGTTCATTCATTCTGGCTGCAACCTTTTAAGACGACCTTATATATAAGGAGAGCGAGCGAGAGAGAGAAAGAGAGAACTAATCAAACATGTCATAAGACGGAGAGGAGGTGATCTCGCTCATCGCCTTCAAGTCTCGAGGCTTCTTTACGGGATGTTGATCACATCCATCCGAGGACAAAATGAGTGTTACTAGCGGAACAGTTCCTGAGAGAGAGAGAGAGAGAGAGAGGGAGAAAGATCCAGGTATTTCTGATAGATGTATATCATAAGAAGGTACTTAATTGAGAATGCTGGTTATAGAGTATTATGTGGCTCAGAGGGTAAGGGCATTGTCCAGGGCAACACTGGCCTTAAGGACCATGGATTAGATTCCTCCTGTACTAAGATCAGCCAGGGTAGCATTAATATGCAGCTACAATTGACCTCAGCAACCCCATCCTAGCACCCAACTCACTGACAGGCATCCCACATTAATAGCTGCCACTTAGGTGAGGTACAGGAGAGCTCCCACTTCAGCAGAAGGGAGAAAGTGGTCAGACAAGACATTGAACGCCCAATTCCTCTATCCAGTGATTCATACCCAATGATATGAACCCAAGGTGATTCTGTCGCCGTTAGTTTTGAAATCATGGGGTTTGTTCTGCTGACTGTTACAGTAGAATATCATTGAGATACGCACACCTCTAATATATATTATTATTATTATTATAAGACTATGCTCTGGTTTGGTCTAGATATTGATGAGATGGGGAATAGATGTAAAGGGAAACTGTCTTAAACGTACATTTAAAGAAAATATATTAAGTGAGAGCGGAACGATTGGAATTGTTTGAGGTGTTGGACGCATGTCTGCTTGAGTTGAATAACATGGAGGAAGAAGCTTTACTGTGAATGTTACCTGTGCTGGGTTGGACAGTAAAGAGATGGCTTTAATCTACATCTAACCTCTGTCAAAGCAGGGCGGTGCACAGGCAAGCTTTATCTAACCCATCCCATCTCACATACTGCTTATATATATCAGAAACTGTAAAGTTAAAGTAACAACTGCACTGGATAGTTATTTGAACAAACAGTGGATATGTTTGCACTGGATATCCCTCAACTCCCCCACCCCCGTAACTCGGTAATTATTTCAACTTTACATTTATACAGGAGCTTTCCTGTCGGGAGGACGTCTCAAAACACTTCTCAGAGCCTGGCCAGGGTGTGAGAGAACTGAGGAGGGTTGGGGAAAAGAAAGAAAGAAAAGAAAGTTTTAAGACTGGTTTTAATAGTTGGGTGCAGGGGGGAGGCAGAGGGATGAGGTGGAGGGACTCCAGGAATTGGGGTTCCAGAGAGAGTGGGGGCAGAAAGTCTGAAAGCCAGTCCCCCTCCCTCCTGTCCTTTCCTGGGATGGGGAAGACACACAGATTAGATTAAACACTTGCATCTTTTGACTTTAAGAGAGCTGTATTGTTTTAATTGATAAATGTGGTTCAGTGAATTTTCCTTTCTGCTGCAACCATTTTTTTAAGAAAAAAAAGTTCCTCAAGCGAAAGCGGTCGAACGCTTATCATATTATGAAAGTAATAAATAACTTGTTGGATTCAGTTCCACTACTATTTCTATATAAAAAATATTATAACGCAGTCAATGGAGCCGGTCTTGCGAAGGTGTTCATGATTATGCAATGATTTGATATGTCTTATGTAGTTTAAGAGGCATGTGCAATGGTTAATGTTCTTTTTGTCTATCAATGAGTTGAACAAACAGCAGACGGCGATATTATAGATAAATACTGTGCACTTGCTTTCAAGCACTGTTAATTAATGCAAATCGCTATATCAAAAGCAAGGATTATTATTATTATTTTTATGCTTCACCCCGTGATAAGGGAGTTCAACCACCACAATCTCGGCCTCTGAACTCGCTGATCTCAGCCACTTGCAAGAGGCGGAAGGTATCACAATAAGTAACAACTCTTGGGGTAGAGAGAGGCAAAGCACAAGGTTTAAGAATGGAACAATTTTTCCCCTTCCCTCCGTCGCTCGCTTTGAGATGTCTCAACGACGTGTTAAGGCACTATATCAAATACAAGTATTATTATTATAAATGCACATTTATGTAGCACCTTTCACGTCAGGAGGACGTCCCAAGGTGCTTTTAAGTTTCTTTTCAAAAACTTATCAATACACCCAGGTAGAATTTCTCTCCTGTGACTGGAATGGGGGCGGGGGGTGGAGGGGGGAGGAAAAGAGACCGAGATGGAGGGCGCGAGAGGGGGGTCTAGCAGCCCAAAACAGTGCAGTCTTCAGGTGGCCTCTGTTATTAATGTGAAATGTGGAGTTGAAGTTTTAATTCAATTTGCAATGAACACTTACCAGATCAGACCATTTTGAGTGATGCATTTGTGTGTCTGAGGTGGGGAAGGTGGAGAAATGAGAGCAAGGCTGAAAGTAGAAAGAAATCAAGTTATTGATTCCTCGCCAAACTCTGGGGAGGGTTTGAATATCAGCTGCATGTAACCCTGCTTATAATTCAGGTGAATGTTTGTGTATAAAATAAATAAAATACTGTACTTTCCTTACAAGCAGAAATAATGTGTGTCAGAACCATTTTACACCTATATTAAGGGGTACAGGTTAGGGAGTGTTAATGCTGTCTCCTGTACTCTGTCTTTTAATAATACTAATTGTCTACTACTGTTTTACTTCATGCCGGGAGCCAGTGTATGAGCATTGTATTTGGGGTGGGGTCTTTGTAATAATAATAATAAAAATAATAATAACTTGGCCACTCAATCCACGACTGTTTGTGGGGGACGCTGCTGTACGCAATCGGCTGCTGTATTTCGCCCACAAAATAGAGTGTCAATTTGCTTGACAGTCTATTCTGTGAAGCACTTTGAGACGTCTCGAAAGTGTGATAAGGCCCTATGTCAAATGCGAGGATATTATTGTAACCCACTGATCTCGTTGAGGCGGACGGGGGCAGAGGACCTCAGAGGCTGTTTGGCCATCGACTTTGGCTCCCAAACTCTGTGGAGGCTGAGTCGATCTCCTACGCTCCGCGAGGGAAGATGAACATTGAGAGCGGAGTTTGACGGGTGGGTAAGAGAGAGGGAGTCGGCTTCCCAAGCATCTGGAGCTAATACAGTAGTTACTCATTGCATTCGTGGCTCTCCAAGGTTTGACCCACTTGTGAATGGAGCGGGGAAAGGGGAAAAGAGAAGTCTTGTGAATTCCTCGTGACAAGCAGACGGCCTAATAAAGGGAGTAAACCAAACCGTGCGCTGTGTGTGTGTGTTTTGCTGTTTGCTTAGCGTTGCTTGTGTGTGTGTGTGTGTGTGTTTTAGTTGCTCTTCCAGTAACTTGCACAGTGGGTGATGGGAATGAGTGTTTACAAGAACCACATCGGAAAATAGGAGAGAAATTCCACCCATTCAGCCCCCCCCGAGCTCAGTGTATTTATGTTGAATTTCACAGCAAGTGGAATTTGGCAAATTCCTGAATTCAGTATTGCCTTCGAAGCCGTTTTTCTGCCGTTTTTTTTTTTTTTGAAAAAGAAAACCGGCTTCAGAAACGAAATACGTTCAAACCCGGACACACTGAACCGCAAAGAAAATGGTCAGTTTAAACGTCAGAGGCTTTCGGGTGAGACGTGACACCGAAATCTCGCCTGTGCCTGTTCAGGGAGATTGAAACTGTGCCGCCGTTTGGAAAGAGAAGAGAGTTTCTCTCCGTCTCTCTGGGGCGCTGGCCGACAATTCCCCGAATGAAATCGGTCATTCGCTTCGCAGCAATTCGTGGGGACATTTGCTGCGTGCAAATTGGCTGCCGACAAAACACCCAGTCACTGCACTTTGCAATATATCCTGCGAAATGCTGCGAGCCTGAGAGACGCCGCTGCAAAAGGCTTTGAGCCGTCCTCCCTGATCTGAAATGTGCCGTACTAAAATGTAAGGACTATTATTATTATTATTATTATTATCATCTGGGTGAAATTTCACCCTCCATAAATGTCTTGAGGCACAGAATCATGGCATGTTACAGCTCAGAAAATGGCTGTCCTACTCAAGTCTGTACACGAGCCAGTCTATTCCTGTTCTCCTGTTAGCCTCCGGTACACTTTAATATTCCTCCTACCCAATCACTCAGTTCCTTTGGTAGGAATTAACTCTCTCGGAGCTCCACGATGGGACTTTGAGCTCACTGTCTAAGGTGACACCCCAGTACAGTGTGGAGTGGTGCACTTGTTGGAGCTGCGCACCGTCAACAACAACAACTTGCACTTCTGTAACGCCCTCCACATCGGGCGGCGTCTCAGAGCGCTTAGCAGCGGTGGACGCCCAAGGCCGAGCCAGCGGTAGGGGAAAGTGACCGTAGGCGCGGTCGAAAAGGAAGGTCTTCAGGCGCGAACTGAAGATGGGGCAGGAGGGGGCGAAGCGAAGGGGTTGAGGGAGGTGAGGTGTTAAACTGAGTCGCGTCCACCTGTTCAGGTGGAACTTGAAGATCCTGTGATGCTATTGGAAGTGTAGTGACTTGTATATTTGCAGGCAGATGCAGGGGGCGTAAAGATTATTTCCCCCTCCCTTCACCCCTTTTCCTTCACCCCTTTCCCTCAGCTCGAGTCCAAATCCCTGACTGTCCATTGCCTTGACGTGAAAGGCGCTATACAAATGTAATTCCTTTTATTGTATTCCTGCCAAACAAGTTGAACGGATGGAGCGAGGATGAGTCAGCGCCTTGGGACGTCTTCTTGTTGAGGTTGTGCTGTGTGTCTCTCTGTGTGGTTTAAACAGCAGAGAGGATGAAACTGTGCCTGGGACTTTTTACCCTCGTGTCTCCATTCGGCTCTTGTCTCGTGTCTGCTCGTTGCTTCAACCGTGACATGTTGATTCCCCTTTGCCAGCCCGGGCTCAAGTTACCAAGCTTTGCATGACCTCTTCAGCTCTGCGACTAATCCAGAAAGGAGAGGGCTGTAAACCCATGACTACCAGGATTATATCAGTTTATTACAGACTCACATTGCCTCTCTCTCTCTCTCTCTCTCTGCACACCTTCCAGACGTCCAACCCACGTAACGCTTCTGGGGAAAAAAGTCTCTCTGTGTGTCCTGGTCGACAATCTCCCAGATTACATCGCGTCGTCAAGACGTCTCAAAGCACTTGACCAAAGTAACGTAGTGTCTTGTCACGTCAGAACATCCCAAAAGTGCTTGACAGAAATATACTGAAATAAAGTGTTGGGACCGTGTGTTTTGGAGGTGAACGAGGCAGCCGATTTGTGCGTGGCAACGTCCCACAGACAGCCACAGAGCAGAAGATTGTGGGCAGGACACCGGGCCAAACTCTCGCCTCTTCGGTTAGCGCTTCGGGATCTTTAACGGCCACCTGGACAGGCACAGAGGGGACCTCCATGTCTCACGTCTCATCAGAAGGACGGCTCTTCTGACATTGCAGTGCATTCGAGAAACGCTGTCTATTCAACAACAACTTGCATTTGCTATAGTGCCCTTCAAGTAGGGTAGTGTACCGCTTGACAGTGGCGGAGCTGACACTGAGCCAGGGGGAGAGGGAGGGAGCAGGGGGAGGTGACCCTAAGCACGATCCAAAAGGAAAGTCTTTAGACAGAATTTGAAGGTGGGAAGGGAGGGATGGAGGGGGCGAGGCAGAGGGATTGAGGGGGAGAGTTCCAGAGTGTCGGAGTTGAAGGCACGGCCACCGATGGCGGGACGTGGGGCCGGAGCTAGTCGAGCGGAGGCAGCGAGTGGGGCCTAAGCAGTTCGGAGAGGGAGGGAGAAGGGAGGGCACGAGGGGATTTGAAAACGAATGAAAGGATCTTGGGACTCGAACCCACATCCATCTGATGAGGCCAACTGAGCCAGGCTGACTGGCGGAAGAAACATCAGTTGTCTCGCTGCGCGGGGACGTGGTGACGCGAAGTGGAACAGGGAGGGCAAGGATTTTTTTTCTTTTTGTTATAAACAGTGAATGGCGCTCTTGACAATAAATCCATCCCTGAGCAATTTATACCCTTCACGTGTACCAGACGTCACAACAAGTGAGGGAGTGAGCGAGTGAGCGAGCGAGCGAACACGGTGACCTAATTTTTTTTGGTGGGGGAGTGGAAGGAAGGAAGGAAGGAAGGGAGGAAGGAAGGGGCTGGACAGCTAGAAATGAATCCTGCTATGAAAAGTGCTTAACAGGCGGGTGTGAGATGAGGTGTACAATGAAACAGCATAGGTCACAAGTGGCGGAGAAATGGGCAAAGCCGTCGCTTCATTCGTAACCACGGGCCATCTCTCTTTTCCCTGTGTGGAATCCGATACCATTTTGTGGAGCAACTCCAAGGCCGCTTTCAAACACAAGCACGTTGCGGTTCGTTGTGCTTCGATGTCTTGATTGTTCTCTCCCACAAACAGCCGTGAAGCAAATCATAGTTCGGTCGCTCGCTCCGCCACTGTTTGTGGGACGCTGCTGTGCGCAATCGGCTGCCGCGTTTCGCCCACCACACACACAACAACAATCTAAATTTATGTAGCGTCCCGGAGCGCTTATACAGTCAATTTACTTTGCAGCATATCTTGGTGGCATTCGCCCACAAAACAGACAGTCAATTCACTTTACAGCACATTCTGCGAAGCACTTTGAGACGTCTCGAAGACGTGATAAAGACGCCCTATCAAATAAAGATTATTATTATCAGTTCCCCTACTCCGATCTTTCTATTTCCTCTGCGTAAGTGAAAGTTGTTGTTGATATCAGTAATAATATTTGTTATTCCACCAACAGTTTCCTCCCACCACCACCACCACCTTTGATCACAGAAGTGTTCTGTCCCGACAAGTGTTAAATCATGAGAGAGGGTGTTTCCTAGTTGCGGGATGACTCGCTACTGACGTCTGCATGTTTGAAGGATATTGCCTAACCCACCACTCAGCTGATTGGTTCTAAGTCTATTTCACTGTATTACCATTAGCTGCTCAGTTGTATCAGACATTGAAGTCAAATACATCCTCTGTCTTGTGACTTCTGGTGTGTGTGTGTGTGTCTGTGATTTAATTTTGCATTGCCCCCATCTATCCATAGATCTCTCCATCTATCTATCTATCTGCTCAGTGAAGTGCTCACGTGCTTTGTCTAACCCCTGGTTCCTGATCAAAGCCTTTTCTTTCTCCTCCTCCCTCTCTCTCCCCCCCCACACACCCCCCCAAAAAAAACACACGCACACACACGCGCACACAAAGAAGAAACTTATTTCTACTCACCCACGTCTCCAACCGCTTTAGCCGAATCATGTCCTCTGAGTTTGGAAGCCTTGGCGTCGCTTTGGATAATTACGCCGAGGTCTTGAAGACTTTAATGGAAAATCCTTTTGTGGGTTCGAACGAAGGTAAGAGAGCAAGTTAGCTGCCTGGCTGGCGTTTTGATCGGATCTCTGTGCTTAAATCTACCGCAGTAAAACCTTTTTTTTCTTAAATGTGGCTTGAATTCAACAGGAGTGGGTGTGCGATTGCTTAGAATTTAATTTAATAGGTGTAAGTGACTGGTTAGATTTTAAGTCAGCCCCGTACTTCTTATTGAGCTCTCAACGCCTCTGTCGAGTGAGGATCTGGCATTTGGTCAGGTCCAGATATCCTGTGATATAATAATAATCATAATATAATCTTGCATTTGATGGACAACAGCAGTCGTGGATTGAGTTAACAAATTACTACAATAGGGATTAGTTACCCCCGTCAATCGACTGACAAACCGGGTTCCTACTTGCTGCGAGGCAGTAACTACAGCATCAACAAACAAACAAACAAACAAACAAACAAACAAAATTGCATTTGTATAGTACCTTTCATGTCCATAGGACGTCCCAAAGCGCTGTGAGTAAACAGCTCACACGTTAAAAAAATTGTGCATCTCACTCTCTCCAGTACTACTTTGGCATTGAAAAATTTGCTATCTTTTTCTCTGCTGTGCCGGTGTTTTTTCTTTGTGTGTGTGTGTGTGTGTGTGTGTGGAAATAATAATCATAATCTTGCATTTGATAGAGCGCCTTAGACATCCCAAAGCGCTTCACAGGATATACTGCGAAGTGGAGTGACTGTGTATTTTGTGCGGATGCGTAGGGGATTTATTTGGCTTAGATTTAACTCCCCCCCCGCCCCCCATCTCTCACGCGAAGTATTTTCTCGTCCTGAACCGATTTCTCCCACCCCACCCCACCCCACCCCACCCTAAAAAAAGAATGTGTTCGAGTTCAAAGGAATCGTGTCTCCGAAAACTGCTGGCTGTTTTATATGTGAAAAAGAAAGTTTCATTGTGAAAGGTCTGGTAGTTTGCGAACTGTGATGGGATTTGGGTGTGATCAAAACACAAATGGAAGCAGGTTATATTACAGGATAAAGTGATTTGGGCGTTAGGTTTTACTTTATCCTTGAGAGCACAGCAGCAACATCTGTCAGTTGCTTTTGTCTCTGTCCATGTCCGGCCCCGATTACTGCCAGTGAATCCATTAACTCATCGTTGGCTATCAAATACAGTCGACTCCTGATGTGGAATTAGTTAAGAGCACTCGCCTCAGAAGAGGACCCGAGTTCGATTCACTCCCTCAGCAGTGAGTCGGAACCCGGCTGTTAGCTGATTGCCAATCGCTTTCCGGGGTGATAATCCCTTCAAAAAAAAAACATTGTTAGTAATAGTAATTTTTGGTCATTCAATCCGCGACTGTGGGTGCCACGTTTCACCCACAAAATATCTGTGAAGCTCTTTGAGACGTCTTGAAGACGCAATAAGGCGCTGCATCAAATGCAAGGGTTATTAGCATCATTATTATTAACTGGCGACGGAGGCGACCCCCCTCTCAAATGTTATCTGTTTATAAAATATGTTGAAGTGCTACACAGGCAGCGATCTTCCTTTGATGATTGAGGTTTGCCTTTGAACGCTTTGACCGGGTTCCATCATGTGCTTCTGCTGAAATGTAATCAGTCGCTTTTGCTGCAACTCAAAAGCATCTCTGGTTTGAGAAACGTGGAGCATGTGCTTGAGCCACGTGAGGTAGGGATCCAGGGACAGAGCCTGTGTGCGCGTGTGTCTCTGTGTGTGTGTGTGTGAGCGCGCGCGCGGTGTGTGTGTGTGTGTTTGCATGCGCATGAGACAGATTTAAATGCCTGGCAACCTGTTTGTTGCTGAGAGGGAGAGAGGGGATGGGGGAAGTGTGCATTGCAGTTGCTTGCTCGCAGGTCAGACTATTGCCAATGATGGATTCGACGACGACCACCTACAATGTATACAGCGCACTTCACTTAGCAGTTGGCCACTGGGTTCAGAGGCGATCTGATCACCCCCTTGACTTGATCGGGTGGATCGTGATGACAGGCGTCGGGTCCGCCATTCGTCCTGTCGACAATTTTGGATTCCGTCCAATCCGGGGCGAAACCTTATGCAAGTTTCCTTACTCCACAACGCCTCTGTCGACTTACCAGGGTGGTAATAATCCCTCCCCCGAAAAATGCGGTGACTCAATCCACGACTGTTTCGCTGTGCGCGATTCGCCCCACAAGATGTACAATCCCCCCTCTTTGCAGCATATTCTTTGAAGCGCTTTGAGACGTCTCGAAGACGCGACAAGGGGCTATACCGAACGCAAGGACTGTTATTAATTAATAATTATCGTCAATCATTGTCACGGGCAGGTACAATGCAGTGGCTTTCGCTGAAACAGCCAGCCGGCTTCTGCCTCCGATTCATTACGGAGGGTAATATTTCGTGCAAAACAAGTAGGTGAATAGGGGAGGGAGGGATTAACAGGTGAAACAGCTCAGGTGTAAGCAATGTTTTGTACAGCGCCTTTTTATCTTGAGACAGACAGACAGACAGACAGACAGAGAGAGAGAGAGAGAGAGAGGAACATCTGGCAGGTGGGATGCACAGAGCAATGCTTTTTGTACCCGTTCAGCCGCCTGAGAATACAATAGTGATCCTCGTTTTCAAAACGTCTCTGTAAAGTGACTGTTGTCGGCAGCCAATTTGCGCACAGCAACCGATCCCACGGCCAGGGCGGTGAGGTTAACGTGCGGTTTGAGCAGGGGAGGACACCCGTGGCCGTGGGGGCAAAGGAGGAAGGGGGGAGAGAGAAAGAGAAAAAACTCTCAATTGACGGATCACTTTCCGGGGGTAAACAATCCCTTCAAATAAATAAATGAAATAATAATAATAATAATTTGCTCGCTCGATCCCCGACTGTTTGTATTGGACGCTGCTGTGCGCATCAGCTGCCGCGTTTTGCCCACAAAACACACAGTCACTACACGTGACAGTGCATCCTGTGAAGCGCTTTGAGACGCCCCTTTGAGACGTGACAAGGCGCGACGTCAAACGCAAGGATTATTATTATTATTTTATTATTAATCGGATAATATCCGATTTGAGGGTGGATTGTTGTTGTTGTCAGTCACAGCTGGGGGGGAGGTCATGTGATGCGGAAGCCAGCTGCCTCTCCCCCCACACATCATGTGACTCTCTCTCTCCCCACGTGACCCCTCATCTGTTTACCCATGATGTGAGATATTACATAACGTGGGACCGAAATCCTCCCCTTATCTTTGTTTTGCCACCGTCTAAGGTCGGTTTTATAACAGGAATAATAATCATAATAATCCTTGCATTTGATGCCGGGCTTCGAGGCGTCTCAAAGCGCTGCACAGGAACACGCCGTAAAGGGGAGCGACTGTGTGTTTTGGGGGTGAAACAACGGCAGTCCAATTGCGCACGGCAGCGCCCCCACAAACAACCGTGGTTTGAGTGACCCAATTATTATTTTTTTCGGCGGTGGATAGATAGAGAGAGAGAGAGATCTAGAGAAACAGATAAGACAGTTATGTTAGGTTGGGGGCCTTTCCGCCCATAAAACACAGTCACTGCACTTGGCAGTATATCCCGTGAGACGATAAGTCGCCGTATTAAATGCAAGAATGATGATTACTATTACTATTTACAGTATATTCTGCGAAGCGCTTTGAGACGTCTCGTGAAAGGACTATTACTATTATTAATAATATAATAAAAGGAGGATAGGGACCAAATTTTTTCACACACACACACCACCCCACCCACCCCAAAAAAAGTGTTTTATCGCTTTAAGTGGGAATTATCGCTTTAAGAGGGCCAATGGGGCGGGGCCAGATTCCCCCCCCGCCCCGCCGCCCCCCCCTTTTACCCGCGCGTCACGCGCCATGCTGATGCGACGTAAACGTCACCGCGCACGTCGCAAGCACGTGAGAGCGTCGGCCCGAACGCCGGGGGGGGGGGGGAGGGGAGGGACGGGCGACGGCGCCTGCATTAATTATGATAATGAGCCCAGGACGTCACGACGTCGGGCGGGGCTATGCTAATGAGGCGACGGCGGCGGCGGCGGAGGAGGAGGAGCGGCGGAGCGGCGAAGGACGGACGGACGGACGCGGTTCCCTGCGGCTCCCGTTTTTCCCGAGTCGTGTGTTTTTTTTTCCCCCCCGTGTGATGTGCGGGGAGAGGGGGGGGGCGCGGCCCGGACACTGACACTGACTGACACCGACACACCGACCGAACGACATGTCGCCGCCGCCGCCCGCGCTCCACTGCCTGATGCCGCCTCCGCCGCCGCCGCAGAAGCTTCTGGAAAGCGAGGGTGAGTGAGGGGAGGGAGGGAGGGGCCTGGGGCAGGGCAGTGGGGGGGGGGACAGGGGGAGTGGGGGACAGGGGAGTGGGGGGAAGACGGGAGGGGGGAGTGGGGGGGAGGGGGGGGAGGGGCAGGGGAGAGAGGGGCGGGGCTGGGAGAGGGGCGGGGCTGGGGAGAGGGGGCGGGTGGAGAGAGGGGCGGGGTAGAGAGGGGGGCGGGTGAGGAGGGGGGCTGGGGTGAGGGGGCGGGGCTGGGGTGAGGGGGCGGGGGGGGTGAGGGGGCGGGGTGGAGAGAGGGGGCGGGGCCGGGGTGAGGGGGCGGGGCTGGGGTGAGGGGGCGGGGCGGGGGAGGGGGCGGGGTGGAGAGAGGGGCGGGGTGGGGTGAGGGGGCGGGGCTGGGGTGAGGGGGCGGGGCTGGGGTGAGGGGGCGGGGCTGGGGTGAGGGGGCGGGGCTGGGGGAGGGAGGGAGGAGGGGCGCCTTTTCAGTCAGGGATTTGGATTCGGTGGGTGGAGGGGGTGAGGGGGTCGGGATCAGGGGGTGGGGTGGGGGTGGGGGGGGCAGGAGGGTGACCGAAGGCCCTGTTGGTCGAAGAGCGGGGTCTTGAGTCGGGTCTTGAGGGGGGTTTGGGAGTGGGGGGGTGAGGCGAGGGGACTATGGGGTGGAATAGCCCCTTCCACACACTGAACCCCTTTATAAAGCAGCCCCCCCCCCCCCCCCCACATGCACACACGAACCGCTGTATAACGCTCACACAGCCCCCCACCCCTTCCCCCCCTCCCCACCCCCTCCCCCCACCACCACCACCAAATGGACCCTCTAATAATGCTCCTCCGCCCGAGGTGCATTGTAAGTTTAGTCGATGGGCGGATCGCTTTCTTGGGGTAATTTAAGCCCTTAAAAATAAAATAAGGGATGATTTGGTCACTCACATCCACGACTGTTTGCGGGGACGCCCACACAGTCACTCCACTTCACAGTACATCCTGTGAAGCGCTTTGAGACGGATTATTATTGCTGCTGTTTTTATTCCAATTTGCCAGAAAAAGACCAGGACAAAGACAAGAGCTTAGATGGCGACGAGGCCGCCAGCAGCAACACAGCAGCCTCTGCCTCCCTCATGCCAACCATCTGGGACAAGACCATTCCGTACGATGGCGAGACCTTCCACCTGGAGTACATGGATCTGGATGAATTCCTGCTGGAAAACAGCATTCCCTCCAGCCCAACCCAGCTGAACGGGCTGATGTCCGTGGATGAGCTGGAGGAGGAGAAGGAGTCTCAATCCTGCCCGCCCTCTCCCACCCCCTCGGGCGTGATGTACTCTGTCCTGGATGACGAAGGTGAGTCTGGGGGCGCGCCCGAAACCTCTGGGAGCAGGGACTCTTCCCACTCCCGCTCTGCTGTTAACCTTGCCCGAATGGATGGGTCCCAGCAATAGGAAAGCCAGCCAGGCAAGCCACGCGCTTTTACCCGATTAAACTTCAGCAGTTACCCCAATATTATTATTATTATTATTATTATCTTCCGTCCCACTCGGCAGATAGTGATGACAGCGACTGCGGGCAAGACAACCTGAACCCCGTGAGCACAGAGGCGGTTGAGGTGCCGGTGAACTTCGAGCCTGACCCGACAGACTTGGTGCTGTCCAGCGTGCCAGGCGGAGAACTCTTCAACCCTCGTAAGCACAAGTTCTCCGAAGAAGAACTCAAACCCCAGCCCATGATTAAAAAGGCAAAGAAGGTCTACGTGCCGAATGAATTAAAGGTATTTCTTTTTTTTTCACATCAGGCTCTCTGCCTTTCTGCTCAGTTTCCACCCCCCCATCTAGTGGAGTCCTGCAGAGTAGTGGTTAGAGCACTCACCTCGCAAAGCAAGAGGACCTGGGTTCGATTCCCGGCAGGGTGAAGCTTTGGGCGAGTTTCCTTACTTCACACATCTCTGTTTTACCGCGCAAGTGGAACCCGGTTGTCTGTCGATTGGCGGGTCGCTTTTCCGGGAGTAATAACTCCTTCGAAAAAAAATAAAATAATAAATTTAGTCACTCAATTCCTTCCCGTTTGTGGGACGCTGTCTGTGCGCAATTGGCTGCCGATAATCGCCCGCAAAATATACAGTCAATTCACTTGACAGTATATTCTGTGAAGCGCTTTGGGACGTCTCAGAAGGAGTGTTAAGGCGCTGTACGAAATGCAAGGATCGTTATTATTATTAGGCACGTATTTTCATGTGTGTGTGTCTGTGTAAAAAAAGGATGAAAAATATTGGACACGGCGTAAGAAGAACAACGTGGCAGCCAAGCGGTCTCGCGATGCGCGGAGGCTGAAGGAGAACCAGATCACCGTGCGGGCGGCCTTTCTGGAGAAGGAGAACGCAGCGTTGCGGCTGGAAGTGGCCGAACTTCGCAAGGTCGTCAGTCGCTGCAAGTCAGTGATCTCCAAATATGAAGCCAAGCACGGAGCCCTGTAAGAGAGAGTAGGTGTTGAGAAAATAATTGTCGTCCTCTCTACTGCGACTGGTCTTATATTTATCATTTGTACCCGAGAGAGCAAGGATTTATAATCATTCTAATGATTCCTTTTAGCCTGGTGTGTGTTTTTATATATATATATAATATATATATAAAAATAAAACAAATATTCTTAACAAATACATGGAGTGAATAGTAACCAAAGGAGTTGGCTGTTTAAAGTAATTACTTCCCGGCTGACAGTGAAGATTGCTGTACAGAATACACTCACTGCACTTTTGCAGTGGGCCCTGTGAAGCACTTTGAGACAACGTCCTGACATAAAAGGCCGTTATATCGTTGTTGTGCACAAATTGGCTATCGCGTTCGCCCACAAATAGTCGCAGCAAAATTCCCTATGGAGCATTTGAGACTTGCTCCACCTACGGGTGTGATATCGTGTGATACCAAGTGCAAGGTTGTTTATTAAGTGTAATGTCACGATTGTTTCTATGGGTGTTTCTATCCTCCCCCATTTGTTTTCTCCCCCGTTTCTCCTGATGCTTTGATTTCTGCTGAGAGAGGTTTACTGCTTTGCCCGAGTTGAGCTTAGATGGTTCCTGCGGGCAAGGTAGTATGAGTCACAGCCGATAATCTCCTTTCACGAGCACTTGCCAGCACAGCTCATAGTGATAGTGCGAGGGCACTATTTTTATTTTCGTCCCGGTTTGTCCGTATACTATTTGTCTTAGTAAATTAGCAGTGAGTAGAAACCCGGTTGTTAAGTCGATTGGCAGATCGCTTTCCCTCAGTCCACGATGGTTTGTGGGACACTGCTGTGCGCAATTGGCTGCCGTGTGACTGCACATTGCAATATATTCTATGAAGCGCTTTGAGACGTCTCAGCGACGTGATAAGGGACTATATCAAACGCAGGGGTTATTATTATTAATTTCTTTGGACAAGCTCTTAAAGATTTTTTTTAATGTGCACCGATTAAGTTTGCTTTTCAATTGGAAGCGTTGGGTTGTTATTTGTGATGTTGTGGAAGACAGAAAACTCGGATGACGAGTTTTTTTTTTTTGCGCATGAAGCCAAAAGTGCTGTCTGTTTGTCTCTAACCGCCTGGTAATTTCTGAATGCAGTTTCTGAACTTTCTATTTGACTCACGTTTGATGGAGAAATTGACAGGAGCTCCTTTAGTGAAGGACAGTGGCTCATCAAGAAGTCTGTTCAACAGCGACTTGCACTTACACAGAACCTTTACTCGCGGTGACCGGCCGTGCCAAATTCATACACGATAATATAATACGTTTCGCCGACAAAGTATACAGTCATTTCACTCCACAGTGTGTCCTGTGAAGCGCTTTGAAAGCTCTCAACAACGTGATAAGGCACTCTATCAAATGCAAGGGTTCCTTTTACACGCATTTGTCCTCTGTGTTTCTAAGTTCTGTTTGGCGTAAGTTTTGACCCAATTAAGTAAGAGATCACAGAGAAACTTTTTCTTTAAACCCCCTCGGAATTGTTCTGTTTTGTTCAATGTGTGACGGAGTGTTAGGAATTGCCTCCGCTCCCGCTCACTGGAGGTCAGGTCGGCTTATTAATAATACACCTTCTACAGTAATATTACCGACAGTTATTTGGAAATGGTATGTTCTGCTAGGATGAAGGATTGACAGAAAGTGATCGAAATGGGTCAAATACAACAGGAGTTCCGGATTGTTTCATTAGCTCATGCAGATTGGCAGTGAGTTCAGTTTATCTGCATTTGTACATAGGTCTGAGTGTTTAACCATCACTGATTAACACTGTGGTGTTTGTACACATTTTAAGCCTTGTTCTACCTGGTACTCGGGAGTCAAACTATCCCTGATGACTTTCCCCTCTCTCCAAAGCAACTGTATAGTACTAGTCGCTAATGGTAACTGTTTATACCGGGTTACTAACCATTTAAATGGCTTAAAATGGTAGTTTTATTAACTTCTGGTCAACGTGATATATTGCCCTTTCTGAATCGAGGATGATCCAGTGTTTTATTTAACTGCCGTTTATTTCATCATGTTAACTTGTCACGTATAGACTTTATATAATATATACAGCTATATACATCGATTGTACCTATATAAAGATATCGCTGTGTCACAGTAGTTGTGGCTCTACTCACTTGAAGAGCGCTATCTATATAAACGCAAGTAGTTGTTGTTTAGTGTCTGAATTTCACACGGAATGACGTTTAAACCTGCAACGGAACAGAACTACATTTTGTTTCAGTATCTTCGAGTAATGCGGAACCTGAGTAGCTTGCCTTTTGTTTTGGGGTGTTGTGTGTAAGAAAAAAAGGCCCCTTCCAGCGTTTATTAAACGTCAAAAGGCATAAAATGCTTGAAATTTTAATTCTATTAAGATTGGGTTGATCTGAATTAAGTTGTACGTGTCCTTAATATTTCAAGGTGCCGCAAAATGGTGGACAGAGTTTATATACTCCCAGAAACTTGCCCTGTAGAGCAGTAATCACCCAATGCAGGTAGGGGGGGGGTCACAAGAGAAACTTTAAAGGGTCTATTTTAAACGTAATGCATCGCTTTGTTATATCTAAGGCTATTGTGGTATTGGCCACGACATTGATTTTTAAAAAAAAAAGTCATGCAGTCACTGGGAACATTTATCAATCTGTCTTAATTTGGAAGCTTTCCTTAAGAACTCGGAAAATCCGACTTCCAAATTCAAGGCTAAAACCGTGGGGATTGTCTTTTTATTTGGGGGGCGGGGGGGGAAAAAAACGTGCTTTGTACGCCGGTCATTCTCGGAAGTTCAGGGTCCAGTACAAAAGGCAGCCCACAGCTCCTATCCACTCGCTCTTAGATGAGTTTCTCGTTGAGGCTGCCGCGGAGATGGCACACCAGCAATATTTTTTGGTGGTCGGGGGGTGGGGGGGGGGGGGAGCTTTATCAGCTTTCCTTGCTGAAGTCAGACTCCGAGTAGCTGATGTTTGAGCAGTGTACAACAGGGTGGTCCAAGGGGTGGAGGTTTTCCCTCCCTATCTGGTGGGCATCTGGCATCTGGCCCACCCGCTCCCTCCACAACCTGTAGGTGTTATGGTGCGTTTCTGGAAGGGGAAACACAAAAATATTGCTGATGCGGCCTGAAACAGGACAGCCAGTCCGCAGCAGCCAAAAGGTTGGTCGAGAGGGCGATATGAGAATGATTGGTTTCCCCTTCCTGCACTGGAGATTAGGGCTGTCAGGCGGGGAGAGCGGGCGGTTGGGGGAGTTTTATTGTATAAACCCATATCTGGGTTTTAGCGATGGAATTCGATTTGACGCATGATGTGTAATTTAAGCCCTGTGATTTCTATGTGTATAAAAATGTACATTTTAACTGTTACCGATGTGTAAAGTTTTAAAAAGTCTATTTTTGATTCTGTTTTTGTTTTCTTTGTACAACTATAAACTTTTAAAACCTCTGTAGTCATTCTCTCTATGGTTTTTATAAAGGCTTCGGCAATAGTGATCAACCGGTGTGTGTTTGCCTGAGTTAATCATTGTGCTTTCTGTGGAATGAAAGCGTTTCGTTACGTCTATCAGTGGTACGTCTATCTCTTCCCACTCAGCTCTTCTTGACCCTGCAAGTCGAAGTCCTAACGGGTAGGGTGGTCCCAGCTGTGTTGTCTTAGCCGGTGTGACTCCGGCAGTTACCCCCACACACACACTCTGGGGTCCCCAAGCCTCGGCTCTTGCCAAACTGCGCCTCATTCTTTTTTTGCGGTATTCGTTTCCGGGGCGGGAACAGAACTCTTACCGTGTTCGGAGCTGCGGAAGCAAAGCGCGGGGTTCCCGCGTGTGTCAGGCCGACCCCTGGCTGGCCAAAAAAAAAACTTGGCTGTCATTAAAAAAAACAACATGTTTTTGCATCATTTTTAGTGGAAACTCAGTTATGTAAGATCTTATATAAAAAAATAAACCTTTGAGCCCCGATACGGTTCCTGTGGCTGTGAGGGGCAATACTGCCATCTCCTGGCACATCCCACACAGTATAACTAGGCTAATAATAATAATAATAATAATCCTCGCATTTGATATAGCGCTTTTCACGTCGGGAGGACGTCCCAAAGCGCTTCACAGAACACACTGTAAAGTGAATTGACTGTATATTTGTGGGCGAACGCGGCAGCCAATTGCGCACAGCAATGTCCCACAAACAGTCGTGGATTGAAAAAGGATGTAGCTAAGCCTCCGAACCCAAGCTATACTGACGTCTTATATACCTTTCTGTCTGGAAATCGAAAGCCGCTTTAAATGTTTTATATATAAATGCAAATTTACATAAATGGCACCTCTCTCGTCAGAAAGGACTGACCGCCGATGGTGGGGCTGTCAGGGCGGGAGAAAGGGGAGGAGGCCGGAGCCCACTGAGCGGAGGGAGCGGGTGGGTTTGTATCAAATGCAAAGGATTATTTATTGAATGGAGACACCCAGGATCAGAGGAGCTTGGGTTAGAAAGTGAAGTAAATATTGTTGAGCAGCTCAGAACCACAAGACTCCGCTCTTTCATTCCTCGCATGTCCTATTTTGAGGTTTCCCCCCCCCAAACCCAGATGAGGTTAGCAATTTAATTCCAATTGTGGCTGTTTTTCGGTGTTGCTGCGTGGAACACAGCATTAAAGCTAATTATAGTGTCTGTGTGTGGGTGTGGATCTGTCTGTGTGCGTTTGTGTAAATGCTGAACGGGCACCATTCCACCGCAGTGCTCGAGGATGGTGGTGTGGGGGGAAAAGAGTCACAGTGGTTTAACAAAGGATCATTGTATGTAGACAATGAGGTCAGTCCGTTCCATCATCCCACTTCCCTTAATGTCACTCCCTTGCCTTCTCTGGGGCAGATGGTTGTGGGTTCAACCATGGTGGGACTTTGAGCTCAGTCCAGGTTGACGTCCCAGTATGACATTGGGGAAGAGCGATGCTTTGTTGGAAGTTCCGTGCTTCAGACAAGGCATTAACCCAAGGTCCTGTCTGCCTGGTCAGGTGAACGTTAACGGCTCCATGACGCTACTAGAAAAGAGAAGGGAGTTTCTTCCGGTCGACAATCTCTCAGGTTGAATAGGACCTTAGAGAAGTGCTATAGAATCCCTGACTACGCATGCACAGACGGGACCTCGGTCCAACAGCTCTTCCGAAGATCAGCACTTCCAATAACACAGTGCTCCCCCACCCCTCCAGCACTGCACTGAAGTGTCAGACGAGAACTATGCGAGTTCAGCGTTCCGTCGCGTGGCTTGGAACCCACAATCTTCCGACTTAAGAGGTGCGAGTGCTACCAACCTGAGCCAG